CCGATTTTAGAGTTCGGATTGAAGCCGGCCATATTGTCATTTCAGGTGATCCGATATCAAGCAATTGCAGACTGGGCGCAAACGCCATTTTCTGTGGAAGGGTCTTGATAGGATTGTCATGGATACTAAGCATAGTGAGGTTTGGCATTCGTGCAATTTCATTTGGAAGTTCTCTGAAGTTATTGAACTGCATAAAAACAGAATCAAGATACGGTTCCGATCCATTCAGCGCCCCATCCTCTATTACTTCAAACCCATTATGGCCAATCTGTAGGGAACAAAGTGGGAGATTATGAAAAGCTCCAGCCGGAATCCTTTTGATGTTGTAGTTGTAATTCATAATAAGTGTCCAGCAGCGCCACGTAGCGTTGACCATTGTGAAGGTAGGAAACTCCGTTTGAGTAAGATTGCTACATTCCACTTTACTGATATCACAAATGCACGGAGCCTTAGCGGGACACGGATGGGGGTCATCGTGTACAGAGACAGGGATACCCTGTAGGACTTTGGCCAGTAACAACTGTGGACGAAATGTTAACAATAATGGGCATTATAATAAATATACAACTTTTACATATAGACATAACCACAATAACATTGTGACGCTTACAAAGGAGTTAGCTTTACCTTTGCATGACAATGCCAATATGTAAGCTATAACCATAAAGATGTGTGATTTGAATAAATGCCTCCAGTTCGTGACCATTATGTCGTCAGTATTATGGACATAAAAACGTTCGTGGTGCACTTGAAGGAATGGTTATCGATAATAAATAGTAATAAGGTTATAATGTGCAAAATATAGCAACTTTGGAAAGGGCAGTATATATTAGAGTTTTGAAGGCATTCGTACAATTTTGTTCTGTGACATGTGCCCGCAAAGTTCTGTCAATTACAACGGCTATAAATAAAATAAGGTGATTTGTTCATGTTGAAGTAAACGTTTATATAACTGGCAAAAATTAAGGCGAGTGTAAACATGTATATAAAATATTTTTTATCATTATACATCAGATTTTTTTAATAAAAGATAAATATTTTTTTTATTAATATACTTACCGTTATTACACCGACAAATATTCCATGACTATCCATTTTAATAAACTGCTTATCAGTGGAAGGCTTCACGTCTGCTAACACCAATCTTATCTTGTCAATATCTTGTTTACCTTTTCCGATTATGTAGGGGGCGCTTCAGCTTGTTTATACGATATGTACGCAAACAAGTTTCTTTAATGCTTGCTGTTTGTGTGGATCATCGCCCTGTCAACATCCAATGTCATTTTGAGGCGGACTCTCTTTGTTGGTGCTGGTGGCTACATCACTGAACAACATATGGGAGGCTCGCAACATAATATCCGTTGTGACTAGATGTAAAGCGTCTTGTCGCAAGATGTAATAGCCCAAACCTATTCTATCTATCCAAAACAACGTTGTTTTTTTTGTTTTTGTTTTAATCCTATGACGAAAGTTACGCTGTTTATAACATCGTCAGAAATGCATTGAGATGGGAACAGTTTGATGATTAGTGTTGTTTTGAAAATCCTCATCTCTCACGAGCAAAATTTAAACTATTGATAATTGTTTGCTGTTTTGTGATTGTCTCGTGTGAAAAAAACTCAGTCTGCACCTTATCTAAAATTAATTATTTCTTTTCCTCAATGACATATTAAAAGTTTACAGACATCTCATGAATAACTTTCAGATATAATTCCTCTTTCGTCTCTTTCGAAGACTGTTTCTATAATCTCTGCGTTTATAATATATATGAACACGAACATGACATTTTCCATACCTATTAAAAATAAAGAGTGGGTTTTTCTGATGACAGTAACGTGAAGTAACGGTCACTTTACACATTCTAGGTGACGTCCTGAGCCTTCTACTCAGATCAGTCAATACAAAAATTATGAACGGGAACGAAGATCATGAAGAGACCAAATGTACAAGACTCTGTTCCGTTGTATTGTGATTAGACTATTTTGAAAAAAAAAACTAGTTATGAGCCGCGACCGAGCGTGACTTAACGACGACATTAGTAAAATCTCAGAAACTTGCTAAATGAGCTAATGAAGAATTCATACATTGTAGACTCCATTTAAAAGATTTGAATTGTATTTGCATATCTTTATAATTACAGATTTTAATATTTTAAGGTGGGTTAAGACGGGTAAAGGCAGTATCGAAATGTACCCAGATTTAAATCTAGAGTTAATAATTACCTTTCGTGATGTACTAGAACTGAAGTCTGCTAATAGTCAGACTTTTTTCGGGGTTGGGGGGTGGGTGGGTTATCATTCTTTGTTTAACTTTTGTTTTGGGTGGGTTTTTATCAATCGATTTTTTCTATGTTCATTTAAAGACATAAATCCACCACATCTTTGTTAAAAGAAAGTTTTATCATGTAGTTATGAAGTCAGTATTTCCAAGCTATATCCAAAATGATGTCCCAGAAACAAAAATAAGAAAACTGAATACAGCAAACTCTGTAAAGTCCATCACATATGTATATGCATGTGCACCAAGCACTAGACACGACAGATTTGACTGAGTCACTGAAACGTACACTCGGTCTTGATCACGTAAATGCCTTACAAGTAACACACGTGCAAGGTAATGACATGTGGTAGATTATGTGAATTTTACCAGGGATATTTTGCTAACGGAAATAAATGAAATAGTTCAGCTTATAATACAGAAATTTATTTCTGTCTTTGGGATTGGGATGAGTTTATTTGTTGAAATTTTTTTCTCCTGCAAGACACACGGCTCATTTGAGTTGTGTAAATCAACATGTAAATAAATGGTTTTTTCTGTGGTAACATTTATCTTTTTGACACGGACACCTAGTCAACGTCCATTTCCAGGTTCTTTATATAAATATAAAATATATGTGTTTTATATTTATATATTTGAGTCGCATTGCAATGTAATCGAAATAATTATATTTACCTGCCCGTGTATGTTTCCAAGTAAGACTTGACCTAAATGTATGCCATTTCCGAAGACATGACGACCGGAAGATCGTAAGTAGAGGGAAAGGTCTTAAGCTCCTGTTTCCAAAACTTCATTTCAATACTTAATTTCAGTGAAATATTCATAAATGTTTTCTCTTCTTATAATCCAGTCAAATTGCTACGTAATAAACTCCTAACAGGCAAAATGATCACAACACAACTTAAACACGACCTTAAAGTTTAATTCCTTCGTCCAATTATTGTGAATTTATATCTCACAGAAATTTGCATGACATAAGAAATGTTGGTCTGCTTGACCAATAGTCAAATCATCACCACAACCTTGTACAATAAGTGGACAGTGCAGAAAAAACGAATCCAAATGTTTTGAATCACCTGCTCCGAACTGACCCATACAGTAAATCCCTGATGTAATCAATGTGACGTTATCATACAAAATGATGACGTCACTCCTTCAGTTTCTACATCAACGTCGACTAACATCAGCATTGTTCTCCATAAATCGTAAACAAATCTGAAATGATAAATAACCAGTCCACATTCTTTGTCAGGTAATATTAAATAAATACGATCATATATGTATCAAGTTAGTAAATTAACTCCCATGCATTGAACTGGAATTATGGGGTTACATGTACATACCTAGCGAGGGACGTGGTACCTACATAGTGGGGACAGGATACCTGGGCATACCTAGCGAGGTCAGGGTACCAGTAGTTGATCTGGCGCTGGATGTACAGTGGGAAAAGTATCAGGTGTTTTTCCTCAAAATAATAACAGAACTTCTTCTCCCAATAGAGCTCATCTTGGGGAAGCTCTGATCAATATCACTGACAACTCCAGTCCGAGACTAAAAAGCATCACGGTCTTGGAGCGCTCCTCAAAACTGGCTGCATCCTGTGTACAAGATCCAGGAGGCTTCTATAGGGATCTCCTTTTGACATGACACAGGACAGTTCCGCAGTGACGACACAGGGAAGGACCTGTACATACATATAACGTGTAGGTCTTACGGTTAAACAAAAATTTGAAATTGTCAGCAGTTAAAGCTGTCCTCACCAATACAGCTATTAAAGAAAGGAAATATTCGATATACCCATATAATTGGTAGAACAGTAATGCTGTTTAAGTCGACAGAATGATTGACCGCGAAAATGAATAAATTCTGGAATTATATCAACATTATACCTTTAGTTCAATCAAGATGATAAAAAAATAACCAGGAAATACTCTGTGGAAGGACAATTCACATGTGTATAGCCCACTAGCAGGGTTTAAAGTTCGAACATCAGAGTACAGAACAAGTTATTTCCAATTCACTTAAAAAAAACAAATAAAATACTTGAAAATACAATTCCACTTCATTCTTTTCTTAGAAATATGGATTCTGTAAATGGAATGAAGAATACCTCAATTCTGAAACAAAAATGAAGGTTGATAAAAGTGTGGAACACATACAATAAAATCAGACAAACGTCTTACCCTGTATTCGAATTGAAGCGTTTATGCAATGTAAAGGAAATTTCTATCATATTTATTTTATAATTTATTGATACAATGCCTACCCATATCAAATCAGCTAGTTTTGAGCAATCTTTCTCAATATCTCTGGCTATGGCAAAATAGAACAATCTTTTGGCATATCCTGGTTCGGGTTCCACAATAAACAAGGTAGAAAGCTATGCATATGACGTATTACTTTCTAAGTTGCTGTAATTCAGCATCTGCACCATTAATAAACTGAGGTTTAACACTAACGAACTGTCATCATATCTGATGTCAACCTAACCCCTAATCAATGTTCTTTTTCATTAAAGTCCCCCCCCCACACACACACCTTCCTCCCTCTGTCTTTCTTCGTGTTTGTTTTCATAAATTTTCGAAGTGAATGTCATCAATTATACCCCATAATATCGAATCGACTGACTTCCTTCATCATTTAACAAATACAAACAAATGTTTCGAAAGCCGACTTTTGTTCCAAATTTATTTCATAAATGACAATCATCGACGACGTATTCTTTAAGGACACTTCGGTACGTCATTATGAATATACTCGATCATATCCATGTGTACATTGCTACATTCTCCATCACCACCGAGGAATTGCTTAAATCCGATCCAGGTCTTCATCCAACCAAGTTCTGAACACGAGCATTCAACAGTGACGTTCTGTAAACTTACAAATCTCAGCGCCGGAAGTCGCTCAATAGCCCTAGGGAATCCTGGGAGATTTGTGGAATCCAAGTTCAACCATTGAAGACTGTACGTATCGTTAAATGCGTCTATGGATATATTGTTCAATGGAGTTTGTCTCAGACTAAGTTGTCGTAATTTCTGGAGCCCTGCCAAGTCATGTGGTCCAATATGAGAAACTTTGGTATTGTCCAATGTCAGATCATATAGGTTCTTATTACGACGCACAGCGACCGGGATATGATCAATGTTGGTATAGCTGAAATCTATTGTCATCATGATTGGTTGTTCTGGTAGGGTAGTTATATCCCAAGTTGACAGCGGTGAGTTAGTCAAGGACAAAAGAGTAAGAGCCGGCATATCGGACATATTGAATACTGTTGTTAAACTGCTGTTGGATATAGAAATGTCCGTCAGCGCTTCCATACCACTGAATGCATCACTGGGTATACCTTCTGATGTAAGGGCCAAATTATCCTCAACTAATAGGTCTGTCATTTTCCGAAGTCTTTGCATTGCTTTTGGAATACCCTTGAACTTGGTTGTAGTGAATGTTATAAAAAATATTGACTCCTCTAAACCTTCGAAAGCATCTAAAGGCAGATCAGACATCGGTAACTTATAGAGGGACAAACTCCCCACAGATTTTAGAGTTCGAATTGAGTCGGGCCATGTCGTCATTTCCGGTGATCCGATATCAAGAAATTGCAAAGATGAAGCGAACTCCATTTTCTGTGGAAGGTCCTTGATAGGGTTGTCATGGATACTAAGCATGGTGATGTTTGGCATTCTGGCGATTTCATTAGGAAGTTCTCTGAAGTTATTAAATTGCATAAAAACGGAATCAAGATACGGTTCCGATCCTTTCAGTGCTCCATCCTCTATAACTTCAAATCCATTATGGCCAATTTGAAGGGAACAAAGTGGGATATATCTAAAAGCACCAGCTGGGATTCTTTTAAGGTTATAATTATAATTCATGTATAGTCGCCAGCACCGCACCGTTGTATTGACCATGGTGAAAGTCGGAAACTCTGATTGCGTAAGATTATAACACTCCACTCTATTGTAGTCGCAACTACACGGAGCCTTGACGGGACAATGTGGGTCAACAGAAGAGCCCTGTGTGACTTTGGTCAGAAACAACTGTGGAGGAAACGAAAAGTTTAAGTGTTAGTTCTTCTTAATTTAAATGTCAAATACTAGTGTTTGGCTAATGTACAATACAGAAAAATGATTAAAACATAATTCAGACTTCAAATTGCATTGTTTGTTTCTTACTGCTAATTCATCGAGGGTTGAACTTTTCTTTTTATTCGTGTATGGAATGCCACGACACAATAATGTACGTTAAGAAACAATGAATCGTGGCATTTTATGACATTTGCTATCACCAAAATTTACACCATGAAAAATATTTATTTAAATGATACGAAGTTAAGTTTCAATTTAAAACACTTTAAAACGCTTGTAACACTTTGATGTCACACGTCAGGTGAGATTGTTCGCATAAAAAGATTAATTCAATAAATCGAACTGAAGAAGTCTTTTTAATGAAAAGAAAATATAAACAGAGTCTTCATCACACAATGAAAATGACAACGACAATATCAAGTAAACCTAAGATAAGATGACATGCAAATCAATTTATGTCAAGCAAACATATCACTGCATATATCTATTCAAGCAAACACCAGGAAAATACCAATATGTGAACATAATAATATTCAAAACTCAAATAATTCATAAAACAAGGGCAAAATATGATCAAAAGAAAGATTACATGCACGCTATGATCTTGGTCTATCAAGTAAGTAATGTCACGTCCTCAAATGAGTAAAAGGTATACAACCAGCGGAGTCAACAGGTAAACTAACGAGCATTGAACATTTCCAGGTTCATATCGTTCGAAGAAATAGGATATTTATGAATGAGATCACTATGACGACCGTAAATCCTCCCCATGAATTTTAACTAATAGAAAGAGGAAATCATGTAAAGAATCTTACCAAAAGCCAATAGGCGTAAGATTTACGTATAGCCATGTTTACAAGTGGGTTATCAATGAGAGGTCCGAATTCTGTTACCTCAAATACCTTATCTCTTGTATTTTCATTGTGTGACCCAAAAGGAGAAATTTTCATGGCTTAAAAGTTTACACAAGCTTGCCTATGTTTCTACAGCGATATAAAAGACATCGAAAAAGATATTACGGTGAAGTCGGTTTTTTTTAAATGAGTGGACATTTCTGTAAAAAAAAATCTTGATTCCGTCTCGAATCGTCCGAGAACGCCCTCTCAAATATAGCACATGTAATGAAACATGGCAATTTCATAACGAGGCTGCCACATTTGTTAATTGTGGAAGAAGTTAATTTTCCTTCTGTGATTTGTTTCGTAATGAACATGGTAACCGGTTTATCATAACTTTAACTATATTCGATAAATAACATTTGTTATTATACTATCACAGTTTCCCTACTTTGCTCACCTCTAAATTTAGAAATCTAAACGTGAATATAGCTCAAGCTTAAATGACTCGAGCACACGTATGGATTGACCACATGACCACAACAAAATTAATCTGAAATTAATCGTCACCGTCAACGTTTGCTTACGTCTTTCTATGTTCTAATAACAAGTTTTTTCCATCATTTAATATTGTTAACATGCTGCGTTGACGGAAATGTCTCCAGCTGTTGCGTAATTGTATATACGCCAACCTCACAGTTTTCATAGAATAAATAGCTGTACATGTCAGTCATGTTTAAGATAGGTAGTGATTCTACAAAATAGTTAGTAGTGATGCTACAAAATAGTTAGTGATGCTACCTCACCGAATATGCTGTAACTACATTGATTAGTTACTGCTCTCTCTCTCTCTCTCTCTCTCTCTCTCTCTCTCTCTCTCTCTCATCCAAGATTCTTGTTTTGGTTATATATCCATTCAATGTGGAGGGAGCAGTGAATGACTTCTTACTTCTCTTACTTCTCTGAACCCTAATATTTTAATGATAATCTTTTTTATTGATGTTACGTAGTGACATTTAACTAAATCCAGATCCTAAAAATAATTCTAGTATTCACATTGATAATATTTCTATGTGTCACATTAACTTTTGCTCGTTGAGGAACAAAATACACATCCTAGATGCTGCATTTTTGGATTATATTTTATGTATTTTCGAAACATATCTTAATGACTCTATGATCATCACATGTATATCAATTGCCAGTCTTGGAAAAAGTTTTAGGGGGAATAGAAATAAAGCTGCTGGTGGTGTATTTATTTATACTAAACATCATGTAAATATCAAACCAAGACGTGACCTTGAGACTACCGACCTTGAATTAATATGGTTTAAGTAACCATCCTCAATAAAGATATTCTACTTAGATATATATAAAGACCCCCTAATTATGCCGTCAATTACGGTGGGTGACTTATCTTAATATTTACAATAACTATTTTATGATACTCATTAATAGATTGTTTGACGTTCCATTACCGAAACCTCGCTTACTTCTTCCCAAAATTATGGATTCTGGATTCACAGAGACAACAGGTAATTTCATTATATAGTTTTTATTTCGCAACATCTCACAAAGTAAGCAGAAGAGACTTACGAAATCATTGTTTCATCTGGACAATTTGGTACATTGTCTCTATAGTAGCCAGCTAGACTGACATTCGGTAAGTTATCACAGTCACCTATTGGTATCATATAATTGCTACCGTCCCAATGTTTCAGCCATCCCAAACTAGCACAGGTACAAATGATCTTGTTGCCTTCAAGGTCGACATTACGGAGATATGGGAGTCCATTGATTGCCTTTGGTATCGTCGTCAGGTTTGTGTTGCTGAGGAACAAGAACTGAAGGTTCCTTGTATCTCTTAACGCTTCATCAGAGAAGGAAATAAGCGGAGCATTTGTAATACCGATGTATGTTACCTTTGTTAGACCTTCGAAAGCTGATGAGGGCACAGAACGTATGCTACTGTTGCGAATAATTAGAGTTTGCAGATTTTTCATTTTGGCAATTGCGGTAGGAAATTTTTCCAATAAGGTATCTGAGAATTGTATATTTTGTAAATTGTTATCATCTGGAATTAATGAGGCATCAAAATGGGTAATAGGAGTTCCGGTAGTTTCGATGGTAGTTATTGTCAGGGCGTCATGAAAAATATCGGGAATTGTATCAAAGCTCTGGTTAGTGATAGAAATCTGGTTCAATGATTTAATACCGCTGAAAGCCTCCCTCGGAATTCCTGAAAGCGTCAGATTGGGGTTGCTGTCAAGAGACAGAAGATCAAGAGCATCTAACGTGCTCAGCGACAACGGCAAACTTCGGATGCGACATCTCTCGAATTCAAGTAGACCTAGCTTTTTTTCAAGACCCGAGAACGCTGACAAGGGCAGGTAATCCATTGCTAGATCTCTGACCGAAAGACTGGTTAAGTTTGTTAAATATCGTATTGAATCAGGCCAAAATGACATTCCCGGGTAGCCGAAATTTAAGTACTGTAACGTGGAGGATACATTCTGAAAAACATCCGCTTGGAAATCTAGGACAGGGTTTCCGTCAATCCCAAGAGAGGACACATCCCTCATCATGCCTAATGCAGTAGGTATTTTCGTCATTTTATTATTTCTCATGAACAGAAATTCAAGAGTGTTTTCGGCGCCATAGAGAGCGTCGTCTGCTATGTTCATAATCTGATTGTCTGCAAGTTTTAAATAATATAGACCTGTGATGTTCATGAAAGCTTTACTTGGAATATCTTTGATGCTGTTTGAACTCAGATCAACCCATCGGAAACTTCCGTTTGAGAATGTGAATCGAGGCACTTCAGTCAGATTCCTGGAATCGCAGTTTATACTGTTCCCGTCACAGTCACAGGGAGGTGGCGCTGGACATGGTATAGCTGATATACTTACATCTGGTGTCAGCAACTACAAGGAAATGAGATGTTTTGTGTACCGCAGAAAGAACACGCGTTTTCAAATTTGTTCGGTAATAAAAATGCAATTATGTTATAATCGGTAAAAAAGATATTTAAATTTTGAAAGAATTTTATCTCAAAATATGAATTCTTAAACAGTCGATGCTGAACAGCGAGTGTTCTTGTAGTCCAAATATATGCGGAAGCAGCATTACTGTTATCTAGAAATGGCAAATTCACAATGCAAAACTGAAAGCACCACTCTTAAATATTACAGCTTTGTGGAAAGCTGTGTCTGGAAGTTACGTTGTAGATCTGGAACTGAAGCAATAAATTGTCGTGCTCTTTGTTTTCATCTTTAGGAGTGTAATTATAACGGACAAGGTCCATAACTATCTACATGTAGTAATTAGTTAGTTAAAGACTGCTTCAATAGATCTAAATAGGAAATAAAGGTCTGATAAGATATGAAGTACATTTTCTCAACATCTCTGCGATAAATCCAACATTGTATGAAAACAAAAACAACTCAGCAAAGATCGGGACGTAGTTAGATTATATGGCTTTACCACATAAGACCTTAGGTATTTCACGAGGACGAAATTTCGGCCATGTCCATACATAGGTAGTTGTGTATACAGACATATAACATATATTTTCTTAGGTTTAGACTTGCTGAAAAATGTTTTATTTTGTTCTTAAATTCGCGATATTTCAATGACCACGAAAATGACGAATAAATTCCTCCGGGAATATTAAGCAAAACCCTATTGATTTCTTTCGAAAAAATCAAATCTTTATGTAATGATTTCCTTGAGTAAGTCAACGTTTATATAAAGTTCTTAAATTGTCCACAATTTCATCGATAAATGACCTCAGTAAAATGCATTTTATATCCAAACAGACCTGTCAATACTATGGCTTTTCGTGAAAAATTGTTGATTATGATGTATACTTACAATATATATGAAAGGAATGATTGTGTAGACATACATGTTGTAAGGTGTTAGGTCTTATCTCGCATTGTCTACGTTTGCCGATAGATCGTCTATCTTTAATCCTTTTATCTTTTGTAAAAACGTCTGAGAAAGGTGTCCGGTTAACACTGTCTGTCGGTTTTTGAAGTTCCCAACTTCCTCTATAAGCCCAGAAAATTTGAAATTATAGTTCCGCTGTTTCATTTTTCTTTCAATATATTTCAATATCTGAAAAAGTCATGTTACTTTTACTATCAATATTGTGTGCCTCCATATCTCTCATTCCTGTATTTAGTATCCCCGAGTGGTGAAACTTCAGTGTAGAATTTTATATGTATATTTAAAAGTGCCATTGACAGAAAAAAGGTGCTAAGATCTATAGCAGTTACTGTTGATGTAGCTTCTGTTGTGATGTTTCTTCAATACATATCTTCTACATCATGTCGAAAGTAGGTGGAATATCCTCACGTGTCCATATGTTCATCACGCATGATTATTTAGTAAAATACACTTAATAATATATCTAGATATATTGTTCTAGAAAAAAACATTAGTTTTAGTTTAAATGTAATTGAATTATCGATGGTGTGAAAATGTTTGCGTCATGAAATAATCACATACCTATCTACAGCTAGACTAGACGATTTTAATACACATTAGCAATAGTTTATACCATCGAGATAGTCGTTTAGTGGGAATACAAGATAAGGCTGAAGATCTTAACGACATGTATCTGTATACAATGTTTCCCGTAATATTTACTGTAAGTATTAAATTCGTATAAAGTTTGTTTTTACATGCTATGTACTCTCTGCGAAGTGTTTTTGACTTTCACTGTTGAATTGAATCACCTTTGATTCGTTTGTCCTCTACTCCTTTCCTATTTTCCATATGCATCGTTTTGCATACTGGTAATCGTATTCTGATTGGGAACGTCATATTACTTCCTTGGACTGACCAAGATTTACACGACAATTGTCTTCCGGGACACCTGGTCTTGTTTTCTTTGTATTCCGTCTAAATTATTTTTTGTCCATATTTGGCCCTAGTTTCGGTGTCCCCATCAGAAACACCTAGTGGTCACTAGAATCACTATTTCTTTCCCTTTTTTGTTTCTTTGATATGGTAACATGGAAGTCAAAATGATATTGGACCTGAAAAATTCGTTGAACAGAATATTTATTGTTTTCCCAAAATTTCTTACAAGGCGATTTCTACGAACCCTAACAAATGCACATTATCGCTTCCCTTATAAATGTCGAACTTTACCATAAAAGACACGCCGTCTTTGTCCGTATCCTCGCTGCTCATGAATTACGTCTTCGATAATTGTGTCCCTGCAATGTAGTTTTTTCATTGTTTCAGTATTAAGGATATGATGATCAGAAAAAAAGGTTTTATGTAGATCCACTCATACAATCATTTTCAAATTGCATATTTATATGCTGTATAATTTAGTATTACATATATACAAGCAGGATAACAGTCCAGGGCTTTCGAACTCAGAATTGTTCGTATTTGATAAATTTGCCATTTCATCCTCGTAGATTTCCGGAAAAATCATAAAACACAATTATTGATCAAAAAAATATCAAACTTGTTTGCATTTTAACAGTAAAAGTTTACGGTTTAATTGTAAGAAACGAAAACTTTGTCTTGAAACGGTGACTTTCATATTCACAGTTGCTGACAATCCTTCTCATACTAGATGTTTGTAAGGCAGTCATACCATGCCCAGCGCCACCTCCTTGTGACTGTGACGGGAATAACATCAACTGTGATTCCAGGAATCTGTCAGAAGTGCCTCGATTCAACCTGTCGAACAGAAGTTATTGGTCACTTGATCTCAGTTCAAACAACATTACGTATATTCCTAGTAAAGCTTTCGTTAACATCACAGGTTTATATGAATTAACCCTTGTAGGTAACCAGATAGAAGACATGGCAGACGACGCCCTCTCTGGGGCTGAATACACGCTGAATTTTCTGTTCATGAGAAACAATAAAATGTCGAAAATTCCTACTGCATTAGGCAAACTGAGAAACGTAAGTTCTCTTGGGATTGATGGAAACCCTGTCCTAGATTTCCAAGCAGACGTTTTATAGAATGTCTCATCCTCACTACAGTATCTAGCTTTCGGCTATCCGGGAATGTCATTTTGGCCTGAATCAATACAGTATCTAACGAACTTATTGAGTCTGTCAGCCAGAGATCTAAGTATGGATTACCTGCCCTTGTCAGCGTTCTCAGGCCTGGAAAATTCTCTAGGGCTGTTGGGTTTAGACAGATGTAGTATACAAAGCCTGCCGTTGTCTCTTAGCACATTAGACAATCTTGAAATTCTGTCACTTGTCGGCAACCCTAATCTGACGCTTTCAGGAATCCCGATGGAGGCTTTCAGCGGTATTAAATCATTGAACCAGATTTCTATCACTAACCAGAGCTTTGATACAGTTCCCGATATTTTTCATGACGCCCTGACAATAACTACCATCGAAACTACCGGAACTCCTATCTCTCATTTTGACGCCTCATTAATTCCAGATGATAACAATTTACAGACTATACGCTTCTCGGATACCTTGCTGAAGAACGTTCCTCCCGCAATCGCCAAAATGAAAAATCTACAATCTCTGATTATTCACAACAGTAGTATGATTTCTGTTTCACCATCAGCATTTGAAGGTCTTAATGTGATAAGATACATTGGTATTACAAATGCTCCTCTGAGTTTCTTCTCCGATGACGCTTTGAAAGATACACACAACCTCCAGTTCTTGTTCCTCAGCAACACAAACCTGACGACGATACCAAAGGCAATCAATGGACTCCCATATCTCCGTAATGTCGACCTTGAAGGCAACAAGATCATTTGTACCTGTGCTAGTTTGGGATGGCTGAAACATTGGGATGAGAACAATTACATGACACCTATAGGTGACTGTGACAACTTACCGAATGTCGACCTCAATACCTACTTCCGAGACCACGTACCGAATTGTCCAGATGATTGAAAGTTTTCCATGTAATGTTCCAGTTTGATGATGGTTTCGGATATAAAACTTCTCTATAGAACACGATATTTTTGTTCCGTGTATGAACAACAGACCCTATCCTCACTAATGTTTTTCTTCGTATCCAACAGCATAATTATGATGAATATAATGCATGTTTAACATTGTGTGTCCTTCGTGCAAATTCATTTCTTGATAAAAAATTATAATGAAAAACGATACATCAATAAGACCGATTTCCAAATCTTTAATCAAAGTTCATTTGAAAACATCAAGAAATGCCTAGAAGTAAAGACAATCGTAATCCTAAATAAAAATCGACGAAACAAGTCAAAACATGAACAAACAAACGATTTACACGGAAACCCTTAAAAAAGTAATGAAATGAGTCCAGGTGTTTCGGACTGGTAACCGTTGTGTAATCCTTGGTGAATCTAAGTAATGTCAGGTACCCGAATAGCAACAGAGTTAACAAAATTGAAATCACAAGGCACACTCGCGAGCATTGAAGACATCTAATTTTTATTGCACAAAGAAATGGAATTGAAATACCCAGTGCTTCGTGGCATTCTACGATCGTTAACACATGTTGACTATTGGTATTTACTTGTAACAGTTACATTTCAACTAATACTGAAGAATGCAATATCATAAATATTTTGGCATATTCTTGTTTGCTTATCCTTCACACAATAGGCAAACACCTTTTCGTTTGAAACCAGAATTGAAAAGTAACATGAAGCAATTATTTTTGTTAGAATCTGACGCCATCTAAACGTCACTTGTTCAATTGTGATTTGGACACTTGATGAAACATGTCATGGATAACAACAATGATTGACTTATATTTAAAAATCATATATCGAGAATTATTTCTTTTTTCCATTATGAACGTGTTTATTTCATTTGGTTTACAGTTTATTTCTGAAAATCTTTCAGATTTAATATCGTTGTTTGGACCTTTTATCTAAGTGTGGAATTATGGGGATAAATACAATAGATAACTTTCTTTAACATTAATTCTTACACTGTTTGAATTTCCGCTATTTTGGTATCAAATAAAAATGAGGAATTGCAATATTTACTCCGACTGCTAGGGCTACTAGCAGTACGTTAAAAAATTGAAACATTGAAAAGTGAGACTCGAAAGTGTTCTAAAACTTTACTTGGAGCACAAAGGTTAAGAGTTTTGCTTTATCCAAGTTACATGTTAAAAACATTAAAGGCAATAAATGTCAAATTGAAATGAAATACATCAGACCAATCCGTTTCTAGTTTAATGTATCGATGGCAGATCAACATATATGGAATAATACACTTTTCGAAACAAATAAGCACAAATGTCTTTTGATTCAACCTGAAAGGTTTTCAATTCAAGAGCAACCATGTTTGAAACATATTACAGTCCCTCTGGGAGTAAACACCCAGTTGACGACAACGCCCTCAATATGTAAACAAACGGTTGACGAGATAAGGTAATGTCAGACGTCTGATTCTCACTGATAAACTACTTACTAAAATGGCTATACATGAAACATACGTCATCTTTACGGTAAGTGTTTGAACGTTTTCAGGCATTGACTAGAAACAAAAACTCATGTCAAATGTTCACATCCCCTCTGTAAACGTTCACTCTTTTAAAATATCGACTTGTTTATATAATATGTTAACCTTGTTGTTGACACTTTCTCTGTATGTCCTACTTCATATTAATATCATTTAGTTGTTTACTTTTCCATTTCAGCTGTTGCTGATCTTTGTAATAAAATGCTCCTCTGAACTCGTTGACCCTCGACCCTGTCCTGCTAAACCGCCTTGCAGTTGTGACTTTAACACAGTGGAATGTCATAATCTCACTCAAACAGAGTTTCCAACCTTTACCAGGGTTAATTCAACATGGCACTGCTGGCGACTTCATCTGAATTACAACTACAATATCAAAAGCATCCCGGCTGGAGCTTTCAGTAATCTTCCAATCTGTTCCCTTCAAATTGGCCACAATGCACTTGAAGTTATAGAGGATTGGGCGTTGAATGGATCGGAACCGTATCTTGATTTCGTTTTTATGCAGTTCAATAACTTCACAGAACTTCCGAGTGAAATTGCACGAATGCCAAACATCACCATGCTTAGTATCCATGACAACCCTATCAAGGACCTTCCACAGAAAATGGCATTTGCTTCCAAGCTCCAATTTCTCGATATCGGATCACCGGAAATGACGACATGGCCGAGCTCAATACGAACTCTAAAATCCGTTTGGAGCTTGACCCTTTATAAGTTACCGATGACCGATCTACCTTTTGATGCGTTTGAAGGGCTAGAAGACTCGAAAATATCTGTGACATGCTATACAGCGAAATTCAAGGGTATTCCGAAAGCAATGAGAAGACTTCAGAAAATGACAGGCCTATTAATCGCTGATGATGTTGAACTTTCATCTGCAGGTATACCTGAGGATGCTTTCAATGGTATAGAATCACTAACAGAAATTACTATATCCAACAGCAGTATAACGACCGTATTCAATATGTCCGCTATTCCTACACTTACCCAATTATCAATTAGCAACTCACCGCTGTCGACATGGGATGTATCTACATTACCAGAACAGCCACTGCTGCAGTCTGTAGGATTCAGTAACACAAATATAGATCGTATCCCAGCCGCTGTGCGACGTATTAATCGTCTCTATACATTAGCCTTGGATAATACCAAAATTTCCAGTATTGGGCCAGGCGACTTGGCAGGGCTACAGAAATTACAGGAATTGAATTTTAGGCAAACTCCATTAACCAATATATCCATGGACGCATTTAATGATATGTACAGTCTTATGAGTCTAAATTTAGATTTTACAAACCTATCAGGATTCCCTAGAGCTATCGAACGACTTCCGGCTCTGCGATTTTTGAGTTTACAAAACATTACTATTGACTGTTCATGTGCAGAACTTGGATGGATGAAGAAATGGATTGGTTATAAGCAGTTGCGTGCTAGTGATGGAGAGTGTCACAACATCCGAATGGATTTGTTCGAGTATATTCGTAATGAGGTGCCGAAGTGTCCCTGAAGTATAAATAGACCCTTAAATTCAATGTTCAGTGTTTTGACATTTAACGCTGTTTGTAGTTAATTTAAATACATCAATGGACATGAACATATCCCATATTTCACTAGAAATAAATGTAACCTACATTTTGTTTCTGGAATATTAATCGGGTTTTTATTCTAGTGCAAAGTTTGAGAATGAGTTATCAATATACGCTATACATATTTGAATGCAAGTCTGTTTAAGTGTTTCCTGCCTGATTTTTTTATGTCATTTTATTAAATCATACTCATCGTTGGGCACAAATTTGGAACATTGGGAACATTGTTTCATGGGCATTATATTTCGGGGATAAGTAATCCTCTATTATTATAATGATATTAATTCTAACACAGATCGGATGTCATGCTTTTATGAACACACTATAGTTTGGTACGTCTGATCTTATAAGCTTTGTAGCAAACAAATTTTACTAATATGATTTTGGAGTATGACATGACTGACTTGGATCGACCAAATTCTTTATCGTCGTTGTTGTCTTGTCGTCGACGAAGCAGACCTGTTTACCCTCCAGGAGCATCTGATATTATATTATATGGTTTGTACTTTTTCACTATTCAATATTCGCGTAACCATTTATTTTGTTCATGTTTGACATTTTAAAGTCATACAAGTACAGAAATATTCTATCTTTAATTGAAAAATTTGCCTGTACGGTTTTGCTTCACGGTAATTAACGCTTAAACGTAGTAATTAAACATGTACACACACAAATCTGAAACGTCGAACGAGCCGCGGTCTGGTCTAGAGCAGAATCACCAGAGTGTTTGATATCAATGCACATCATAATGATATTAACAAGATCAAAACGTTAAATAATTATAGAATTAGATATTTCAAAAGGCAGCTTATTAAAGTAGACACGCCAGCCAACAAAGAATGTGTACAAAGCTCAATGATGGTGAATAGCCAGGATTTACCACAGAAAACACAGATCGCGACCAATTTCCTACACTACCTTGAATATATACATAGAAAACGTCTTCGTTGTCAACTAAACACAGCATTCATTATTCAACTTCTTAAAATCAATGTTATATTGATAAATTTGATGTCATTTAAATGAAAAGGAAATTACTTATAACATTTCATTAACGTCAATCATTGTTATACAATATCGCAACATAACGAAAAGCATAGGTCAAACTTATCACATGGCAAGGAGGGTGCGAATTTGCGTCATTCTGTGTGCATTAAAATATGTTTTTTTTTATTATTATTTTATTTTAGTCAATTGTAAAGTTTACTATTAAAAACCGACAAAGAAAATGCCGACTTGTCAATAAAATCTAAATACAAACTCCAGTTTGATGAAACTTTATCACAATATCAACAGAATATTAACATAAATATCCATGAAAAAGGAGAGGGAGAATATGATAAGGTCTTCCGGTAGTCTACGTGTCCCTTGCTTTATCGACGATATCCGCCATATAAATCCTACTGTATCTCCATGCAAAACCAGCGTATTACTGAATAGTCACAGAATGGCCCCAATTGGCAATCTTCCTAACACATGAACCAATTTACAACACACAAGATGTTCAATGGCAGTCAATCAACAACACTCGTCATACTACAATTAATCTTAATTTTTCAACGACAATATTGACCACTTAGAAAATACCTCTGAATATCCAGTATCAGCAATCATTGAAAATTTGCCGAGGTATGTGTGTAATTTTGATTCAGTAAAACGGAAGTAGTTGTTTTAAGGACACTTAGGAACGTTCTGTCGCACATATTGCCAGACCTCCATGTTTCCTAGGTTGTTACAATGGCCGTTGATGCCGATTCTGCTAGCACCGGACCAGTTCTTCATCCAGCCCATCGACTGGCACGTACAGATTAATTTGTTTCCGAACAAACTCAAGATGTCAAATGTTACTTCCTCTACAGCACGTGGGATACTGGTGAGCGCCGTGTTGTCTAATGCTAAATACTGAAGAGAGGTCAGTGTCTTGAATGCGTCTAGGGAAATATTATGCAGCGGGGTATTGGAGATAGAGACATATTCTAATTTAGAAAGCCCAGAAAGATCGCCGGATTGAATTGTTGTTATGTTGTTATAATTCAAGCTCAGAACGCTTAATTTCTTCATCTTAGAGATTGCAGACGGTACCTCATTAAAGAGAGTGTGTTTAAAGTCAGCAATGGTGATATTGGATTCTTCCGGTAACATCTCCGCGGGAAAGTCATTAATGGGAACAGAGTTTAACTCGATTTGAAATAGTCCAGTTGTGTAGTGGAATATATCCGGAAGTGCTGTGAACTTGCTATTGATAATCTGAAGCGAATTCAGACCCTTGATACTTTCAAAAAGACTTCTGGGAACACCATCCAATGTTAGATCTTCATCAGTGTTTAAAGATAGATAGTACAGATTCTCAAGACCTTTAAAACTGGACGGAAGTCTTTTCAACTTCATGTTGTTCAGGGTAAGCCAACTTAGGCTTAAATTTGCAAACGCTGTTTCCGGCAATATCTCTAATGGTAAGCTAAAAATTCCCAATTCAAACAGGTTCAGGAGCTGTACTGACGGAGGCCAGATGACCATCTCCTCAGAACCAAAATGGAATGTGTTTATCGTGCTGCTGAGGGATGTCATCACGTTTTCATCAAAATTTGAGATTGGATTCTGCTGGATTGTCAATGAGGTTAAATTCTTCAAATTCGTCAAGGTTTCCGGAATGTTAGTCAAACGGTTAGACTCCAAATATAAAGAGTTAAGAACCGATTCCAGTCCTCGAAATGCATTATCGGAAACAGATGTCAATGAGTTATTAGACATGTCTAATAATTGTATTTGGATATTATGAAAGTCGTCATCTCTTAAACTGTGGATATGGTTATCTTTAAGGTACAAGTCCCATAAACTATCACTTTTACTAAATGCAGGGACACTAGTTAGTCCTCTGCCTGAACAATCAATGACATTGTTAAAAATGCCACAGCTACATACAGCTGGGGCTGGACAGTCTTGGGTGTTTTGGGTGTTGATGCTTGACTCGTGAGTCGTATTCGTTATCATTACTTTAGACTCAAACGTCGCCTTTTCGTAATCAACTTTGGGTTGTTTCCATGGGTTTGACGATGTGACTGTTGCAGTTCTTGTGCACTGTGTAATAAAAAAAAATAACGTGTGACGTATACGATTCATTCGGATAGAACCACTTTTTTTCATTTCATAAATTCATTAATAAGTATTTACAAGTAAGAATGTATTATCTGAAGTGTGTTTCAACATAACTTTCTCGGAATATTTTTGATAAAATGTTTATTAAGAAAATGCTATATTTTACAATGCCCTGGAAATGTATACAAATAATATTTATCTGGAAAAATATAAGCACATAAAGCGTGAAATACTTACCAGTAAACACAGCAAGTACACAAAGCTCCAAGACGCCATGACTAACAGAGTGAAGATTTCTCAAACACACCAAGGTGTGTTTGTAACGCCGAGAGTTTCTATGTTATCTCGTGTGACCGAATTTCTTCCACAAGGTGACTTTTAAGTCGGTGAAATAAAAGATATGCGTGAAAGTTTGGCCAGTGTATACAGAAATGGTTCATCAACAAGACAAACTTATTAAGTTTTATAATCAATTTTCAAATGTAAGTCAGTAAATTTGGCAGAAAAAAAAATATTATTACTAATTTTTGTACTGATATTTACTCAGAGGAACTGGATGATAAGCTGTTATTCTTCGTCCAGAGTTTTCACTTTATGTTCAGAAAGGTATCGATGATGGATATCACAATTTGTTTGTTTGTTAACATAAATTGCCCGGATCGCATGTGGTGGGCCTCCTGTATGTTGTTCAGTGAAGTAATCACCAAACTACATAACTGTTCAGTGTGCATCAAACAGACAATTATTCCTGGTTAATTCAGCCATTATCATAACCGAATCGAATTCAATCCGAACAATCCGACGACACTTATCACATCTAGACACATTTTGCCATTGCCAAGATTTCAGATACTGAATTTTTGTAATGTTTAATCTATCATAACACTCCAGAATAAATCGACGTTGAATAAGTACGAAAACTGTAATACCCGGTACCCGCAGATTTTACAACATTCACTATACCAAAATCCTGATAATATAAGACGTATCAGACATGGAGTGTTAAATAAGTTGATAGCCAATCATTCTGTGCAATAGATATATTATTGTTTGGTAAATGTTGAGAATTAACACAGTTACATAAAAATTTTTTAGACCTTTATACCCATTTTAGAGACCGTTTCTGAAGCAACCTCGTGGGCGTGCGCTGTACAATTCACGTACCGTTGAACTTCCGCTGTACAATCCATGTATCGCCCGACTTCCGTTGTATAATCCATGTATCGCTCGACTTCCGCTGTACAATCCATGTATCGCCTTCCGCTGTACAATCCGCTCTGATGACGACATATACAGTACTAGTGCATTATAATCTGTCCTTCCCCAGTTTGAGTTGTAACAATGATGCCATCCTGGTGGATTGGGCAGTAATGTAGGGGACGGCAGGGCAGCAATCAATTGGTGGATCGGGCAGTAAAGTAGGTGAGGTCATGGCAGCAATCAATTGGTGGATCGGGCAGTAAAGTAGGTGAGGTCATGGCAGCAATAAATTGGTGGATCGGGCAGTAAAGTAGGTGAGGTCATGGCAGCAATCAATTGGTGGATTGGGCAGTTATGTAGGGGACAACAGGGCAGCGATAAATTTGTGAATTAGGCAACAAAGTAAGTAAAATTTCCATCATCCTTTATCTTACTGTAGGAGATGAAATTCGTCTTTAATGGAAAATTACAATTTGAGCCATACGCCTTCGTGAACTGAACATTGTTATAACATTTACGCTTCCATGAAATCATTTGAAACATCAGCATCGTATCCGTTTTTTGTTTTGTTTTGTTGCTTTTTACAGTCTCTGATATTTTCAATCCTGTTGAGGATTTCATTTAGTAGAATCTTTGTTAAACGGTTAATTAAGGAAATCAACTTGTCATGTAACGATTTGATATGCAGACTATACTAGATGTACACTCCTGATACAACTGGAATGAAAAGATTATAAAGGATTAAAAAACAATAAATACAAAGAGATATTTTTAATCTAACATACTTAAATCTTAAAGATGGCAATGTTCTTTATACAAACCAACAAACCTTCAATGTATTGAAGGGTGGGGAAGCAATAAAGTGAATTAGGTAACAAAGTAGGGGAAATCAGGGCAGCAATAAATTGGTGGATTGGGCAGCAATATAGAGCAGGGTGGATCAGCAATTATTGAATGGTTGGGCAGAGTATAGGAAAAAGTATAACAGCATTGTAGGGGAGGGGTGGCGTAACAATGCAGGGCGGAGATGGTACGGCGATATAGTGAAGAAGACAGCAATTTAGGGAAAGATTGGATGCACTGGAGAGGGGCAAGAATTTATGGAAGTGATGGCCCTCAATAGACCATTTTTTTTTATTTCTTCAATACATTGTTTATGTATTTGGAAACACACAGTTTGTCAAGAATGTGATAAAGGAACTTGTATTTGTGTGCATATACAGTATGATACGAATTCAAATCTATACTACATACTGCACGAACAGAAACACGTTAAGTGAGCAGATCGTGGATGTTCACCAATCATTTGATGTAGTGCTGGTTTTCAAATTGACGTCATGAAGAATATTTATGATTCATAAAACATATCTTTATGGAAAAGAGTATTCCCCATTTCAGGATATACATTTCAAAATCGTGTCCTTCAGAATTAACTCACTTAAAAATACGTTGCCGACTCCTGATTGGCTTGTTTTGTGAGTGTTTCTCACCATGTATGCTCATAAGGTAGCTCTCTGATCCCTTGATCTAGTTTTGGCCGGTTGATACCGTCTGCTTCCGACTTAATAACACCGATATGTCGCGTGGCAATATTCTAACAGTATTGGTTTGATTACAACAATACACAGCATATATACAAGATATACAGTACAGATGAGAAAAACACATCATTGAAAAGATGTATTGAATCAAATGTTCATAAAGGTCATTCAGTCTGCATGAAGGAGTATTAAAAAACTCGAATCTATACAGGACACACAGGAACGAATTAAATTTAAATCTAAATGATATTTTTTTGAGTCCCATGAAATACGTGCCTATTGCAATACAACATCGCCAGTCGATACAACTCCGATTTCTTGACATGTTCTATATAAACAGGGATCTTGTATAACATACCTTATATGGCGTTTTTTTAAAAAGAAACTTAAAAGAAAACACAAACGCAAATTAAGATAGGAAAACATAAAAGTTGCAATGCGGTTACATATGAAAGCATAGGACGACACATTTTGACTTTGACAACAAAATTCATTTTATGTCTTGGTGTGTTCTGGTCAAATTAATGAACTATCGCAGTGGCTGAGAAGGAGTATATGCTGTCTCATGATAAACTATGTAACGTTAGATATTAAGTCAGTGCAGTCTGCTATAGATTTTTGTTTTTTTTTTTTTTTTGTTTTTTTCATTGAATCAATATAAGTGAATTTCGTAATCCATTTAATGTAAAGGAGTCCCGGTTTGTTCTCATCCTTCCAATGTATAAAACACTGTACACTAAATAGTAGACAGTATTATAGTTACCGTTATAAGTGAGACAGCATCATGCTGAAAGGGCACATAAAACGCTAATCTAGATTTAGTTTTTCAGTTTACTTGAACTGTTTCAATGACTAATACATCAGCCTATTCCCCTCCCACAATCCCTTTTTTTCTCAAATTAAACACCATTCATTCACTATTGTTAGCAGATGGAAGAGCACAAGGGGCTTACTGTGGGAGGAAACCAGGGTACAAGAGGAAAACCCACCTGGTTTGGCTGGTGACTCCCATAACTTTTCCAGGGTTGGAGAACCAAACCCTGGACACCCAAGTGAAAGTGGTGAGCATTACCACTCCTTCAAAAAAAACAAAAACAAAACAAAAAAAACAAGGTATCACAGATTATACAATACCCACAGACCCTGTAATTGAATGAAATGATAGGTTCAAAAGAAAATTCTGATTGATTTGCCTTGTTTCAAGAATGTTAAAGCTTTTAATAACATTAACTTTAATAACATTAACATTCTGTCAATTTTTATTTACAATAACGGCTATTTATAGTAACAGGGACCTGGTTTTAGACAACAAAAGGCTGAAACGTAACTCCTACAAGAGGTGGTGTTATTGCCCTTTCCTCCATACAGAGGTATATACATTGCACAATAAACAACATGGACAAAATCAAAGGCATCATTTCATTTTAATCTTAAACAATAATTATCAAAAGCAAAACAATCTTTATCATATACAGAAAATATCATTATTCTTTCCCTTACAACAGCATTTATTCAAATATTCAACAACAATCAAAACTGTAATATCACAAATAAGACTGAAGATCTATAGAAGACAAAAGAGGATAGACAACCTAATCTGAATGTCTAGGGCAGAGTTTGATATACACAATGTATGTAATTATACTTAGATTTAAAAAAAAATTATGAAAGTGGGACTAGGTCAAGATCATTACTCCAACTGCAGCTTGAAATTAGGGATTTTTCTGTCTTTTCTCTCCAAATCTAGATTCAAAACAAAAATAAGCCAATGAGTTAAGTTTTATACACTTTGTTGCCAACTTGCGGTGACCAAGTCACTGAGCATACTCCATAGTCCTTCAGTATCACAGGAAATAGTGTGTTTGTTCAGAAAAGAAAACTAAAGAGTTTCAGAGAAAAATAAACTTTGTCAAGTCTGTTGTATATAAATAAACGATATACCACATGTTGTTAATATAAAAATCTTATTTCAATATATTCAGCAACAGAACATTTACTTTAAATTTGAAACTTTGATAAAAAGTCATAAAATACATGATGATCCTACAATTTTGCATAATTTGAACAGGTTCTGATAAAGCTAATATCAGGTTGACCAGGGCAAAGTCTGGTGAGTTATCAAAACCACATCTTTTTCTAGGATCTCCGAACATGGCATGCCTTGGAATTGGGCATCTACATTGATGAAGGTCATCAATATTTCGAATTATTTGCACATAATTCTGTCATAACTTCAAGCATTTTGAGACAATATTTATTATAACCACACATTTTCACAGCTTATGATATATAAATTTGAAAGTAAATTAATTTCTATCACAGATTATCATCACAACTGGACAAACATGCACTTAACATTGCATTTTCTTCATTTTTTCTGTTCATCTAGTGCTGTACTCGATTATATACTCAGGGTAGCACTGAGCACAGTCAAAAATGACAAATATGGAAGGTGTCAACACATTGTCTACGCACGAGTTGAATGGACGTCGCTTGGGGTCATCTGGATCTATTGGTGGCTTGCGCATTCCATGGTTGCCGATGCAATATCGTCCCACCAATGCTCGCGCAACAAACATATATTTCTTGTTTGGGTTGATTGTATCCTCGACATTGGTGAAGACAATTTTATCAGTCGTGCTGCTCACGACAGGTGTACTCACGCTGGTAGGTATCACTTGACTGTAAGTGTTGCCATGAAATATTGTCGAAGAATGCATATTACTTGGTCCAAACAAAGTTTGTGTGTTGTTATACGTTGGCCCAAATGATCCACTAAATGTAGGGACTTTATTGCTATTGGAAAAAGCAAATGTTCCAGCACTACTGACAATTTGTGTCACATGAGGAAAGGTACGTAATGTTTTTTTAAACATAGGCACATAACCGAAGGCAGCTGGTCCTTGCTGAGTGGGTTGAAATGGATTTGGGTTGTTAATTGGTTGATTATTGAAAGACCAAGGTAGACTGAGAGCCTGAGCAAAGGAAGCACTGCTACTTCCTGGTGGCAGAGGTTGGAAACCTCCAAATCCTGTAGCTGGATGGCTGTACCGGTCTGAGTATGAAGCTTGCTTGGCTAGGTAAGTACCTAGAACAGGAAGAAGAGAACACAACAGTAAAATTATAGATTTTCGTGAGACTAATGTTTTTTATGGTTTTACAAAATTTTGTTTATTTTCTTTGTACTTTCTGGATAAATCTTACAAAACCTAGCTGGACTAGTACCAAAATCCATGTCAAATTTTATCTGCTTATTATTTTGTGGACATGTAAATTTGAGGATAAGCACTTTCCATGAAAACGGTGAAAATAAGACCTCCATGATAATCATTGATTTTACAGTATTTTCGAGGGAGATCCTGATATTGAATATATTTTACAATGTTTCAACAAAACATGAAATTTCTAAGTAGGGATAAGACTATAAAGATTCAAACCAAATAGAAAAATTTTACCAAGTTCTTTTTTTTTGGCAATATGTTGACTTCCTGTTTTAATGGAAATTAACTGCTCCCCTGATTATCATGATAGCACTATTTTTGATTATCTAGAATTTGTAAGAAAGTTTTTTACATCAAAATCAACATATACAATGATATGTCGACCCTTCCAACATACTTTTTGTTTTGACAACCTATATTATCATGACATGATTTTCAACTTCTATGCCATTCTGATTAAAGATGTCTAACAGATTTTAAAGGATGTACATACATGTACATTGCTCGAAAGTTGTATCATTATATTCTACCCTCTCCATCCCTACCTCCTGGTTGTTTTAAGGATGTACCTTAACAGAAAGCTGTCCTTATCAGCTGCATCTATTCCTTCATTTTTGGAGTGAGAAGGAAGTACCTTGATCAAAGACAATCTTTTTTACCTTCTTCCCTCCTCATTTCTTTGGATTTACAGCTGTCCCATCATGTTTCTTTCCTCCCCTCTTTAAGTATTTCAATGATGTTTCTTGACCCAACACATGCCAGATATACCCCACTCTACCCCTTTTTGCATTCAAAAGACATTGTACAAAGGCTCTCCCATTTATTTCTCCCTCCACTCTACACATATTTATGACAAACTGTGACTGAAGGCTGTGCCATTTTTCTCCTCTCCTCCCCCTCTATGTATGTGTTAAGAACAGACCTTGGCTGAAAGCTGTTCCATTTTAATTTTCCCCTCCCCTCTATGAATGTTAAGGATATACTTTGTCCGCAGACTGTTCCATTTTATTTCTCCCTTCCCCTCAGCATGTTTTATGGACAAAACATTGACCAAAGACTGTTCCATTTCATTTCTCCCCTCCAACCTGCATGTATAAAGAACATGCCATGACCAGAGGTTGTTTCATTTTCTTTTTCCCCTTCCCTGGGAATGCTTTCAGAACCTACCTTGACCAAAAGCTGTCCCATTTTCTCCACACATCCTCCAGTCCAGTCCTTCTCTACATATAGCATCAAAAGCCTTGGTATTTGTGCCATGAAACAGCTGTTTCTCATTGATCTGGTTTTGACCGAAGTCTTCCATCATGTGTTTCCTTGCTCTATATTTACCAAAGATAAAGAAAACGTTTATATCATATAATTCTGCACAATATTTGACATTTCTATATAGCATGTTTAAAATTTTAAAAAGAAGTTCTTTTATGTTTTAACTCCTAAGATAAGTCTTGTTAAAGTTTATACAAACTGGAATTTACCTGGGTAGGCTGATAATTCCTCATTCACGAAGTATTAAGCATACACAACGAAGCAAAGCTTATTCAATCAAGGGTTCTTTTAGTTCAGTTTGGAATTAATCATTTTTATGTTATTGTCTTTAGACACTTACTATAGTGATCATGTGTTAAACTCCTGTTTATGAAATTCGAATAGGGAAATAAATCATCCTCAATTGCAATATCTCTATATTGGCCAATCAAAATACACGTACATGTAGTTAATCCTTCCAGAACTACACTCTCTTTTTAACAATAAAAAGTCCAATTAGCCGGGCAAAACAGCTGAATCAAAATATTTCTCCTTTTGGGCCACTCCCTTCACTCCCACAGGCCCAACACTAATCAAATCAAGATATACATTTATGATCCATTATGGGTGCTTATATTTTTATCATATTCTCATGATTCCATCAAAACATAACTGTACTGATTATCAGATTAGAATCTCTTGAATGGTTCACATTTTTTTAAACTGCATTGTATTCTGAAAAGAGTGTTATCATATGTCATCTTTCAGAACTAGTGAGACAAAACTAGGGACAACACCTTACCTTAAAAATTAAAATTTGGAATACATTTTATAGAAATGTCATTTTTGGAAGATGGCCTTCAATTCAATCTAAAATTCTGAAAAAAGGATACTTTGTCTATATTTAGAATCAATGATTGTGAGAGTACTTACAGACAAAACTTCTGCCACAAGCGTGGGTTTTGTATCCTCCTGATAGCTGTGATTTGTTTGGAGGACATGCTGTGTGAGAAGATTGTCTTGATGTGTGCATATTCCACACACTTTGTCTCCAAGGTAACTATCACATAGTCCTGTCATATCAAAATCATACAGTACTTAATCATTAAGTTTGTCAAATCTCACAAAGTCATACTAAACTTTTCTAGTACTGATATCAGTTAGACTTAACACGTTCTACAATGAATTTGATTAATTTGTTTCAAATATAAACTGAAAAATTCATTCAAAATGTTCTTTGTTTCCCAGCCCAGGAGGGCATGGCAGCATATCCTTCATTCATGAAGAAGTTTCAATTGAAAAATGAAGCTCCAGATGAGAAATGTCAAAATCCTCTCAGCCTTTCTCAAGAAGAAGTTCTTTAAAGTATAATTAATACCAAATTGTAGAAATAATTTACCTGATCCTACAGGCTGTGTGAATTAATATGAATTTGGACAGAAATTTGTTTTATACCATCAGTGAAGAAATCACAATGAACCAGCTCCTTCACTCTGATCAATCCAATTAAATTTTCCCTTCTTTATCAATCATCCATAGAAAAAATCTGTAAACCAGTTTTCTGTCTGAATCATCAAAATTATTTGTTACCAAGAATCTCCAGACAGAATCTTCTGTATAATCAGGTTGAAGACAAAATTGGCCCCAACATTAGAACACTGAATATAAGAAATATGACCAATAACTTGCTAACTGCTCTGATATACTATTTCAAGTTTTCTAGGGGACATAACTGATAGTGCAGTTGATTAGTATGGAATATGTAGTTTTAGGTGAAGATAAGAGGTTCGTGGCTCAATGTTCCCTAACCCTGGCAGTTTGGGTTTGTCGAGAAACAGAGAAACTTTCCAGCCTGATGTATTTGTGTCTTTGGGCAAGAAAACTCACCCTAATTGCACTTGATGGAAATCTGATGGGCCTCCTGTATGTTGTTCAGTGAGGTAGCCACAAGCTACTACAAGGAGACTCCACCTCAAAATGACCTGGGCTGTTCATGGCATGATAAACCCAGCATACAAACAATGCTTCTGGTAATTTGCCATCAAGAGATATATTTACATGTTACACAGTCAGGAGGGCAAAACTGCTGCTTTTTTAAACAGAGTTGTTTACCTTATCACCTTCCTCAGGCATCGGGTGCCAGTAAGATGGAGGCTCCAAGTCCTTACTATCCAGGTTCTCCTGTAGGAATGTTGTGAACTGGTTACAATCATCATGACTTGTCATCATCCAAAGTCGCTTACAGTACCTACAGCTAGTCTGTAACACAGTAATACAAGATATTACAGTACCTACAGCTAGTCTGTAACACAGTTATACAAGATACTACAGTACCTACAGCTAGTCTGTAACACAGTAATACAAGTATTACAGTACCTACAGCTAGTCTGTAACACAGTAATACAAGATACTACAGTACCTACAGCTAGTCTGTAACACAGTAATACAAGATATTACAGTACCTACAGCTAGTCTGTAACACAGTAATACAAGATATTACAGTACCTACAGCTAGTCTGTAACACAGTAATACAAGATATTACAGTACCTACAGCTAGTCTGTAACACAGTAATACAAGATACTACAGTACCTACAACTAGTCTGTTACACAGTAATACAAGATATTACAGTACCTACAGTTAGTCTCTTACACAGTAATACAAGGTATTACAGTACCTACAGCTAGTCTGTAACACAGTAATACAAGATATTACAGTACCTACAGTTAGTCTCTTACACAGTAATACAAGATACTACAGTACCTACAGCTAGTCTGTAACACAGTAATACAAGATATTACAGTACCTACAGTTAGTCTCTTACACAGTAATACAAGATATTACAGTACCTACAGCTAGTCTGTAACACAGTAATACAAGATATTACAGTACCTACAGCTAGTCTGTAACAGTAATACAAGATATTACAGTACCTACAGCTAGTCTGTAACACAGTAATACAAGATATTACAGTACCTACAGCTAGTCTGTAACAGTAATACAAGATATTACAGTACCTACAGCTAGTCTGTAACACAGTAATACAAGATATTACAGTACCTACAGCTAGTCTCTTACACAGTAATACAAGATATTACAGTACCTAGAGTTAGTCTGTAACACAGTAATACAAGATATTACAGTACCTACAGCTAGTCTGTAACACAGTAATACAAGATATTACAGTACCTACAGCTAGTCTGTAACAGTAATACAAGATATTACAGTACCTACAGCTAGTCTGTAACAGTAATACAAGATATTACAGTACCTACAGTTAGTCTGTAACACAGTAATACAAGATATTACAGTACCTACAGCTAGTCTGTAACAGTAATACAAGATATTACAGTACCTACAGCTAGTCTGTAACACAGTAATACAAGAGTCTGTAGTAATACAAGCTAGTCTGTAACACAGTAATACAAGATATTACAGTACCTACAGCTAGTCTGTTACACAGTAATACAAGATATTACAGTACCTACAGCTAGTCTCTTACACAGTAATACAAGATATTACAGTACCTACAGCTAGTCTGTTACACAGTAATACAAGATATTACAGTACCTACAGCTAGTCTCTTACACAGTAATACAAGATATTACAGTACCTACAGCTAGTCTGTAACACAGTAATATAAGATATTACAGTACCTACAGCTAGTTTCTTACACAGTAATACAAGATATTACAGTACCTACAGCTAGTCTGTAACACAGTAATACAAGATACTACAGTACCTACAGCTAGTCTCTTACACAGTAATACAAGATACTACAGTACCTACAACTAGTTTCTTACACAGTAATACAAGATATTACAGTACCTACAGCTAGTCTGTAACACAGTTATATAAGATATTACAGTACCTACAGCTAGTCTCTTACACAGTAATACAAGATACTACAGTACCTACAGCTAGTCTGTAACAGTAATACAAGATATTACAGTACCTACAGCTAGTCTGTAACACAGTAATACAAGATATTACAGTACCTACAGTTAGTCTCTTACACAGTAATACAAGATACTACAGTACCTACAACTAGTCTGTTACACAGTAATACAAGATATTACAGTACCTACAGCTAGTCTGTAACACAGTAATACAAGATATTACAGTACCTACACCTAGTCTGTAAAACAGTAATACAAGATATTACAGTACATACAGCTAGTCTGTAACACAGTAATACAAGATATTACAGTACCTACAGCTAGTTGTTAATTCAAGCAGACCCTGAGACAGAAAACAACATGATCAAGTAATGATTCCTACTATAACATTGAAAGTTGTCTGGGGTATTTATTAGTATGTTGGAATTAGAGATAAAAACCATCTTTAACAATGCTGTTGACTATGAATCACTTATCTGGAGTTGAGATATATTGAAACATTAAAGTTTTAGCCTGCAGGTTTTGTTAAGTGTTAAGATACAAAAGATCTTGAGGGCCCTCATCACTCACATTGGCAATAGGGATGGGAAAAAACATGACATGTCTGTGAAAGACCATGGTTATACAGCTGAGACTTTCAAGGACCGGGGAATAGGACAGAAAAAGTAAACATATGTAAAACATTTACATTTTTACAGTTCGGGCATTCAAACCCCTTGATACCAGCATCCATCACCACTGGGAAACTGCAACTGGGACATCTGTAAGTAATTATGTGAATAAGATGGCAGATTAATGAACACGTCAATAAAACACTGTTTATCAACTCATTATTCACTGTAAAACTAGAAAACCTTTTTATCATTTGATTGTAAGATATTCAGTGAATAGTTATATATTTTTATATTTTTTCAAAATTAATTTTTATTTTATTTCATTATTGTATTTCATCATACCTACTGTCATACCTGACTTGTTTTGCAGATTCTTTTCACGAATAAATATAGTTCAATGAATCAACTTATTCTAATTCTAAACAATTCAAGGACCCATAAATTTGTGGATTAACAGTACCCTATGAAACCAACAGAAATAAATCCCCCGCACAAAAATTAATGATTTCACGGTATAGTGATTTATATTGATTTATAAGGATACATCAATTCCTTTTACTAGATGAGATAAAGTTTAAGAAGATTATACAAGAGCATTGATTCTTCATTGCTGACAAGACTCACGTCACAAGGTCTTCCATCTTGCTGATGGACTCAACGGCTTGTTTATGTAGCTTCTCCTCCAGTAGTTCTAGGATCAAATTTGGTAGAATCTTCTTGGCTTGGCCTAGTCAAATCAAGATAGAATATTCCAATTATGGAACTAGTAAATTAGTTACACAAATCTGTAAATATCATAATTCCCAGTTTTCTTTTTATAACAAAAATCTCTTACCTTGTTTTCAAAATTATTTAAATTGAAACTTTGATTTTCAGACAAAACAAGAAATACATTTTCTTGGTTAAAACCAAGCTTTGGAAGATCACTTTTACATGTAGCTGGAAATTGTAGATAAGGACACCATAAACTACCTTAATCAAATTTTCTGACCTACGCTAACATGCAGATTAATGTTTTTGATGTTTCAAACTAACAGAGACTGAGAGACACATGCTGATGATGTACTTGTGATACTTAATAGTACCCAAGGCATTTTTCCATTAGCTAATCTATTATTTAATACATTATTTCTGAGCAGTGAGATAGAGCACTCTATGTACATCATAGTATTTTTGCTTTTGTATATTGTTTACCTTCATTTTTAAATACTTTAAATCAGTCTTAAATCAGTCAATATAATCTGGAAATTCAAAATCCCTCACATCTGGACAGAGATCTACACTGAGAAACATACTTACTCTCAGGTACTTTACTCTTACAATTTTCACTTGGACAATTGATTTGAGTCTGCAAAACAAAAATAAATAAATAAATAAATAGGTAAGACAAGAAGTTTATATAGAAACAAATAAATATGAAAACATGTGTTTTGTTAATCTCAACATCATAATATGTATTTTTTCCAAAATTCACTTCATCACTTCACAAATGAATGTAATTACCTCCTGGCTATCGGGTGAGAGGATCTCCTTTACTTCCTTTTCTACACAAGAGTTACAGATGAGGTGGCCATCACAACACTGTACTACCATGTCTGAGTTCCGGTTCATCTTACACGACTCACACGTTAAAGATGACGAAGACACATCTGTTGACATTCAGATAAAGTTTTCTTTTCAAAGTATTATGGAAAAGATGTGTAAATCTATGCATGAAATGCGCTGTATATAAAACAAACAACTAATCCATTACAATCACACATGATTCTGAAATATTCAATATGATATAAAACTTTATAGTATACCAATCTTAAAGCTAACGTCAGTTCACAAGATACTGTCAAGATAAGGCATGCTTTACCAGCAAGATATATATGAGTCAGATTTGACAGGATTCTTAAAATCATGACTGATTTGACAGGATATATCTGAACATGTAGAAGTGAATTTAAGCAATTTGTCTACATCATGTACAGCCTGCAGATTTGTATCTTTCAAGGGAGACAACTCTGATTCTTCTACAAGCCTGGGATCCTGGTCACATACCATTTTCTCGGAGGGTATCCATAGACTCTGTAGCATCCATGCAAATATCTTTCTCATCCTCTTCTGAAGACTCATATTCATCAAGGGCATTCCGAAGAGGCTACATAAGGAATTAACATCTTAATATCATTTGTAGGTACAAAAACACTATCTTTTAAAAGTGAAAAGACTGAGTTTATACTAACACTGATTGAAGTAATACTAGGTTAAATATATTTTACCAAACCAGGAAGTTGTGATATTTCTGTAATTTTTCTTTTCTGACACAATATACAATGAGAAAAGATTCTTTATTTGGCACAATCATATTAAAGCACATATAAAGTGGTTATTTTTGGCAAGTTAGTGCAACGATAAATTTACACATCCACAATAACTACTGTATCAGCAGTATGAAGAAAATAGGGAAAGATCCCAAAGTTATGTCAGCATCCCCTCCCCTTCATGGTATGATCATTACTGGTTCTGTATTAGTTGGATCTTTTCCCTTCTTTTGTGTTCATCCCACTTTTGTCCTTATTCCATCATTTTTTTCAGATCAAATCAAACTCAAAATAGCACAACTAAGAACCCACATTTCAAATTTGAGAATATTAAATCCAGTACTTCTCAAGAAATGCTGACCTTCAAAATCCAAGATGGCATTTTGTCGGCCATTTTGTTTTTTGATTATCCACAACTTTGGAATAACAGAAACCTACATTTATCAAGAAATAGAGATAATAAGAAAGCATAAGGACTGGTAACAGATGGAACTAAAAAAAAAAAAAGAATAGTGATTCAAACAGCCATCATCTGATGGTGATGGGCTAAAAATTGTGTCACTTCAGAGAGTAAAAACAACTGTCTACAGATTTTATTGATGAGGTGCTGTAAAATGATGTTCACAGAATTAGCGACGACCCAAAAAATATGGTAGCAATGGCTACATGGCAATCCTATTGTTCTTAAGCCTACTGACAAAAAAAATGCTGCATGTCTAAATCTACACAGAAAACTGTGAACATTATTGGAGTAAGATATGTTCAGTAATTTCATGAATTTTCTGGAATTGTTTAAGGATAAACTGACAGAAGAGTATAGATAAAGGACAATTTAAACAATAGCCTGTAATAGGAGTTCTTTGTCTTCTAAACCCGTCTCAAAAGCATACCTAAAACTCAGGACAAGATGTATATCTGTAATATGTATGTATATATTGTATGTATGTATATCTAAGAACTGATATACCTTCTTTGGTACAACAGCTTTCCCCTTTCCTTTTTGTCCTCCTACATAGTTGACTTTTTTACCATAAAGTCGTACAAGAGGTCCAGCATCTGTCTCGTTTTGTCTCCCAGCTGGTTGAGAAGGAGCTTTAATCTTATTGTTGCCAAGAGCAACCACTACATCAGGTTCTTTGTCATCTGGGATAGAAGTCGGATCATTCCGGGAGGTCGATTTTGGGTAATTTCCGTCTATCATACTATCAACAAGGTGGTCTAGATAGTGTTCATTTCCCAGCTGAATGGCTATTTCAATCTTCAGTTTAATCCACTGCCTACAAGCATCTGGAAACCACTCACACTGAAACAGTCAATATATATGGAATGTTTTCTATTGTGTTACTATATTGTTAACAAACTTTCTACTGAATATGACAATATTTGTCACTTTATGAATAACATATAAAAAAGATACTGAAGACCAATTCAAAGTCAATGTTCTTGATGTATGCTGAATTTTCCACAAGATCTGTCCACTTTGATACATCATTTAGCTCTACTGTATCTGATTCTAATTTGTATCAAAAAGTGCTATTCACATGTGTGTCTTTTGTACAACTTTACAAACTGATTCATATGTTTTTTTCATAGTTGCTTTAAAGGATGTGCCAGGTTTCAATAGTGGAGGAAAGCCAGCCCCCCCCCCCCCCCCCCCCCCCCCCCCCACCATTCACCATGAATACTTAGTGTGTCGATAACTCACCACTTTGTCAATTTCCTTTTTCTTGGCAATACTTTGATCTAAATCTGAAGAGGGATGGTTCTGTTCTAACTTAGAAATTATGGTTTGTTGGGATTGTCTCCCCTGTCTGGTTACCAGCAGGAAGTTTTCTCTGCTTTTTGACAGGTTTGTCATTGGCTCACAATCATTCCCTGTTTCGTTCTTTTGAGGTGTAGAACATTTTATTCCTTCTGATTTTGATTCTTTTGAAATTCCTATTATTTCCTCCGTCAGAAGATTTCCATCCTGACAAAAGTCGGACTTTCCTTGAGCATTTTGGATCCGGATAACTTTCACAGGTGGCTCCATCTCTGAATTTTTCGGTGCTGTTTTCGCTGGATTATTTGTGTCAGTATGTACCATCTGTGAAGAGGTATTGTTGTCATGTACATCACTCACTTCAGTATAGACAGATCTCCTGGTATTGAACTTCCTCCTGGCTACAATCTTCTGTCTGTCTGGACTAGAACTACATTCTATAGGACTGCTACAAATCAAATTGTCATCACTATCTTCACTCTGAAAACTTACATCATGTGGCCTCTTTAAATTAGAACTAGAACCGAATTTCCTCCTCGGTGAATTCTTAATTTCTTCCTCATCGCTGTCACTGTCTACATAATCTTCCAGTTCTTCATCAGTGTCATCAAAGACAATCAATTTGGAAACACCAGATGACCGTTTAAGATTTTCTGACTCTGATGTATGTTGATGAAGTTTCTGTCCATTTTGTGTAGGAACTACCTTTCCACAATCACCTGTGGGCACCACATCAGGTTTCGGACCTATTCCAATTTCACACAAGTTACTGTAGCTCCATTTGGCTTGTTTGCTTGTAACAGCACCTACATTCTTTGAGGTAGAGAAGGTATTTGTCTCTTCTAGATTTTGGCTTGATAAATTAAAGCTATCAGTTTCTAAAATTTCCTGATCTTCATATTCAGATTCAGGTTTATCATTATCTAAACTTGCACTGAAAGGTTCATCATCTTCATCATAGGATGATGGTTCACTTTCCTCTAATTCAGCATTTTTTTGTGATTGTGAAATTAAGGCAACAATTTTGGAATCCCATAACGCCTCTGTTTTCTCATATGAAAGGTCAAGGTCATCTTCACCATCTGTCATGTTGCAACAGTGTGGGTCACTGGTGCCTTGGACTTTATGGGGCTAGAAAGAAAAAGGAAATATTTCAAATGAAGTAAACCCCATACATATAGGTATAAAGTATACAATTTGATCAAAGGCTGGAATAATACCTACATATTGCTTCTCCTTTCCTGCACTTAAGCTTTGGACTCTGATGTGTGAATGATGTTAATAAATGATGTCACAAATAGGTGCAAGTATTTACAAGTAATTTCAAGTTAATATCTCACACATCATATATTTATCAGTGACTTTATGAGACCCAAATATTTGAATCCTAGACTCATGCTTTTTCTTGTGGGACTCATTCAAATTTTGAAAACCCACTTTAATCTCTTTGTAAATGGAGTCATCATAATTTTGGAAATGCTGCTCCGGGTTCATCAGAAAAAATCCTACAAACATTACTGATTTATGTTGATTTTAGTGAGGCAAGTAATCTGAGGCAAATGATGAGAACAGTCAGTAAAACAGTAGGTTCCTTTATCATGGGGTTTGGTTAAACATCACTATCAGATAATCTGTCATTATATTTTCTGTTCTTTTCTTAAAAAGATATTCTAGCAGTTATATTAATTGGGAACTTGACTTTAATATGAGTTTGAAATAACACATAGATACAGTACTGGATATATTTGTGTAATATACCATTCTATGTCCTTACTGTTAAATCATATATTTTTGTGAAACTAAATTTTTGTGATTTTTCAAAAAATACTTTTTTTGTGGAAACTAAATTTTGTGGATAGATATAGCTAATGAATATGCCTGTTTTAATTTTAACAGTTTGTTGACATATGAACTTCTTCATCCATGCCCAATGGAATTGCAGCTTATATTGATAATTATTTGTATCTTGTACATATAGATGGGTGACTATGGACACATAACTTGTGGAAGATATCCCCTGTAATATCTGTTTCATGTGAAGATGCAGTGTTATAGCTTAAATGTACATCAAAACTTTTAAGCATGCATACTACAATGCCGTCAACATTGCTTATATTTAGAAACTGGGGTTAGTAAATGCTAGAGTGCTAGAAAACCTAGTGGTCAAAGTACTGAACTTCATCAATTTGGAGAGTTTTGTCCCCTTTATAGTCCAGTCGTTTTATTATTTAATCTCAAACTAATTGCAAACGAATTTATTTTTGATTTATTAAAGTGCTTTATTGGCCTTCTAAGGTATAAAAAAATCTCACATTTAATTACATTTAAAGTCTGATGTTTATCTTTTAAGTAAAGCATGATACACAGCATTAGTATTTTAATATTAACTGAGATAGAGTGCAAATTTGCCAAATTCTTCCAACAAAGTTATGGTAATGAAAAATAATGAACTGTCAAATAGAATAAAGAAAGTTGAAGTATTGTGTTTGTCTTCATTTCTACACTAAGTTTGATATTGATTAAGCGTGTTCAGAAATTTGCGATTCAGAAATTGACAATGAATCCATAAGAAACAGGTCTTGGTATTTAATAACAAAGCTTAAAATGGGCCGTTTTCGAATGGACAGTTATTGAGGTTTTAACGTGATCATAAAGATTAATACAAATCGTCCGTATTTCTCATATAAATATCGAATATAAATAAATAATATACATATTATTATAAATAAATATACCTTTCTCATACATGTCACAAATCAAGGTGCAACATAATCAACAAAACTGACAGCAAACCAAAAGCGGAAGTGGATTGTAAGTTGTGAAATACGCACAGTAGTGTCAGACGCGAGTTGGCTGAACAGGAAGTTGTCATCGGAAGAGAAATCATAGAGAAGCGACAGAGGGATCTAGAAAGAAGCGTTTTCGTAGTGGTGTCCTCCGGACCCGTCTCAGGATAAGGATACTTTGAAAAAGTTGACCTTTTTATGTATTATGGACTTTACTAAATTAATATCCATTGCGGCCCAAAAACAGCAACATGCTGAAAAACAGGTAAACATGAACCAAATCCCCTCAAACCAGACCATGCTGTAGACAGTGAGTGTGATGTACCATATTATTGCTACGTCAGCTGTAGTATCAGTATGGTGTAGTTTTTCAATTTTCCTATTTGTTGGTTTTATGTTGACTTTGTTTATCTTAACTGTGAGTGTTTCTTCCTATAGGTATATTGTTTGTGTGTAACGAAATGGGCTAACCCATTTACTTGTATCAGCATCTGTCTTATCTATTTCACGAAATGCCCATGATTACTACATATATGGTATACTGTTACACCCGCCCGCCTCGTGAAAACCAGGCAATGGTTAGGTAATTTAATAACTGCAGTAAATGTCCGAATTTGTCCGAATAAATCTGTTTTCCAGGAGTTCATTTGGGTAAATATATATATATTATCCTTATTTAAAATAATAATTAGGTAGAGGAATTCATCTACCTAGTTTTAAAACCAAAGAAAATACTCATATTCTAAAATTCCATATAGTACATCCTGATTTTTTATTTGTAAATTGTTGAAGGATTACAAGACTACATAGTATTAATTTCTCTCTGTTCATTTTTAGTTTTTAAGTGTTTAATTGTTGTTCAAATGGTTTGTGGTCAGGTGGAGTATCGTCATTGATATGCCATTAGTTGATTTTTTCATATTGTGTTTAAGTAATAGTACACTATTATCTTGTAGTTATGTCTGACTCTTTTCAATAGTCATGCTTCACTTGGTAACTTTGTTCATTTTGTTTTTTTTACATTTAAGTTAAATATGGGCAAATAAGTAAAATCTGTTTAAGTCAACAGGATAAAGAACAAATATTTAACTGTACCTGTGTGTTCATCTCATCACTATCATAATTTTATCATAATGTCTATGATTTAAAGGACTCAACTAGAAAGTGTATTAAAATCCTGGACTGGTGATTTTGGTTGTAGGGTGGCAAAGCCATGTGGAGCAAGTGTAGTATTTTCTGATGAGCCTATTCACAATTCATATGAAACTAATCAGGGTGAGGTGTTCCGAATGACAGATCATTCCATGGATTTGTTGCTATGTTCGCCATGTTGTTATTTGCCATTGATGCAAAGGACTACTGGAATTTTTTATTTCCATGTCACAACATTATGACTGATAATATATGTGAATTTTTTTTATTTGTGTTATCATTAAAGCTTGCTTTGCAGAGCCACTTTAGCTACACTCACTTTTATAATGAAAATTACTCCCCAAAATGTCTTGCAGAAATTACTGAATACATTTATATTATTCATATTATGTTACATGTATATGTGATAAGCTAATTGTCAATAGATTTATACCAATACAGTCCAATAGAATGAGTTTGATGTGTTGAACTTCATCTGAAACATTTAAGTTGAATGTATCCCATTCTTAGCAGTAAAAGCTCATAGAACATTATTTTTTATTAGGAATCACTGACATAGGCTGAATATGTAATCTCTGTTTCACTTATAATAACTTGTATTGGTGACCTCAAGAGCAATTAGTTTATGCTCCCATTTACAGCAAATGCTGACTTTCATTTCCTGTAATCAGGATATGATAATAAAAGGTGAACATGTCAAGTCATTCTGGTCACAGTATAGACTTTAGGTAATTTTCTAAAGATTTTTTCTTGTCCATGCAACTTCAGCTTCCATCCACAAAGATGTATTCCACTGAGTTGCCTGCACCACAGAAAAGGAAAAAGGAAGAAAAGGAAAAATCTGAAGTCTTAAAAAAATTATTAAAGGAAAAAGAAGCAGAGAAAAGAAGAAAAGGTATACAAATTTTGAATGGCAATTATTTCTATGTTTCATTTTATATAACCTTACAATATATCTGGAGGTAATGATACATTTTTGAAATTTGAATACTTTAGAATACATAATGATGATGATGATGATGATGATGATGATGATGATGATGATGATGATGATGATGATGTCATTGACTTCAAGGAGCTGTATTATTTCTGATATTGGTGGTGACATTTTGTTCTGGACATTGTCTTTTTTTTGTTTTCACAAAATGTTGTCACAAATCGTAATTTTGCATTTTAATTCAACAATTTTAAACTGCAATATCAGCTTTTTTAATTATATATCTTTTTAGTTTTGTATGCCAATTTCCTTCTTCAGTTTTTAACCAGTTTCCCTGAAACTTTTACGCTTTAAAATCTCAACATCAATTTGTGTTTGTAGACTCAAAATTTCAATTCAAAAATAGTCAAGGGACTACTTCTTTCAGCTTTCAACCCAACCCATCTCTTTAAAACTGCATATACTTTAATTTATCATGAAAAAACATAGCAGTTTTTTCCCTCTTTGCATTTTGACTCCTCGTTACCATTTTCATATTGATTTTGAGTTGTTTTTCATACAATAAATCTAAGGGATTTGAATCCAATTTCAACCCACCATGGGTTGGGAATTCATGCTACCATGGGTTGGGAATGCATGTTAATATTGGATGGTAATTTGTGTGACCATGGGTTGGGCATGGGTTGGGAATTCATGTCACCATGGGTTGGGAATTCATGTCACCATGGGTTGGGAATTCATGTCACCATGGGTTGGGAGTTCATGCCACCATGGGTTGGGAATTCATGCTACCATGGGTTGGGAATGCATGTTAATATTGGATGGTAATTTGTGTGACCATGGGTTGGGCATGGGTTGGGAATTCATGCCACCATGGGTTGGGAATTCATGCCACCATGGGTTGGGAGTTCATGCCACCATGGGTTGGGAGTTCATGCCACCATGGGTTGGGAATTCATGCAACCATGGGTTGGGAATTCATGTCACCATGGGTTGGGAATTCATGCCACCATGGGTTGGGTATCCATGTCAATATGGGATGGTAATTTGTGCCAACTCCCTGTGTAATAAAATATAAATCATGAATATTTCTTTGGCTTTGGACAGGCTTATATTGTTTCATCCCACAGTACTCTTGATCATTCAGTCCTATTATAATTGGTAAAGGGGTACAAACATACTTGTGTTCTACAGAATATCAAATCTTTGATATTGTAGATCTTGAGAGACAGAAACGGAAAGAAGCAGAAAGAAAACTGCGTGAGGAGGAAGAGAAAAGTAAAAGATTTAGAATACCCAAAGTTTCTAGGTCATCAGATTCCAGTGCACCAAGCTCAAGTGACAATTGCCAAAGTAAATCTGAGAGTAAATCTAGCCAGAAGCCATCTTCTGGAGTTTCCAAGAATACCTCATCTGGTGATAAAAAATGTCACATAAAACCTGAAAGTAGCAAATCAACAGAGAAAGTGATGAATCACAGTAACTCTACAAAGTCAGATTCTTCACATAAATCTTTAAAGGAGTCAAGGGAGAAACATAAAGATACTTCTAGTCATAAAGACCATCCACACAAAGTGTCAGACTCAAATAAGAAATCGCACAGTTCTTCATCATCAAAAGACAAACCAAGTTCTAAAGATAAAGTAAGTTCAAAAGATTGTTCAAGGGAAAAATCTACTTCAAAAGACAATTCAAAGGAAAAATCTAGTTCAAAAGACAGTTCAAAGGAAAAATCTAGTTCAAAAGACAGTTCAAAGGAAAAATCTAGTTCAAAAGACAGTTCTCGAGATAAAACTCATAAAGAATCAAACTCCAAAGACAAAACACAGAAAGTTTCATCTTCAAAAGAAAGTTCAGAAAACGGTAAGTCAGTTAATTCAGTTGTTAGAGAAAGTGAACACATTCCGGAGTTCAGTAATCGTGAACAGGAAGCCACTAGATGGACTAGTAAACTGTCAACAGAGGAACAGCTTCGTATCAGAGTGGAGTTTGAACGTAAAAAAGCTAGGTTAAAGGAGTCACTTAATAAACAAAAAGACGAAAGGATACGCATTTCAGAAGGGAAACAGCCGGTGTTTTCTAAAGTTCCTCCAGATGAGGCCAAAAAGAAAGCCAAAGCAGAAGCTGAGGCTGAGAGAAGACAAAAGAAAATTGAAGAACGACGTCTGAAGAATGAACAGGAGATAGAACGAATAATGCAAGCAGATGAGAAGACTGATAAATCCAATCAGAAATCTTTAAAACATTCCACAGAAAAGGGAGATAAATCTAACGGAAAAATGGCCAAACACCGGCCTCTAAATCTGAACAAAAATAAAGCACCACCAAAAATGAATTTCCAGGATATCCTCAAACTTGCTCAAGCAAAAGCTCAAGATCCTGTGGCAGCAGTTGTGCCAAAGAAAGCTGAACCAGTGAAAGAGCACCGTCCAATGACACAGGAAGAAAAGGACAGACAGGAACGGAAACATTCAAAGGAGTACAAGGATTGGTACAAATACGGTAACGCAAAGCCTGTGGCTGGACATAGTGCTCCTGAGCAGAGGAGACCAGATTCATTCCATCCATCTAAAAGTGAACAAACAGAAAGGAAAACAGACTCACCAAAACGTAGTGATTCAACTAAGAATGATAGAGCTACGTCATCAGGGAAGAAACCCGGTCTGTCAGTGGCAGTGGATCGGAAACTTGGTATAAATAAAACTTTAACAAATGACAGAGTAAAACAAAATGGCCATCTACAAAAGTCTTCACCATCTGTCAATAATCCAGCTCATATTAAAAACAGGGCTTCTCTGGAAATTTCCAAAAAAAGACAATCTTCAGACATGTTCTCGGAGAAGGATGCTCTTAACTTTGCCAAAAAACGGCATTCTCTAGATACATTAAAATCATCTCAGGTAAAATCTAATCATGTTACAGGTGCCAAGTCAAATAATTTGAACAAGAGTGTAGGCTCAAGGAGTGAAAAACAGGATTTAAAATCTAACCGTGTTCCTGGTGCTAAGTCAAATAATTTGAACAAGAGTGTAGGTTCTAGGAGTGACAAACAGAATTCAAGTTCTGGTGATCTTTCGAAAAAGAGGAAACTAGAAATGCCATCTGGTGGGAGAAATCCACACAGTGAACATAAAAAACCAAAGACAAGTGAAAGTCGCTATGATATTACCAATGAGAATGTATTGGTGTGTGGACCATCCAGTAGTAAGTCAAAACGAGAAAGGTCACCTCCGCCGAAACCGGCATCCTCTAACCCATGGGATAGGATTTATAATCAAATGAAGAAAGACAACCCCAAACCAGGTGAGTGTATTCTAAGCTTGTGAAATCACACATGGTTAAGTGGACAAAGTGATTTTGCATGTTTAAGATACAATCAGTATTTTCTCACGATCTCTTTGTGAACATCATTGACTGTCAAGGTGATATGAGGAATCACTCCTCAGATTTTATTTTTCATGTTTTCTGAAAATTTTAGGAATTGAAATGCTATTTTATGTCTCTCAATTTCACAGCACACATGATAAGGAAAAAAAATCAGATTTATTACTGACTTAAGTGAATAATGGATTTTTATATACGGTATATTGATAACATTTTGATTATATCTGTCACTATCACTTTGTTTTGTTTAATGGATATTTATATTCACCTCATTCAAAGACAATAATTACTTGGTAGAACTTAAAAAGTTTATCCATTAGAAAGGCTTTTTCTGGAATTCTGTGGGGCTGAATATTGGCCCCAGTCCCAAGTGGATTTATTTCATAATGTGGTCAAATTCACAAAATATGTTTAATTCCTAAAACATCCTTCCAAATTGATCAATTTTTCCCCATAAAGAGGTAAAAAGGCCTTTACTCAAATAATTGGGAAAATGTGTTGACTAGTTTTGGGGTTGTTGGTAATTTATGATTGTAAACATACATATGATATGAAAAAAAGTAAACATTGTCCATTTTTATCTTTATGAAACCACTGTGCAGTGGCCTGCTCTCGATGATGCATGTAAAGGAAAAATGATATAGTACTGCATACAATATTCATCTGGTTTAAACTATAAACAATGGAAGAGGAAATGTAGAAAGACAGAGTTAAAAATTAGTGTTAATATGATCTTTAAAAAAGTAGTTGTCATAACTTATATATAATGTATTCATTTTGTCATCTGTTCACAACTTCTGTCTTGTCAGTGTCGGTATATAAAGGAGCCAAAGTTTCATGTATGGAAACAAAATTTTGTGTGCAATTAGTGCTAAAGATGTATGTATACATTGATTTTAGTTATGAAATATGTTCCTATTCATTGACAGCAAAGCATATTAGACCAAACAAGACCTGAATGGTTTGAGTCCAAAATTTGAATTTTAAGTAAGAAAAGAAGAAAAAATCATAGGGTGGAATTTTTGGTTTGGAAGAAATCTTAAAATCTTATTCAAGATATATTTAAAAGTTTTTACAAAACTTTTCAAATGGTAGTCTGTTTGGAGAAAACGGGTTTCATAATTGAATTTAAGATATGGATTAAGTAATAAAATAATGATGGATTTGGTTTCAGTGAAGAAGAAAAAACAAGTAATAGAAGATGATTCTGATGATCTTGATGAGGATTTGGATGGATTTATCGATAATGATGACGACTTCATCGACGACGACATGGACATGGACTATTCCAAGCACATCAGGGAGATCTTCGGCTATGATAAATCCAAGTAAGGCAAAAGCTAAATATAGATTGCTCAGGGATGTATAATAAAGAGTGATAACAAACTAGGCCCAGTATTGACTTGTCTGGCATTAGCTTTTGTGTTTGTTCACTGAGCCATGAAGCTGTTAAGTCCCTTCTTCTTACTATTGTTTCTAATTTTATCTATGTACCCCATTCACTTTCATATTGTAGGTAGTGTGGATCGGATTTTAAGAAACAAGAGTTATGGCCCTTTGTTCAGTTCTGTTTACCTCTCTCAGGAACATACCATATACTCTTACACATACAGATCCTAAATTTACAAAAAATGAAGTGTTATGACTTAATGTTCATAGTTCAAAACTTGTCACCTATAGTTTTCAGGTTTTGTGTGTAAGTTTTCTTAATGGTATTGTTGAACACTTTGTTTCTATTACAGGTATCGCTATGAGAGTGATTACGAAATAAGTAATATGGAGTCAAACTTCAGAGAACAAATGAAAGAAGAAGCCAGAAGGTATGTATAGTAAAAAGATACATGAAATCTTACTTCAGATTATATATGGTTTGGATTAATTTATAACTCAAAGAGAATCACTTGCTTAATTGGGATTAAGATTTATTTTGAGACTTTCTAAAGAAAATTTATAAATCAAGGATTACGAGTGATTTTGTTGCCTTCCTTGTGGGGCTTTAGTCAGAGCTATTCATTATAAAGTTATCTGGGGTTCTATTAAGTAGGCGTGTTGACTCATAGTTCCATTTTCATGCAATCCTGACTATTAAGTGAGGTTTTTGAGAAGCAAATTGGACAGTTATGAAAATAATGTTTTATACAAATAATTATAACCATAATGTCACATTCTGTAACCAAAGGAAAAAAAATTACAACCAATTTTGGATATGAAATAAAAATGTTGTAATCTGATTTCTGAAACCTAATTGAATTCATTGTTTAAGTATTTGATATTGTGAATAAAAATCAAATCTTTCTATACCTTGCAGTGCCAGACTTGGTTTACAAGAAGATTTAGAGGACATACGGAAGGAAGAAGAGGAACTCAAACGCAAAGCACTCGCCAAAAAGAAAAAAGGAAAGAGTCGATAGTAACCATTCAACAGAGAGTAGTCTACTGGGCTTTTCTTATGCAGAACTTTTTATTTATTTTTTTTAATTCTCTCTTTTTTTGTTACATATTTATTTTAAGATTTAATTTTGTTAAAATGTTCCTCACAAAAAATGCAATCAGTATAACATGAAACAATATTCAGGAAAGTGTATGATTAGACGATATTAACAGGTCATGAATGGAAGCATTAAAGTTTTTATATAATTTTCTTTTTTTTTTTTTAACACCGAGAAGTTAATATTATTAACTTATTTGCACTATATACATGTTTATATAAACCAGAATTTCAAATGCATGAAGTGTCGGTGACATAAAATTTATTCTAAACATGATACATGGAAGCATTACTAATGAAAACAGCTTGGAACTTATCAGACTGTGATGTATACTCAGAAACTCTGTCTTTGATTGTGTGAAAGTCTAGTCTTAACGTCATATCTAGCCTTTCATAGAAATATTACATCAGCTATATTTGTAATGTAATATTGAAACAATGCGTATGTAAACACGACATGACAGATTTTTATGGAAGTATGAAAAACTTACTTGATTAGTTCACCATTCTGACATACTTTAGACACAATTTGGAAAATCATCAGGGGACTGAAAGCTTGTGTTAGTAAAAATCAAAAAGGTATCTGACACTGAACAGGAAGATGTTGAAAAAATGGCTGTCAATTTGGGGTAAAAATGACCACATGCAGCTTACATTTAACCAAACAGGTAACCCAGAGGCTTGAGTTGGTGCTATGATAGCAAATGTTAACGATTGTTTACATATTTTCTTAATCATCAAGAGGCCGAGGATAAGATTTGACCTCTGACCTATCAAGATGAATACTTTTGTTCCTATTACTGGCTGACTTTTGAGATTATAATGATCAAACTGTGAGATTCAAGTACCTGGTGTCATTTTTGATTAATTGTAATCAAAGTCAATCAGGAAATGTACAACTGATTTACGTTATGAAGTTTTTAACGGTAATAATGGTTTAATATAGTTTTCTGTTATTTCTGTTTCATCCACTAAAAATATTACATGTAGTGTCTTAAACCAATTCTTACCAGGCATATTTACCTTCGATGAAATTCTGGTATTATTATTACTTGTGAAAACTATACAAAGATGGACTGTGCAATATAAGTCTGATTAAGATGCTGATGTCTTTTCACTCTGTGTTTATCAAGATTTCACTTCTTTAGTGGTGAGAGTATGTAATGTTTACTCTTCCTCTATACCCAACATTGATTATATGATGCAATCAAATGATTGCTGTGACATCACTCAATCATTATGGCTGGGAAATTGTTGCCTCAAATGATATATCTGTCTAGAGTTTTCCTATCCTTTAAATATGTACATGTAAATCCTTTATAATTGCCATAGTCCTACAGTTACATACTGACTATCTCCTAAAAAGTCGGACAAATTGTCGTTTATCAGACTTTAATGTTGCTTCACTTTGTTCGAATGTACTTTCAACTTATTCCACCTCTGCATTTTTCTTCTGTTAGGCAACTTTAAAAAAAATGTGTTTAGCTCTATTTTTCATTCCCCAAAACAATGATGGACAAATTTTCCTCAACACATTGCTTGTTTGATGAGCAATTATTTCAGTGTGAAAATTAATTTTATTCAAATTAATATACACAATTTCAACAAAAAGTTGATCATGAAAAAGAAAACCTAATGAGAGGATATCAGACATATGAAAATGCTTTCTCAATGAAATATTGATCTCATGTTTTCCCTTCTATGTTTGTGGTGAAGGTGGTGTAATTTAGTCAACTTATCAAATAATAAGTCTTGTTTCCATGTGTTTATATGTTATAAATATCATACTACTTGACGTCTTGTGATAATGTTTTTGTGATAATCAGGACAATGAAAAGCGTATATACATTGTGTGGACAAGGAAAAACTTGTATGTTTAAATTATAGCAAAATAACTTAAGTGATAAAATAGAATCTTACAGACATGTCACTGTAATGTATTAAATTATTTCAAAATTTCCTTTGAAACACCATTTCAGATCTCTTATATTGAAGTCTGAAATAAAATCTGTACTACATTGTTATTTGTGGTAAATCCTTCGTATTTGTCCAAAACATAAAGTCTGCACACTATTTATTATGTCTTTCAATATTTCATGTAGTACATGTACAGTTCGGCATTTTTGCTATGTAATTATGTAAGTGATAACCTCTCTTTATTGAAAATGTTATAGAAATATCTTTTTTGTGTTTTTCTGAAAGGGTCAATATATGTCTTTAGAGATTTCATGTTCAGAGGAAAATTTTAAGGCTTTACAAAAATGTTGGGGATGACTAGACAATCCGTCAACAGTTTCCTACCTGTCTTTATCATCCTTTGGTGAAGCACTCCTTGAATACCCTGAAGGGTATCCATCTCTGATTCCTACACACCAACTGACTATTTCCCAAAGGACATTGGATCGCCAAATAATGAATTGGCTTACTAGTACATTTTCTAATGTCCAAAAATATGGAAGGTTAAAACACTTATAGCTTTGAGTAATTCATTGAGACATACATGTAACAAACTGCCCTTAAAAACTTGCAATGTCTTAAGTGAATACATGCTGGTAATCATACTGGCATGAATGCCATTACTGTCTTGCACAAACTGCCCTTTAAAACTTGCAATCTCTAAGTGAATACATGCTGGTAATCATACTGGCATGAATGCCATTACTGCCTTGCACACCTATGTTTATGATAGTTATGGTAATTAAAACAGTTAACAGTGGTGTACTTACATTCTTAAATTAATTATAGCTATTTGTTATTTATTTTGATACTTAAAATTCAATAAAATAGCTATCAGTGGCTTAATTTAAAACTGAACAATGTATGCAAGATAGTGCTAACCACTCGCAGAAAAAATTATGAAAACCTATTTAATTTCTAAGTGACAATGATAAATCATGACCCTACTTACTCAGATTTCATCTTTTAAATTACTTCTTCAAAATCCAATGAATCAATTATTGTACAACTTTTCAAGGTCAAAGGTCAATCAAATTGTGGTAAAAATCCATAGGAGTGGCAGGCGAAAAGGGTGTTAACTGTATCAATGTCTTTCACATTACAATGCCTATAAAAATACGGGAACAATTACACAAATACAACCAGGAAATGTGTAAGGGTAATATGGAGAATTTAAGAGGAGGTAACATGGCTTTTTTAGCCTTTTTTATGATCTGAAGTACAAAAAGTACAGAATGTTGATATTATAGATAAAATCTTTAATTAACTAACAAAATATAACCCCAGAAGTCATTTAACAGAACTTTAAAAACAGTCATTCTGATTGCCCATGGTTACATACCTTCATTTCACTTTATCAGTGTGGTATAGCAATGAGCTTGAGAGTCGTGGGGTCGGAGAATACAAAAGTAGAGCACTAGCAGTTTTCCAATAGCTTTAAACGTTTATACCAAAATAATATCAGATTAAAATATAAGAATCTTAGTTTTGGAACAAAATTATTGGAGACTTACTACAGAGAACATGAACACCTATAATTTACAGATTTCCCTGATCTTTAAAGTCTTGTCTATAATGTTATGGTATTCTTATTTTACAAGGATACAAAGCTACCCGTTTTTCTCTCCACTTTTGTACCTTTCGTCGTTTTATCTTTTGTGTTGCTAAATGGAATATGGACACTCTCAACCATAATATGACTAAATTGTGAATATTTATGAATACAAGTTTAAAACACTTTTATTGATGTTTTGTTTTGTTTGAATTAAAGTATCAAGATTGGTAATTATTATCATGCTAGTGCGTAGGGAAATACGAATGTAAAATAGCACTTCATATCTCCATAATATGTAGTGTGAAGTACCCTTTCACATTTCCCTTAATATCATGTACAAAGAGCGTTAATAGTCCCATACCCGGAACCAGTCAGCGGGACTAGTTTTGTATGGTGTCCTTATGCTACCTTGTTCGTGCTCCATTCTTTGGGTATGGAGTCTCCTTTGTAAGGCAGTGAATTGTTAATAAGAAATAGGTCACTCCGACTTATTCTTTGACCTTTGACTTGCACTGAAGAATCAAAGAAAATTTTTGTGCTTTATTTCTTATATCTCTAGTCACTGGAACTTCATACTTAGGACTATGGGTTCACCTTGGTAATGCATTGAGTGTTGTGTAACTTTGGCCTACATTTTGACCTTTGACCTACATAGATACAATTTGCCTGGGGTCTCGTCTCCTATACTTCTAGTCACTGGAACTTCAAACTTGGGGTATGGGTTCACATTGGTATGCAGCATGTTGTATATCCTTGAACATTTTTTGACCTACATCAAAAAAAAAAAGTTCATCTTTTTGCATGTGATTTCCAATTTGATGGGAGACTGTAATTCATCGAATCATTGCCATACAGGTACTCTTAATAGCCTTTGAACACAGAAAAGGTCATTTAGGCCAAATGTAGACGGTTCAAAAATAAGCAACACGTGTCTGCCTCATACCAACTGAATGGTACACAGTAGCGTGAATCTTTGACTATCTATGAAATAAAACACTGCACACGACCGTTAAATATCTGTCTCACAAATACTTTATTCTTCAGAATTGGAATTCACAATAATATATGTTATGGTAAAAAAATTGTCACCAAATTTTCAAAATTTATGCGTTCTACTCTACTTTTGAAAAAATCATTTCTTTTCTTTCCTAGAAAATTCACCATTTCAACTGAAACTACCAACAATCCAAACTTTACCATTGACCATGGAACACTGTATTTCTGATTAAGTAATATTAGTAGAATGAGACTTTTGTGTAATAGAATCACCATGCAAAGTAACCGAAATCAAAAGAGACCAGAAGCTTCACAATTATTGACAATTTTCAATATCTGAAAAAATGTGGTTTCTGAAGCAAAGAAATGAGATTTGTTCAATCTGTGGACAGTAGCACTACAAACTTAACCTCAGTAAAACATATATTTGTCTCTGCTCCAATCATTGTTAAACAGTTAACAATCATTAACACTGTCCTCTTCCTACAAAAGCAGATTTAACACTCTTGACCAAGTCAAAATCTGTCTGCACCAAATTAATGACAGCATGAATAGTTCTGCACTAGTGAGGACCTATCACATTCCAACAGATAAGCACTTTCTGTGCCTGAAGGATTTGTGTCCTTTTTTTGTGCATCAAATTGTTACAATGGAAACCGGAAACTGGCAACAGCCATGTTTCCTGCGGTGGAGTATTGTCCCTTGTCTGGAACTCTCCTGTTGAAGTTTTTGAGTTGATCAGTCACTGTTGACCAACAATCAGTGGATTCGTGTGAGTTCTTCAATCATCTTCACCAAGTCATCTACTGTTGCCTCTCGTTTCATTCCACTGCCATCATCCATCTACAGAAAACATGAGAACAAAACTTTGCTAACAAACCCATAATTCTGGGATGAAAACATTTAAAAGAGGATTAAGTCTGAAGAGTATAAACATATAGAGACACTTGCTATTAAGATGTAACAAAAACATGATAATGTTGTATCATTATGTCACAATCAAAAACTTCCTTCAGTTTATGACTACTTATAAAGCTCTTGCTTTTTTACAAAAAACGTAAATTAATGTCATCTCATAACCATTACTGAATTTGAGATATACCATATTGCATATAGCTTTTATTTGTTAATATTTTTTTCCCCAAGTGGTTCATTTGCATTGACAACAGAATATCCATATCAACTCCCCCCCCCCCCCCTCCCCATTTTCACTATCATGGCCAGCACAAACCCCAACCTACAGTTCTCTGAACTGTCTCAGACAGCACAAACACTAACCTGTAGTCCCTGAACTATCTCAGACAGCACAAACACTAACCTACAGTTCTCTGAACTATTTCAAACAGCACTAACACTAAACAACAGTTCTCTGAACTATCTCAGACAGCACAAACACTAACCTACAGTTCTCTGAACTATCTCAGACAGCACAAACACTAACCTGTAGTCCCTGAACTGTCTCTTGCATCTTGTCCCGACTTAAATCCAAAAAACTTTCAATGAGGTCGCCATCAATGAAACCTTCCGCAGGTTCTGTCTTTCTTTCAGTGTGAAATGACCTCCAACTTTGTGGTGTTAAGGATGGTTATAAAAATTCACAGCTTACATGAAATCTGTATAGTTGATTGTATTAGTACTCCAGTTTTACTCTCTTTTAAAGAGATTTACACAAAGGGTAAAAGGATCTGATCCACCAGGCTTATATCAGAAATATTTCCATATTATCATTTAAACAAATCTTGTTTGATCAACTAAGTTAAATGTTACTTTTATTTATAAATGATCCGTCACAAATGTGTATGATCAGCTTTATGCTAATTCACATTATTTCAGGCCAAATGTCCTCCACTTCTAAAAATTGGATTATTGGCTCTAGGGCAAATTGTATTGCATCTTTATCACGTCATCCGTAACTACTAAGTAAATATGTTGATTTCCCTTACCCTCTTCAGTTTTAAACACACCAGTGATCTATATGACATCGTTTTCTTAAATTCGGAAAATTTTATTTCAAATTCTATTTCCAGAATCTGTTATAATTTCAGAAACATTTTCATAAAATGATTCAAAGGATACAAAGAATGATCAACTTTTCCCACACTCTTGATGACCTTAGCCAGTCGACCTTGAACGTCTAGTAGAAAGTTGTAAAAATCTTGAGTCAACTGTGTCACAAGACCTAAAATAAAGAGGTTGTAAAGACATTAATAGACTACAACAAGGTTGACTTTGTGACTTTGAATTAAGGACATAACACATTTAAAAAACAAAAAGGACAAAAATTGACAGATCCGGCCTCTTGAACTCTTGAATCTTTAAAACAAGTGACTAATCATATCAACCTTATAGCAAGCCAAGCTCATTTATTTGGGAGATATTTGAAAGCAATGCTTTCTTGCTACTTCAAGAGAATTCTAGGCTGTATAGTTCTTAAGAAGGTGAAATAAATATAAATTGTTCATTGAAGGTTGATCACCATGTTACATGATTGTGTTGTTTTTCATGCTCGACAAGCAGAATATAAACTCTTCCTTACAAGTGACCAAACAAACACTGGAAACATTTGTACTAACCTACTGCACCATTGACAGTCCCGAACAGTACTGAACCTTGGGTAGGCATGGTGTTCTCACTTGAGTGCTGCATGACAAGAGAACCTGTAAAAACAGAAATTGTTGGCTTGTTTACATAGAAACAATGTTAAGAGACTGAAGAATTCAACTGAAGACTACTTGCAAGTGCTATCTCACATTATTAAGTTACCATGAGAATCAAACTAACTTTGTTAAAATTTGATGCTAGCCTGGAAATATGCTGATGAATTCAATAAAATACTTGCCAATTCCTGAGAGCTCGTATTATCTTCATTTTTAAGAAATAAAGGCAAAATAGCCTATTAAATGTAGCATTAAAGATAAGTCTCCAGGGTCAAGGCCAACTGTGTGGGTTATGAGGCAGGGGATACAATCTTTGTAACAATATGGAATAATCCAAAATGAAATGTTCATAACATGGAACAATTGCAAAGGACATTGTGACATCACACTACATTGGAGACCAGTGGTAATTATAGTCTCATAATTACATTTGCTGTCTAGTACAGTGGTAATGGGATGATGACAGGCAAATCAAAAATAGAATATTGATATCGTTTTATCCAAACAATTGATCAAATGATCCAATTTCAGAACAAATCTAGTGATCCTGTCCACCATTTTCTACAAAATCATCAATCCTTTCTACAAATGTTAACATACAGTCAGTCTATTATAAAGGAATAAAACTTACCATGTCTGAAAACATTCACAAACTCTCCTAAATGAAACATTCCCACCTCCTGTAGGTTCTGTCGGTCTTCTTCTGTTGTGGCAGCACTGTAAACATAACACTCAACATGAAAGTATTATGACTTCATTTTGATTCTAAATCCATTAAAATGGGTCTCCTTATTCACAGAACTATACTTTTGTACAAGTTAATCAAGTTCTTCTCTTCTACAGAACTACATTTTTGAAGAGTTAAAATAGGTCATCTTTTCAATAGAAATACATTTTTGTAGAGTTAAAATAGGTCATCTCTTCTACAGAAATACACTTTTGTAGAGTTAAAATAGGTCATCTTTTCTAGAGAACTACACTTTTGTAGAGATAAACTAGGTCATTTCTTTTACAGTACTTCACTTTTGTAGAGTAAAACCAGTTCATCTCTCCTCTACTTTCATATTAGGTATAGTATGCCATATTTTCTACAGTACTCACCTGTCCTTCTGACAGGTAAACAAGTTGAAGGAATTCTCAGCACCAAGAAAGTTGTCATCATCCAGTATTTCCACAGCTGTCATCCAGTTGGGATTACAATCGCGAGCAATCTGTTCAAGAAAGTAAGGTCTTGATATATATATCAGGTTACAATTTTTTAACACTGCTACAGGACAGAACAAAATGGAAGGAACTTTTTATTTAATCCAGACTTATTTTGCGACTCTATGGTCAATGTACAGAGGATTTATGGATTCAGCGTAGACATAGGAATAAATACTAAGTTCATAAGGTACTCTTTATTTGAAGAAGTTTGAAACACCACCTCTGTAGTTTGGCAAACATTCTGTTACACGAGAATAACTCACCTCTTCAAACGTTCCTTCCATTGGTTTATACAACAGCAGCGTAATGGACTTCATCAGATCTCCGACTTGTATGAAATCCCCTTTTGTTTTTAGATATAGAGCTACGATATTGTTGAAGTAGCTGCATTCTAGTCTTAACTCTTTCTCTGTTGTCCACTCAAACAATCGAACCTGAAATAGCAGCAATTCAAAATCTTAACAGAATACAAAGGGAAAATTATACCTGATAAGACATCACAGAGGTGTATTTGTATTAAACTCCACGCTGGGATCACGTAAAAGAATCTCTTCGTAGAATAGGCTACACCATAAATATAAAATGTTTGAAATATATAGTTATTGGATATAAAATAACCTATTCTGCGTATGACTGGATTAATAGTTTGTTATCACTGGTTGGGTTTGTTATATACAAATGGTATCATCAAAGAGATTCAAGGACAAAGTACGTGGACATAGTAAAACTATTTAAGTATGAATTGAACAGAAAATTATGTTTAAAGTATTACCAAAAGATGACCCACTTGAAATTATGTTTGTAAAAATAATTACAGCAAACGTGACGAATCACTTTGAATAATCGTTTACGTAGTTACAATGCTATTTTTACAAAAAAAAAAAAAAAAAAGGAACACACTGTGATGAAAATGAAGCTGAAAGAATTTCAGCAAGCATGGTGACAGCGACATCATTCTCTACACAAAAACAATAAATTGGTGATTTAAAATATATCTAAAAGTGAACCAAAATAATTCATTTCTTTTTTATAACGTCCATACTATGTTAACAAATGTGTCATCTTTGATCTTCGATTGTGTAGTTATGAGAAAGAAACAGAGAGAGGGTGATTGAGAGATAGAGAGAGAGGGAAAAGGAAAGACAGGGAGGGGGAGAGAGAGGAGAGAGAAGTGGAGAGAGAGGGGGGGGAGAGATAGAGAAGGGGGGGGGAGATAGAGAAAAGTGAGAGTGAGAGAGAGAGAGTGAACAAGAGAGAGGGGGATGAGAGAAAAGGGATAGAGGAAAAAGAAAGGAGAAAAGACGCGAGACAGGAAAGGAAAGATTAAGAGGGAGTGAGAAAGAGGGAGGGGGAGAGAGGGAAAGACAGAACTAAGAGTGACAGAGGGAGGGAGGGAGGGAGGGAGAGAGGGAGAGACAGAGAGAGAGGGAGAGAGAGAGAGAGAGAGAGAGAGAGAGAGAGAGAGAGATGGGGGAAGCAAGAAGGAAGAAACAATTTTTTAGAAAATATGTACAGCGATATTAACAAAACATGAAAAAGCATAAACTGAGTCGCTATGTAACTATGTGAGACCTGCTGATTTGCTATTTTCTGAGTGTAAAAAAAAAAAAAAAAGACATCACAGAGGTCATCAAGGTCAAATGTCTGAACCAGTCAAAATTCGGTCAACATTTTATATATTTAGAAGAATCAACATATTTTCAAAACTTAAAAAGCTTGGTAATGTCCATTATATCAAGTGTTGGTAGAATTGTAAGCTAGGATTTAACCAAGTATTTTCCACTTTCAAAACGTTAAACATAGATAACAGTAGAAATGCCAGACCTCATTAAAAAATCATCTTAAAGTAACCTATCTAAGCCTGTGACACTCTGATCATAAGCATAGATTTTTCTAAATACTCCTGACCAAATTCCATCTTTAAAGTCTGACTCTATTGTATCAGTCTAAATCAACCAAGCCCCAAACTCTCTTCACTAAACTTTAATCTTTGTTAATACTCAACACAGCCCCAGCTTTCCCTCCCTACCTGAACCTAGACCCTAGACCCCATCCAAAAACTCAGCCCAGCCCCAGCTTTCCCTCCCTATCTGAACCTAGACCCATCCAAAAACTCAACCAAGCCCCAGATTTCCCTCCCTATATGAACCTAGACCCTAGACCCTAGACCCCATCCAAAAACTCAACCTGGTCCCAAATTTCCCTCCCTACCTGAACCTAAACCCTAGATCCCTTCCAAAATCTCAACCCAGCCCAAAAATTCCCACCCTATCTGAACCTAGACCCTAGATCCCTTCCAAAAACTCAACCCAGTCCAAAATTTGCCTCCCTTAGCTGGGTCCTTCCACAAAATCCCCTCCAAAACTTTACCTAGCCCCAAACTCAACTCCCCTCTGACTCAGAATGTGTTTGAAAACTAGACATAGGTCAAAAACCATTATATATACTGCTTAGAAAACTGGCTGAATGGGCTGTTACACTTTCGTTTTGTTTAATTTGCTGTAAAAAGAATTTTAATTATCATGTACCAATACTTAAACTTTATAAAACAAAGGCACATAATGAGAGAGAAAATGAAAGTTAGATGAAAAAACTTATGAACATGTCCATCATGGAGGTAATGTATACTTACTGTACTATTAATGCTGGCTAACAATTTGCCATTAAATTCTAACAGTGTATATGCTGCACCTCGGATTTCTTTTTCTGCTACTTGGTTTAATTTTCCTGTAATGACAATGAAGAACAAATGAATTTATATCTAGCAATGAGCATATGGAAACAATATTCCCGGGCCTGAAAAGCCTGTGGTCAACTGATCCAAGTGAAATTTGGATATAAAGGTATATCTTATTTAATCTCTATCTTGAGTTATGGAAGAATGTCAAATGACTAGAGAAAAATCTTCTCATAATTATATAAGATTGAAAAATTATATATATGGCAATATTTATGTTGTTGCTGAAACATTTCAAAATGTGTATAAAATTAACTCTGTGAAGTTAACAATACCTGTTGATATATTTTGTTTTCACAACAATCACCTACAAATATTAGTCTGAACTTTTTCATAAACCTCTGGTGTTTAAATACTTTCTAATTTTTGATGTATCTAAATGTCCACAACAAAGTGAAGTATGTATCTCAGCTTTAATTACTTAGAATGTGAGATGGCTAAATTCATTAGCCATGCTGAAAAGTCCTGCTGATAACTAGTTATGGTAATAACTGAGTGGTACCTCAAGGTAATGTTGTCTGCCAGCAGAAAGCAACAAAGTCCATTATATTAAGACTATATATTACTGCTTGTGATAGGTCAAATTAAACACAGTGGCAGATGAGATTATGTGTGCAGACAATTTATAAAGTAACATATTTAAAGCATGGGCATGTGTTTTATTCACTTGATAATTATGTAAACCATCAAAACTGTCATCCTATACTAAATAATTCTTACCAAGTTATTTCCAATGAAAAATAATAAACAACTTTATGCAAAAACTGCAGCTTTCCTACTCTTCAGAAGGAAATATGAGACACTGGGGATATGAACTCACAATTAATATAATAATAATAATAATAATAATAATAATAATAATAATAATAATAATAATAATAATAATGATAATAATAATAATAATAATATAAATATTTGTAGGTATATCTTCATGTCATAAACAGACAACCCTAGTTAAACAGATAAATGAAAATAGCCCCAGTGTAAAAAGTGCTAAATAATACTGTGAAAAAAAATTCATCTAACCTATTGTACTAATTAAGAGTCACAGTTGATCTCTGACCTTTATATATATAAGAAAACAATTACACTGCAATTCTGTTTAAGCAAAATAGAGGTTAACTTTAAAGCACACTGTCCACAATACCTACTAGCTAATTATCATAGTCCTAGGACTTACAGTAACACTATAAGAACTGTGAACTCACATTTTTATAAAACCTTACCTTCATGGTAGTGAAATATGATTATTCGCCCTTGTTTTGGCTCCGCCTCCTCCGGATGTACCAGGGCTGTGCCCACTATATAATAGACATTATGGTCGTCACCAAGCTTTGCTGATATAAGACTGGTAGCGAATTCATTCTGTAACAACTGATGGGCATGTAGCACTGCAGGAAAAAAGGACAAAATTCAGTTATATCATATACTGTGGATTCATTTATTTTCGTTGGGTTCAATTTTCGTTGTTTCTACAAATTAGAATGTCATAAATTCGTGGATTTTTTATTCTGTGGGAAAAAAATAAAAACGTTAGAAACTAAATTTTTTCTGTTTGTATTAAGGCTAAGACAAGAATAAAAGAACGTTTTTTTCAAGATGGCGTCCTGTGTTTTTATAACGCTGTATAACAGTCTCGCATTAATATCAAACCACAAATCAGTATATATCCTGGCGTGTAATCAATCGGTAATTATCAGAAACAATTGTTTTCAGTGGATAAACATTGTGTGCTGATCAGTCGGTGTACCGCAGTCATATGAAAACACCACGCGTATCGATTGGACCATGTGTGTAAACAGGTGTGTAAACAAGATCTGCATTATTAATAATTATTGTGAACCTGTAGTCGGATAGAAATACGTATCCAATCTTCAATCGACAGGATGGTCCGATCAAGCCTAGTGTCCACAGTGTCGCTAACGACTGCGATCCCATCATACTTAGCATCACAATGGGTACTTACCCTTTGTTATGTTTAATAATATATAATTATATATCGTTGACACCAATTTAGCGTATCCATGTCGAGAACACCCGACTCCCGACTAATTACGGGGCTTCTGTCATTACCGGTGGACGTTTCCGGTGTCGGCAAAGATTACTTGGTCAAATTCCAAAATTACTTTAGTAATAGTTCATATTTCGTTGTGTTTTTAAATTCGTGGATTTGCTCATCCACGAAAACAACGAAAATTGGACCCCCACGAAATAAAATGAATCCACAGTAACTTACAAGTCTTCTTTAAATGTCTGGTATACAAAACATATCAAACACGACTTTGACTTGGAAAGAAAGAGGCAGAATACAAACTACTGGACAGCAGATACAATATTGTTCTCAATGTAGCTATGATAATGAAACAACAATAAAATCATAACGCAATATGATAAAACAAGCAATGTAGCAACAAAAACAAACACATAAGAGATTTTTAATATATCATTGCTTTAACAGATTGAATTCCTTGAATGTTGCTAAGCAACCATAGCAATCTATTTGAAAAAAATTTTGTCAAGTATTTTGTTAAGATATAACCATAACAGGAGAATCTGATGACAACCAACAAAATATGACTTGATAAAGTCAACATGGAACATAATACATATTTCTATCTCAAAATGATTTGAAATATTCTTGTCTTTAAGTAAGACATACAAAATATCTTACGTCCACTTGGTACATATGAAATGTCTTCAAGTATACATGAGACATATGGAACATCATTATGCCCACATGGGACATATAAAATCTCCTTAAGTTGACATAAGGATTATCTTTATGACAACATGGGACATATAAAATCTCCTTAAGTTGACATAAGGATTACCTTTATGATAACATGGGACATATAAAATCTCCTTAAGTTGACATAAGGATTATCTTTATGACAACATGGGACATATAAAATCTCCTTAAGTCAACATAAGGATTATCTTTATGATAACATGGGACATATAAAATCTCCTTAAGTCAACATAAGGATTATCTTTATGATAACATGGGACATATAAAATCTCCTTAAGTCAACATAAGGATTATCTTTATGACAACATGGGACATATAAAATCTCCTTAAGTCAACATAAGGATTATCTTTATGACAACATGGGACATATAAAATCTCCTTAAGTCAACATAAGGATTACCTTTATGACAACATGGGACATATAAAATCTCCTTAAGTCAACATAAGGATTATCTTTATGATAACATGGGACATATAAAATCTCCTTAAGTTGACATAAGGATTATCTTTATGACAACATGGGACATATAAAATCTCCTTAAGTAATATAAGGATTATCTTTATGACAACATGGGACATATAAAATCTCCTTAAGTCAACATAAGGATTACCTTTATGATAACATGGGACATATAAAATCTCCTTAAGTCAACATAAGGATTACCTTTATGACAACATGGGACATATAAAATCTCCTTAAGTTGACATAAGGATTACCTTTATGATAACATGGGACATATAAAATCTCCTTAAGTTGACATAAGGATTATCTTTATGACAACATGGGACATATAAAATCTCCTTAAGTCAACATAAGGATTATCTTTATGACAACATGGGACATATAAAATCTCCTTAAGTCAACATAAGGATTACCTTTATGACAACATGGGACATATACAATCTCCTTAAGTCAACATAAGGATTATCTTTATGACAACATGGGACATATAAAATCTCCTTAAGTTGACATAAGGAGAATCTCTATGACAACATGGGACATATAAAATCTCCTTAAGTCAACATAAGGATTATCTTTATGACAACATGGGACATATAAAATCTCCTTAAGTGACAACATAAGGACATATAAAATTAGTTGACATAAGGATTAATGACAACATGGGACATATAAAATCTCCTTAAGTCAACATAAGGATTACCTTTATGACAACATGGGACATATACAATCTCCTTAAGTTGACATGGAACGTTTGGAATATATTGATGTCCACATGGGACATGAAACCACATAGGACATGAAATTCCCTGAAGTCCACATGGGAAATTTTAAAGATCATGACATTCACATCGAATATAAAATATCCTGATGTCCACATGTGACATTTCAAATATTGGAAACTTTAATGGTCCTGTAACATAACAATTAATTCACCACATTGTCTAAACAAAGCTGACCTTCAAATGTGTGTTGATCTATGATGAGGAGAGAATGGACTTCAACCTCATCACCAAATGTATGTTCTGACATTGTACTGGTTCCCGTGGTAACCATCTTCACATTAGAACTACTTGTGGTCATGGCAGCGTGTGTACTGGCGCTGGCCCGTGACGGAGACATGCCGTTGCTGTCTTGAATATCCATCCTTGTGGAGATAACTCCGAATGACTGAGAACCTTCCTGGTATGCTATCCTCCTATAGTAACAGACCCAGAAATGTAATTCTGTACAATATACTTAAGATCTTACCTGAGTTACCATATCATGTGTTAAAGTTTAACTAGTTACCATTTCATTGAGCCTCTTGCGAGGAAAACAATTTTCATCCCATATGAAATGGAAAGAAATGTAAGATTGCATATAACTACTACAAACTTGCTCGATATTGTGACAATAGCCTTGAATCAGACTTATATAAAATCTAAGTTGGCAATGTTGTAACTCAATACCTCTTTCCTCAGTGATTTCACAGAACATATGAAACCATGAAGTAAGAATATCACAATTCAAACCATGGGACCCCATCACAGCCCCACTTGGTGTTATTACTTGTATTCATAACAAATTGATGTAAGTGGTGATATTACACTGTAACAGGGTAGTTATGGGATGAACATATGTGTCGACATACAGTGATTTCTGACTTAAATTAACAACCACTGATATAAAGGAAATTGTAAGCGTTGTCCAGACAAGATCATGTATATGGAAAGACAGATGGACGGACAACCTAATTACCTGGGAGACTCCATGAGAGGAATCGTTCTAATGTGTAGTTTCTGGATCTCGTCTATCGTTCCAATAGTAAGTGTGCTGTCATTAGCAAGGGCTAAACTGTAAACATGAAAACAAATCATTCATTAAAAAACAGAAAAAATAAAAAGATGAGTTTAACATTATTTCTTTCACTATCTGATCAAGTTGTAATAAATTAAATCTGGAATACTGATTCAGAATAGCGATCAACATGCAAAATCAAGCACTCTTCTGTAAGTCCTCTAAAACAAATCAGAGACCATCCCAAATTCAAGATAAATATTGGTGGTGTCTATTGTAAAACCAAATATTTTTGTGGGGCTATATTTTTGTGGTTTTTCCAAAATGACTATTTCCTGGAAATTTGATTTTGTGGATAAATATATATCTCAATAAATCTACTTATATTTATTCCAACAGTTCATGGACACATGAATTCACGGATAAAGAGTACATTGTATCCACAAAATTAAAAAAAAAAAATTCCCCCACTAAAAGAATGATTTCACAGTATAATCAAGTTCAGAAATCTCTAAATATCATTTGTTAAGGAGGCATTATTATATTGTTAAGGAACTATTTTTATTTTATCTTATAACCCATATGAAGCATTCTCAATACAGTGACTTATGAGACAGGATTTTACTTTATCTGAACCCCCAAAACATGTTGGGAGACAAACTTATCAGTAAATATTTGTTTTAACAAACCTATCCGGATAGCCCTCAGAGTTGAGTGGACACATGTGGTTGACCTCCTTCAAGTTGACATTAGAGAAGACAAGTTTGTGGTTACTCGAGTAAATGACAGTTGGACGGTCCGAGCAGGCAAACACATTAGTGGTGGACAGGGATCGGAATGTCTTAAGCACCGTAGGCTGTGTACCCAAAGTCACCTTCCTCTTCTCACAGAAATACCCTGTCAAAGAGCAATACAATATACACAACAAGTTCTGATAAGGTACAGGGAAATACACGAGGTGTGAACCAGAAACATCCTGTCAAATCATACCATGTTCACAAGGTGTTTTGATACTGTACAGGAATATACACAAGTGAGCTAACAGTTGGAGAAAGTTCAGAGTAAGACCGGTGACCATATTAAAGAAATCCGTGAAATTACTTTAACAAGATATGACTGAGCGATTCCAGCTCTGATGAGACAGCTATCTAAGGTTCTTGTAGAAGAGATGGTTCATAAAGGATTACCAGAATTAGGATACTTGTCTGAGGGAACAGATTAGCAAGATGAAGAATTGTAGATCTAGACTGGTTAAGGTTTATCATATTATTTCTTATACTCAGATTTTGTGTAGAAATAGCCACCTAACTTCAGTTATATTGTAACATGACTTAATGAACAGCTAAGAACATGTTTGAACCACTTTCTTCGTACTTAGATGTCAAATTCCATGTTGCATGGCCTTAATGAGCCCAATATGGGACAAACTGTTTGGCAGTGATAAAATTGATTGACCATACAATTTTTTTAAACTGGCGTATGTTGTGTTTACTCCCTACTTGTGATTTATATCCTCTTTACCTGTGTCAATGATGAGATTGAAGTAGAAGAGTGAGCCGTCACCTAAAGCACACAAAAGGTAATGAATGCCCTCAAACGTCGTCATCAGTATCGATCTGGGAATGATCTCTGTAAACAACAATTTTATAATATAAGACCAAGGGCAACAAAAACAAAGTTATGGAATTTTGTTACATTTCATTTTGTTTCCAAAAGTATTGTTCCACACACAAAACCAGGCCAGAATGAATCAATTTTTGTTTTTTTTTAAATTTCTAGTTAAAATACTTAGCAATAACTTTTTAAAATTTCAGGTAATAACATTACCTCCACCCAGCATTTCCACATTCAGACTTTCAAATGTTGGCAACCTAAGGACCCTTGCTGAGATGTCTGTCCACAGTCCTACGGCACAGAGCTCAGCTTGGTCAGAACCTTCCCTTAGAGGTGTAATGTCCACACAGGCAACTTCGTGGTCCATCGTTGTGTTACTGTAAAAGTTTTTATCATTAGAATTCAGAATAAGGAGTCCTAAGGTCAGTAAAATGATTGTTATTAGAAAAGTTTTACAAGTTAGTAGGGATAAGGAACCATTACAGAAAGAATATCAAGAAGTATGTGACCAACCATCAATATCAGGCTTATCTTTAGAAACTCTCTTACAACTTTCATCTGATCTAGTAAATAATTCATTTCCCATCTCTCAAACAAGTTTTCACTTTCAACAGAACTATCCTATTATTGATGCATTTCCGAACTTTTATCACTGCCACTCTCATCAGCAACAGTGTCTGTCATCTTGCTGATATTTCTGATGCAAACATGAAAGTTCAGAAGTTCCAAAGTCAGATACAGGTCAAAGTAATTATTATCAAAAAGGAAAATAAACATTTGTGCTGATCCATGCTTAATTTAGGAGAGTGAATTTCCATGTTACTATTTATAACTATAGGTAGTGTGCAGATCATATACATATATGCTGCTGGCAGTTGTGGCTGTACTCGGCCAATCAAACGCATGTATTTGGTACTGCTCTCCATCTCCATTTTCCCTCCAATGATCCAGCTTTTAATGCCCAAATGCATTACAGCATGACCATCAATGTTTCAATGTGTGGAGTATTAAATCTACTTGATTCTACCTAAGCCACATAACTTTATTCTTCTTGAGCTCTTGTCCAATCCAATGCCACACATAATGAATTTAGCTTCCCCTACCCAACACCTAGTCAATGATTTTCATCTCCCCCACCCCACTCCCCACCTTAAAATTTACCTGATTTCTTTAACCTCGCCCTGTCCTATCTCCAGATAGTAGAGTTCACTGCCAACAGCAACCACAGCCTGGGCAGTATTACTTGAAGCCAGACTTATATTCTTTCCACCAGCATGTTTCCACTCACTGACCAATTGATGGGACTCGCAGTTAAGTAGTCGTACAGATATGGGAGTTATCTTTAACGAAAAGAACGAACACTCATAACATACTACATATTTCTATAACATAATTAACATTAAAGTATTCTTTCTATTTCATATAAAGAAATACTACAATACTTATATTTCTTCATATATAACGTTATATAGAAGATTTTTTGTTTGTTTGATGGTTCAAGTGTTGTGGTTTTATCCTGCTGCTTCCTCTATTAATTTAATTTTCAATCTATCTGTTTTTTGTAGTTTTATTCCATTCTAAAAAAAAAAAAAAAGAAAAAAAAGATGCAAGAAAGAAATGAAAAAATTGAAACCCCCTTAAAAATATTGATTTCAACAGGCAATGCACTATCCATTCAGTTAAGCTCCAATCACTTGTTGACCTCTCCAACATTCAAAAGTCACACTGCAGTTTGCAGAGGCCACACACTTTTCCTAATATGTATCCATAAATAACCTTACAACTTAATAGAAGTAACATAAGTAAAAGTATTACTAAAGATGTACAAAGGTCTTGTTTCATGATAAATTAAATCTTCACCCATTCAAATTCCATTTACAATGATATTTCTCAAAGAGACCAACATAAACTTGAGTCCATCTATCAAGTTGTTTTTAAACAATCTTTTATTTTGAAAACTTTTACACTCTATAAAAAATTTGCAAAAATGATTATTGTAAAAATTCACCTCTGTTAATTACGTACCTGTACAAAGTTACCTATTTTAATTTCCATTGCAGTATTCTAACTGGTTTATAGTAAACAAAAGGCTGATCAGGTGTTCCTCCAATGACAAGCATATGCCTTCTTATCAGCATGACAGGGTATTGAATTTAAACATGTCCAGTCAATACTTAATCTATAGAACAGGGTTATGGCTTGTATTTTTATCATTGTTTAGTTGCAATGCTATCACAATGATCACTACATTATAATTCTGTGCAATAATGACTTAAAATTGTTTGGAAAATATGAATTCATATGATTTGAAGAGTCTCTAGTCTCTAATCCAGCTGTAACTGTCCTTAAACTTTTAAATTAAATTCAGCTCTTTGTTTGTAAAACAATTTGAGTTGATGATTTTCTAAAACATAGTAAACATTACATTTTGAATTTATTTTCTTCTAAACATTTGCCTTAAAAACAACCAAATATATAGTGTGTGAACAACCAATAAAATAGTGTTTTATAAGAAATTTGAAAATGAGAATCAAAAGTTCTAGCTTATGGCAAAATTCTTTCATCATAGTAGAGCCTTTACCTGTAGCAGCTGATTGTGGACAACATTAGCACACAAAAATGTCTGTTGGTCTGGCTCAAATCCTGCCAACTCTGTCTCCTCAACTTCCTCCCCATTCAACATCAATACTCTGTCATAACAGCAAATTATTCTCTTTGTCAGAAAGTACAATACTAGCTCGGAATGATAAAATAGAATCATATAATACCATCATTTATCATCTGATAGAATTAAGGCATTAGTATATAAGCTAGTCATTTTTGCAGGGATGATAACTTCGCTATGTCATGGTACAATAATATGATCGCTAAAAAATTAACCCATATATAAGGAGTTTCATGTAGATTAGATGTCTTTTGCGTCCAGATCATCAAATTTTTAGTTGTTAAAATATAATTCAATCACTTTAAGTATTGATGAAAACGTTTTGACCCATGATAACCACCAGATATATGGTAAATTGCAGTTTGGTAAATGCTAAAAACAAAAATTCTTAAGCTTTAAATTGAACAGGAGGTTTCTTGTCTCTGAATCAGTCATCTGTGTTTGAATGTCATGGGTTATTGTTAATTCAATACCTCAGAGTCTACAATATCCAAAACCAGTGTCCCAATCTATAATATCCTATATCAGTGTCCCAGTCTACAGTATCCTATATCAGTGTCCCAGTCTACAGTATCCTATATCAGTGTCCCAGTCTACAATATCCTATATCAGTGTCCCAGTCTACAGTATCCTATATCAGTGTCCCAGTCTACAGTATCCTATATCAGTGTCTCAGTCTACAGTATCCTATATCAGTGTCACAGTCTACAGTATCCTATATCAGTGTCCCAGTCAATAATATCCTATATCAGTGTCCCAGTCTACAATATCCTATATCAGTGTCCCAGTCTACAATATCCTATATCAGTGTCACAGTCTACAGTATCCTATATCAGTGTCCCAGTCTATAATATCCTATATCAGTGTCCCAGTCTACAGTATCCTATATCAGTGTCACAGTCTACAGTATCCTATATCAGTGTCCCAGTCTATAATATCCTATATCAGTGTCCCAGTCTACAATATCCTATATCAGTGTCCCAGACTACAGTATCCTATATCAGTGTCCCAGTCTACAGTATCCTATATCAGTGTCCCAGTCTATAGTATCCTATATCAGTGTCCCAGTCTACAGTATCCTATATCAGTGTCCCAGTCTATAATATCCTATATCAGTGTCCCAGTCTACAGTATCCTATATCAGTGTCCCAGTCTACAGTATCCTATATCATTGTCCCACTCTACAGTATCCTATATCAGTGTCCCAGTCTACAGTATCCTATATCAGTGTCCTAGTCTACAATATCCTATATCAGTGTCCCAGTCTACAGTATCCTATATCAGTGTCCCATTCTACAGTATCCTAAATCAGTGTCCCAGTCTACAGTATCCTATATCAGTGTCACAGTCTACAGTATCCTATATCAGTGTCCCAGTCTATAATATCCTATATCAGTGTCCCAGTCTACAGTATCCTATATCAGTGTCCCAGTCTACAGTATCCTATATCAGTGTCCCACTCTACAGTATCCTATATCAGTGTCCCAGTCTACAGTATCCTATATCAGTGTCCTAGTCTACAATATCCTATATCAGTGTCCCAGTCTACAGTATCCTATATCAGTGTCCCATTCTACAGTATCCTAAATCAGTGTCCCAGTCTACAGTATCCTATATCAGTGTCCCAGTCTACAATATCCTATATCAGTGTCCCAGTCTACAGTATCCTATATCAGTGTCCCAGTCTACAGTATCCTATATCAGTGTCCCAGTCTATTATATCCTATATCAGTGTCCCAGTCTATAATATCCTATATCAGTGTCCCAGTCTACAACATCCTATATCAATGCAAGAGAACACATTTTGGTACCAGTCCATTTTATAATTTACCTTGTCTGACCAACAAAGGAGAGCACGATCATGTTGTCATAATCCGTTGAATTGACGCGCAAAGACCAGATACCTGTATAAACAAATATATATACATTGTAGATATCAATGACCTACCAGATATCCAGATAAATTCTAGATTAATTTATAGTAGTTTATATTAGCATTAAGTTTGTTTTCCCATCAAGAAACCAAGAGCCTTAATGTATGTATGTGTATCAATAAATTGATAAATGAAATATTGTTTAAACTCATTTTATCTTGAGTTAGATGTTTAATAATTTGTCTTCTCAGCAAAATATAAAAGAATGTTTGTAAATTCCTGGAAGATTTGTAAATAACATCCAAAACCTAAAACCATTTATACCTTTGATTCCAGGCAAGTCAATACTAGCATGTTCATGAATTCCTATACCATTCCTAATAATACGAAGGGACCCTTCTTTGTAAGCTCCAGAGCAGGTCACAAGCTGTGGGACAATTTACAATAAGAAAGTTTTATGAAATCACAATTTGATGTTAAAGAACATTAAAACTGGTTTATTTGGATTGTCATTATGATATTAATCTAATGCTTATTTCACTAACTAAATCAGACTGAAATGTTCTTTTTGATTTCCTCAGTAAAAGTATTTTCAATAAATCTGTTAAACTTTATTGCTGAAGTGATTACTTAACCCATTTTGATTTTTCATTTCTTTGTAGACTAATCTTAGAAAACAAAATAAAACCAATACACTTATATCATTCACAATTAAAAATAAACATGACATATTCATAAGATTCTCATCTACCTTTGAACTCAGTGATACTACAGTGGAACCCACTTAATATCACGTCTGTTAATGTCACTTTCTGGTTAATATCACATTTTCTTGAAACACCTATTTTTCTCTATATATTCTATGTAATCCAACATCTGAAAGTGTCACTTATTTTCATTTAAGCAATGCTTAATATCATTTTATTTTTTTATTTTAACACAGGTAAATCATGGTCAAGTGAGGACAGGAACTATGGATTAATGTCATACGTCACACCAGGATGCATTGGGGGAACATCATCACTGCCCTACTAGCCAACATTTCACACCTTGCGATTCTCGAACAAAAAGATTGACCCGCTTACCTGTAAGGTCCCGCTAGGTTGAAGGAAGTCTAGTGTGTTTGTTTTTTTAATAGGCTAGTGCATTTCCGATACAAACCTTAAAATGCTAAAATAACAGATTTGAACTTCAGATTTCACAAAATGAAGTCTGGATAAGGTATAATTTATCATAGAAAATTTTCACACATGCCTGGAAGGCTTCACTGGGCTGCATACTTCTTTGCTGATATCGTAATCAATTTTCTCAAATGATGCATTCGAAGTAAAAAGTGTATCGTATTGAATGAAGATTGGAAACCTAACTGGTTAGAATATCAGAATGTCAACATTTTAATATTTTTTCAAATCATTTCTTGCTTGAATTATCATGAACACTGGCTTTTGTTCTCTCTGATATTATCTTCAAGATTCTCATCTGCATTTGTTTGGTTGATTATATCATTAAGAATCTCACTTGTCTTTGTTCTAAGTGATTCTCACCTGTCCTTGTCCCTGTCGCTCCAGATCCACCACACACATATCCAGGATGGGGCCTAAGTTTGTGAACCTCTCCATCTCTGTCACATAGGAACCGTTGTCATCTGACTCAACATCCAGCTGGAAAGTTTCCGATACAAACAATTACATCTTAACTCTAGTAATATCAGATTTACTCTATTTAAGTAAATTTCATCATTCTGAACATTTGATGTGTATTTTTTCTGTCTCATCATTTTATCTATTTGAGCACACTTTGTGTATTTGAGAACACTGCACTGATTTGTTTTCACTTTATACATTTTCCATTACCAGAACACAAAGAATTTTTGAAACATAATGCCGCCAGTTGCACCATAATGAATATCACATGGTCATGGTACTACCAGAAAGGTCAAGGAAGACACATGTCAGATATGAAAGCCCTAACTCTTATGGTTCAATAGTTGTGGCCAATGTTATAATATTTCATATGTAGGTCAAAGGTTTCAGTCAAGGTCACACAGTCAAAAAATTTTGGAATCACCAGAAAGGTCTTGTCAAAAGAAACACACATGCAGAGTAAGAAAGCCCTACTCCTTATGGTGCAATAGTTATGGGCAAGGTTAAACTTGACAACAGACAAACAAAAAGAAATATCTTTTGATCCCAGGACATAAAAAGTCATACCTTGATGAGCTGTGAGTCACCGAGTCTGGATCCTAAATATACAACCCCATTGTCTAAGTAGGTAATGCACTCTGCTACTGTAGTCTGCAGAGAGAAACAAATAAACATAAATTTTTCTCAGATATTAATGTGCCAAATACTGTATAATACAAGAACGTTTTTGACAATAGTTTGACAACAGAATAAATGATAACTGCATCTGCTTTTATGAAATCTTATCTTTGTTTTTGCTCCATGAAATTTTATGAATCAGATTTCTTTTATCATTCTTGCTAGTTTTTTGTCTGAAATACAACACACAGAGCTTGGACTAATAGCATAAAACTAGCACTGGCAAGTTAGCCTTGTGTCCAACACAGAGCTGGGACTATAAAGCTTTGTTTCTAACATAAAACACAAATCTGGGACCAGCAAGCCTTTTGTTCAAGATACAACAAAGATCTAGGACTAAAGAATTTTGTGTCTATAATTAAACATGGACAGCTTGGACTAGCAAGCTCTATCTGAGATAAGGCAAAGAGAACTTGGTCTAGTAAACCTTGTACCTGAAACACAAGACACAGAGCTAGGACTTTTTTCTGAAAGTCCTAATATTTTACCTCTCCAAGTAACTCCACTTTCAGATTTTTTACGACAATTGTAGAATCCATCTTTTCTTCCTTCTCCAGTAGCAACATAAACAGTCTCCCCATCATATCTCCTAGGAGGTACCGGGAACCATTGGCATCCACTTTACCGTGACATGTCAGTGTACTTTGCTAAAATTTTGAAAAAAGAACTTAGGACTGCATGCAATGTCATTGATTCACACAAGACATCTTGGTATTGTCAGCTACCATATGAATGTTTCAGTATTGGACACAGATAATCTTCTATGTAACAGATCAACAAACATACATATCTTTATATAACAGTAGATGTTGGAGTTACACAAAAGTTAATGGTTTTCTATTTAAAAAATACAAAAAAAAATATCCTTATACAATTCTTACAGTAGATTTAAAAGCATTCATGGTAGAAATACAACAGGTTAAGTAACAATAGCAATCACGATGATGGTTGTCATAACTCAACTGAATATTTACCTTAATAGCAGGAGGAGCTATAGGTATGAAATTATCTCCCTTGTGATATGTAATGATTTCCTGGCCGATAATTAAAGCTCCACCAAAGGGCTCCGGCACTGATAAAAGAAATTGTTTCAAGGTACACTAATGATTGCTCATAGTATCTACAACAACACAACCATCTCAGTCTTTTGTTTAAAGCCAAGCTGTTCAGAAACCATTTTACAATACCTCTAGCAGAATTTTGAAAATCTCTGGAGTCAAAACAGAGACAATACAACACGAGAAATGCTCAGGATCTCCTTATGCTCCATAAATTGTAGACTAGAATTAGGGGAGAGATGACTTGTTTCTTGTCTCGACTTGGAGAAAATATGTTTCGAACAAATGCAGACCTTCAAAGTAAACCTTAATTCCAAGATGATTCATAAGATAATCTTCCGCCAGTGGTCATTTTCATTTTGCCTCATTAAATATTTATGAATTAAAAGTGTGCAAAGACTTTCATTTTATAAAGTAAGATGTAAAACCAGATTTTCTTCTGTGATAATAATGACATTGTTTACATCATCATATTAAAGTGTACCTGCAATGACCATGCATGCTTCTGTTTCAACATTATCTTGCTTCCAAGGCCCTTTCTGAAACTCTTTGTCTCTCAGTGATATTTCATAGGTCTTAACATGCCTTCCATGTTGATCCTGAAATGTAACATGAGGATACTGTAGAATGATCAATTTTCATGGGCATTTTATTTTCATTAAATTTATGAGTATGCTTTATCATAAACATAAGTTTAGATCTGGTGGATTTATCAAGGAAATCCAGTGCAAACAAATGCATTTTGTAAAACAACAAAACTTAAGTTCAATGAAAATATGTGATTTTCACTATGCACAAATTAAGATAACCCATCACTTTTGAAGATTCTGTGACATCCTCACAAAAATCTATAATAGCTGATATTATGTATTTATTATATTTTCATACCAAAAATCAAACTAGAAAATGTTTACAACACATGAATGCCCCTACTCCTCTGCAAACTAAAATCTGTGAGATGCAGAACTTGATGATATCAAAACTACGGGGTAAACATGAATAATATCTCTTCATATAATGTCTTTTCTGAACAAGATGCGACACAACAGGATGGTATGGACATGTGTAACTACTGGTATATGTCCCTCCTTTCACCCATCACCCCACCATAAAAGCACAGGAGCATAAAAAAGGCAGGAAAAGAGGAGGGAAAGGAATAAGAAACAAGGAGCCACAAAGCGTGGCATTATCCCCCGTATCCAACTGTCAGTGTAAAACCCAAATATGATATAGATATACCAGTATAACAATTAGTTTGTGACGTCACTCAACTACGTACTGATACTATCGCCTGAAGATCAAATAAAGTGAAAGTGGTAGTGCAATATGTAATGTCTTCATTTGTCAATTATCAATTAAATTTCCTTGCATCTCCTCAACTTCAACATTATATATATATATCTTATATATCAACCATATAATAAAAGTTTATATCTTGATGTAGACCCTGTGTGTTTGACTGTTGATATTTTAATAGACTTGGTATTGGTAATACAAGAAGTTACATGAAATTGAAAAATTTTATGGTAACGGAATAAAGATAAATAATAAAATGTCCTCAATAAAAAAAAAGGCACAACTAGGGCACTAACCTAACATATACAGAAAGTTTTGTTTAGTGGAACGGTTTTGAAGTTGTAGCCTGGAAAGGAAAGTAAACACTAATTTTGTATTTTTGGCTGTGATACAGAAGTTTTGTGAAGTTGAGTTGAAAGGTTTTCAAGTTATAGCTCGGAAAATCCCTCTGACAGATGCATGCATGGATGGACGAAGCCTAAGTTAAAATCCCCTGCTAACGCATTTTTTTAGGGGATGAAAAAGAATTAAACTTAAAATCTCACAAAAGTAGCCTACCTGGTGGATGAGGATGAGTGTGGGTGTTGTACAGCCATGTAGGAACTGCATGTCAACGACAATCTGCTCCTCTAATCTGTCAGTAGAAACACTTAAATGTCATAATATACCCACAACATGTACAGTATTTACATGGATCAAATTAAAGGGTCAACTGTCTAGAAGACAAGTCGCTAGCTAGAAATTGAAATTCAACAATGATTCAATGCATTGGAAAAAAAACTAACTTATTATCACTTACATAATTACAAATGTTTTTGACATAAGATGGAAAAGTAATACTTATAAAAAACAAAACTTTGAAATATTATAAAATGTTCAATATGACCATCATTCTGAAATTTGTAAAGTTTTACTATATGTGGCAGTTCTACTCTCCAAATAAATCTGAGGTGAATCAAGATATTGTTTGAATGTGAGAAAATGGACTGCAAGTGCGGAAGTACTTGACCACAATACAGTAATTTTAAATATTAAAATTCTATAATGAAATAATGATTCGGAGTAAATTCAGTTGAATAGTTAACTTTACATCCAGCATTCTTTCACTTTACCTGATGTTGAATGCTTTTAATTCTTTATTTTCACGATCAAGGGGGATAACTTTGAAAAGGCCATCATACAAGCGAAGGCCTATTACACGACACAGCGGATCTATGATGCCAATGATTCCAGTTTCTGATGGTCTTCCAATCCGATCCTATTTTAAGATGCAGCAAACATTAAACAACATCACATATCATAAATCATTCATCTGCTATTAAAGTCAAAAGATTAATTTGACAAACTACCATTTTTCAGAAAACTTACTTTAAAAATAAAAGTTTTACAATATTTCTTCACAACAAAAGGAAAAAATGTTTCTTACACAGAATTTACTGAACATGAACCAAAAATTTCAAACCTCATTTCCATAAAATTTACTGAAATGGACAGCTGAATAATAACTAATTTTCTACCATTTAATTCTATGTTTACATTTTGAAACTCCAATTTAGTTAAAAAGTCAAAATGAAAGACAAATGGTAAAGCACAAGTTGAACACCACCTTACATGCTGAAATATAATGGTTTGCTAAGGAACTTTTAGTTTGACAGGCAATATATAAGCAATCACATTAAAGAATCTACCTATGGTAGTCTTTAAAAGAAGTGACCGCAATTTGATTTCTTAATCCATCAAGACAATATTTATACAATGTATTTATGATGTTACCTGGACATTTCCATGGGCTCTGGTTATAATATCAATGTTGTCGCCATTCTGATTACATTCAAGAATCATTGCATTGTACCGTGACGTCAGGAGAAACATAAGATCCTTGCTTTCACCCTGTAATGTAATTTTCCTTCATTATATTCACCCTGCTATCTAAATTAAAAGTAATTTATAGTGGTGTTTCGATTAATCAGTTTCATCTATAATAGCTATTTGTTTGTTTTTTCATTATTTGTCAACCAACTGATCAATTACAATTTTCAGTAGAAAAATCATAGTTTTTTAGATAAACATTTACTCAGTTGAACTCCTGGTAAGTATCAAAAGACAGCATTAATCTAAGTACCTTCTTTTTTAAATCCATCTGAAGATACCATTTCGACAAAGCAAAACATGAATGCCTGCATTGCCCTCAGCACATTTAAAAAAGTGAAACTTTACACAGAATGTGTAAGGGGAGATAATTCAATGGAACAGGCAGCCAAGCAATAGTGGAATAATATGAACTCCAGATACATTTTCAATATTATGTGCATAATACAAGATCCATCATTCTATTTACAGAAACAGATAATTGATAAAGATTTTGGAACCTGTTTCCACATTAGTAATTTCCCCATTAATTATAGTGAAATATAACATACAGGAGGTCGAAACAGTTCCATCACTGCAATTCTTCCATTGATGCCAACTTCCTTGATAGGGCGGAGCCCTTCTGGGGTAACAACATAAATTTCTAGTCGAGTGTTACGAGCGATGATCAAATTGAGGTCATCAGAAGAAGTGAAATTTCCTGAAAAGGAAGAAAAAAACAAATGCAAAGTCCGAGTTAAAATGAATTCGACAGGCAAGTAAATCATGTTTTGAATAATGAAAAGATTATTTGGTTTAGTCTGGTTTATTGTTGCTTTATACAATTGACAACCAGGGCCATGAAAAAATGTGCCAGCTAGGTTTGGGTGGTGGATTAAAGCTGGAGTTCGTACAGAAAAACCACTGACCTATGACCAGAACCTGACCACTGCGACCTGGAGGTGAAGGACTAATGTTTAAGACGAGGCATTAACCACTGGACCACCATGTCCCCTTATAGTGAAGATATGAGGTCATCAGTTCATAAAGAGCCGAATGTAATACAAGCTTTGTGTTTGGCATTAAACATTAATACACTACAACCAATCATACATTGTTAAAGTCATTTTAACATTATGAATTAGCTTTCAAAGGTATTCTTTATCACCTTAGCTTATGTTTTACTTAAAGCAAAAGGTAGAATATCATTAAGAAATAATATCATAGATGTGTGGAATCTAAATAATGTTCTGCAGCAGCTGGGACATGTACGTATACCCAGTAATAGAAAGGATTGTAAACTGACCATATTTCTTCCTTAAGCTACAGCCAAAATATTAGACCAACCTATCAATAATGTGTTTGTAAACCATTTTTTTCAAAAGAATATATACTCGTCAAAGCCCCCTCTCAGTATCTAATCTTATCTACCATATAGGCCTGTGTCCATTCCTACTAACTTGTAGAATAAAAACATTTTGTTAAGTACTGTATATGTAATGACATTTTAAGCATACTTTATCGTCTTCTCAAATTCAAACTGAACATAAAGATAAGATATAGGAAAAGAATGTCCGACGTTTCACTCCCACCCTGTTTCGCATCAAGACGGTTCGCAACTACTTTAGACGGTTTGCCCCAGTTTTAAATTTTGAAAAACATGTTTCGCCCCCAAAGGAAAAAATTGACATGGATCAAAGCATGACGCTGGAACTTAAGCAGAAAGCCATTTTCCCGTGTTTTTACAATTATACATATTTGTTGACATGCCATTTTGTAACGATAAATGTTGTGTTAAATGTTATATACACAGTTGTACTTAACGACACACGCAGGACACGCATTCAGAACAGTTGTCTACAGTACAGACGTAAACTACAAAACAATTTTACCTAGAGTGGGGGTTGAGATATGGAGCCTATGAGGAGGGATAATAAATCACGTTGAATCTATACTTCCTTGTCGATATTACAGTATTACATTCTTTGCAAAACTCCACCATTTAACAATGATAGTAAGTATAAACTATTGGACTATATCGCTGTAACCTTGTGACAGACAAGCTAACCACGGTAATATGCGATAATGGGTGCGAAACATCTTGGTGCGAAACGAGTTGGGGGTGAAACGTCAGGACACCATAGGAAAACATCAGATACCGCAAGTTTAAACAGACTGGAATAGTTACTCCAAGAAAAGAATAATGTTTATACAACTGTTATGTTTACAGTCCAAGGTGGCTCGTGCAAGGAAAACTGTAGGCTTATGACTGTCATAAATTAGCTGAGCTTTTGTGGAAGGTGTCAGCCACAGATTGTAATTCTGGTCACAGTACAAGATTTTGATGTATACATACAAGGCAATAAATGGAACAGCTCCTGAATATTTGCAGGAACTTGTCACCGTTTATCGGCCGTCACGATCACTACGATCGGAGACAGAATCCTTGTTGTGCGTTCCGAACTCTCGGACTGTGACTTATGGTAACCGATGATTTGGAAAGGTAGCGGCCACTTTGTGGAACAGCTTGCCATCTGCTACTAGAAAGTCAAAATCCCTGGTCAAATTCAAGAGGGATATTAAAACCCACCTGTTTACGTCTGCATTTTAGACTCTCACGCAGACGTCCTGTATATACATACTTTCACCACTACTTACTTGATTTGGTTACTGTGTTACATATGTTGATTACTGTGTTATACATGATCTATAAATTTTGTAGTAAGATTATTATGTAATTGTGAAGCGCATTAGAGTATTTTGTCAAAATAGATAGTGTGCTATATAAATGTTGTATATTATTATTATTATTACTATTTACAAAACTTCAATAAAATATCCAAAATGGCACTTTTATCATAAAAGCTCACCAACATGAGATGGCTGCTGTCGGCCATCTTGAATGCACAACTAGGGACAAAGGGGAAACTGCATATGAAATTTGAGAAAGATCCATCCAGTACTTTCTCAGAAATAGCGGTAACAAACTTTTACTTCCAAAATCCAAGATGGCCACCTGTTGGCCATCTTGAATTCGAATCAGTCCCAAAAAGGTACAATGCACAACTAGGGACCAAGGGGAACCTGCATATGAAATTTGAGAAAGATCCATCCAGTACTTTTCCAGAAATAGCGGTAACAAACTTTTACTTCCAAAATCCAAGATGGCCATCTGTCGGCTATCTTGAATGCGGATCAGTTCAAAAAAGGTACAATGCACAACTAGGGACCAAGGGGAACCTGCATATGAAATTTGAGAAAGATCCATCCAGTACTTTTCCAGAAATAGCAGTAACAAGAATTGTTTACGGACGGATGGACGGACCACGGATGGCAGGGCGATTTGAATACCCCACCATCATCTTCTGTATGCTGATGACAGTGCAATTATTTTTTCACATCACTATCCCAAAACAATCTCTTTAAAATTATCCTTAGTTTTGGAATCATGTCATGATTGGCTCGTTGACAACAAACTATCATTACATTTAGGTAAAACAGAAAGTATTTTATTTGGACCAAAGAGAAAATTAGGAAAAGTACCCGAGGATGATTTCAAAATTTCATGTAACAGTCAAAACATTGTTTCGCAATCTTCAGTAAAATACCTCAATGTTACGATAGATAAATTTCTATCTGGAGAGGAAATTGTCTCCAACATTATCCAAAAAATCAACCAAAGACTTAAATTTTTGAACAGAAATAGTAAATGTCTATCTCTAAAATCTCGTAAAACTTTTTATGTTCTGCTCTGATTCAGTGCCACTTTGACTATGCGTGTAATTCCTGGTATGAATGAATTACTAAGAAACTCAAAGGTAAACTCCAGACTACCCACAACAAAATGGTCCGCTTTATTCTTAACCTTGATAACAGAACAAGGATCACTGTCACTGAATTAGAAAAACTAGGCATGCTAAATGTAGAACGAAGGGTCCGTCAACTTCGCCTCAACCATACTTTTAACATCTATAATGGTAAATGTCCACAATATTTATATGAACTTTTCTCTCTAAACAAAAACTTGTGGTACTAGATCTGGAACGATGAACTTCTCAATAAAAAACGTTAAAAGCATAGAAAGTTCTTCCTTTTCTACTTCGGCCGCAAAAGATTGGAATTCCCTTCCAGAAAATATTAAAAATTCTAAAATAAATATCATTTTAAAAACAAAGTAAAACAATTTCTGATGCTACAATCAAAAGGCGAATTTGACAACCCCTTCGTCTACAACCTCCACTTCTTTGCGTCCGGTTGAACGGGTAGTGATGTTATATTATTGTTCATATTATGTTATATTATTGTTCATATTATATTATTATGTAATATCTCTTCAAATCCCATCCTTTTTCATAAATGCCCTGAAATGTGCCATAACATTTTATTCACTTTCAGTATTTGTTTTTCATATCTTCTATGTAAATGTAATTTTCATTCAAATGTAAACCGGAATGATTACACCTTAAATGGACGCCATTGGAAATAAGCCTATTTTATAGGCTTTATGGGTAATCCAAGGCCAAAGGCGTTTTCATCTGGTTTTATGAAATTTCTCTCTTTTTTATTGATATTTCTAAAATTTTGAACTATTTTACTTAGAAGATTTGCAAGCACAGTGTAATTTAATTTCTGCGATACTAGTTTAAACTGTGATATTTTTAGGTATGTGAAATTCTTCTGCGATATTTTATAATTAATAATTTTAAGAAATCCACAATTTATTACTGATTTTAATTGTTATGGAATTGCTTATGTAATATTTGTAATGTGTAATTTTATTATGCCTTTGCCTGAATAAACATAATAATAATAATAATCATACCCCACCATCATCAGATGGTGGGCTAAAAACTGACCCTATTTGGTGAATGTTTCCTTTATCTCGTAAAACGGGTAAAACTTAAAAAATATGGAGTGTGGAGAGGTCGATGCTCAGATAAAAAAAAGCCATTGGAACCAAATATGTCTGCTGTTACAAAGTGAGCTTTTATAATGTTGGGCCGCATCAAAACTGGTGGGAAAATAACGAAATGTTTACGCAACAACATTGAAAACATGCATGAACTGAATCGGCCCCACAATGATGGAAACCGATACCGAATTTGTTAGCTACCTGTGACACAAGCATTTACTGCTGTTGGCTTATGAGCTGTAACTACATAGTTATAAGCCATTCTTCCGGATGACAACAACAGAAAAATATAAATAAGACCGGTTTTCTTCTCTTATTTCTCCGTCCTTTCCACCGGAAATCTTTATCAATTGACCGTACGCATGCCTGGCGCCAAAAAATTTGTTTCTCAGATTACTTCCGGTTTATAGAAGCTGGTGCAGCAACTTTTGTACTGGTACACAACAGACCCAGTATCTGGTAATTCGATCGCTTAGAATGTTTGTCAGCATTTGGAAATCATCAGATTTGTTTAGATAAATTTGAAAAGTATATTTCGTTTGCGATCGTTGTCTACCATTCCTTCTGCCATGTCGATCGGATCCAAATTTCTTGAGCTCACTTGAGTTTAAAAGCTGATTAGAGATAAACTGTTGTAGATATCTGTCATACTGCACCCATGATATTTTTCCACCGTGCACATCTAGAATTGTTAGAGTATATTAAGTCAAGCGGTAATGTTTGTGTAGTGTCTGGCTAGAGACCAAAGGGCGGCTAGTTCAAAACCCATCGGGACAGGATGTTTTTACCGTTACACCCTATTACGTATACACTTTACCTGTTAGCAATAACATAAATGCACTGGGTACGACAATATCCCAACAGAATAAAGTATGAAATAATACTACAATTGCTGAATGTTTTGTGTAGGTACAAACGTACATATATATTAAAAGGTAATTAATTAGTTAATTAGTTGTGTTAATGCATTAGATAGACACCAGATATTGGAGAAACAAATGTTGAATAAATAACATGTAAGCAAAGCAGTTAAATACATTAATTTTACTGTCAAATATGACAATAATCATATATACTGTTTATCAGCTTTAAGCATTTAACTGTAAACAAGTAAGAAAGAGGGACAACTCTGTAAAGGGACATAACAATACAGTGTATAGTAAGTAATAGACTTATATTGTCCAGCCAGGGTAATTTTTAGGCGAGATCTGTCAATATAGTAACTACAAATACAAAAATATAGCAAATTACTAAGTACTAATTGAGAGGGGCTAATCATATACTTTCTAAAGCATTTGCATTGGGGTGAAATGTCTGTACAAAAATTTCACAGACTGAGCAGTACAGGATGGTCTATACAGCAGACATATCTTTTGTTTTATTTCAGTATTTTTCATGTTAACTTTTAAGAAGTTAAAGATAAGTGATAAAACTTAATGGATAGAAGTGAGTGTGTGTGTGTGTGATCATCTATGCACTATGTATGTTTAATATGATATAGCAGCTTGCGATTAGAAAATTTAAATATTAAATAAATATACAACTTTGTTATGACTTTGTGATTTTTGTCCGCAAATAACACATTTCTTGGTGCATTAGTAACATACCACCATTGGAACTTATAATAAATGTGATTTCTTTTCAACAGCTCCACTGATATTACAAGGCAATGGCAGATTTTGGATTTGCGCGCTTTGGGGAGGATGAAGAAAATGATGAGGATGAATATGATCCACAGGTATATTACTTGCTAATTTTGTGATTTCTTAAAAAAGCTCTCTCTTGTTTGTGACGACACTAAATTAAGCTTATATGACATTTTCTGTTGACAGACTCGATGGGGAATGAAGGATGGATTGATATTGCTGATAGACTGTTCAAAATCCATGTTTGATGAGGGAGACGATGATGAAGATAGCCATTTTCAATTGTGTTTAAGGGTATGTGAATTCTTACATACGGCAGTTTGGTAAACTAAATGTTTCGGTAAGCTTCCATCAAAATTATAAGCAGAAAAATGAAAACCATACGGAGCATTCAGTTGACCTAGATATTTGTCAATTTCAAAAGTCAAATAGTAAATCTTAAAGTTCCAAACATATGTGAAATAGATATGTCGCTAGAAACCTAAGACCTAAGAGTCAAAACTTCTTTAAAAACTTACTCAAGGGTCTACTGAATGCCCTGCTATGCAGTACAGTAAACTTTGGCTTCCTGTATAACTTGTATGAATCTTTTTATCATGAGTTGTCTTGCTTTCACAACACATGTTACATATCATGACTGTTTGTGACAATATTTGTTTCAGTGTGCAAAGACAACATTACAGAACAAGATCATTAGCAGTGATAAAGATCTGATGGGCATTGTCTTCTTTGGAACAGTAAGCCTTTTCTGATGATATTGTTAAGAGAGCCATTGACTCCTTTTATAGGGACAAGAACAGATTATTATCAATTAGGATTGCAGTTACTTTTAAGTTGATCTAAAATTAAGTTAATCCTATCTAAACTTTTTTCACATGGAAAAGTCTTTGAAGAGGAGAAGAGTTTTTACAGGATCAAAAAGTAACAATTACCATTCACATATGGAATCATTATCTAATTACCAAATTGTCAGTATAACAGGAAACTAAGTTCACTCATTAGATATGCTTGTGAAATTTGAAAATTATTTTGATTTAGATCACTTTTAATTTTACAGTTACATGAGTATAAGATTCCGTTTTTCATTTACTTATAATTATTAAATGAGATTTGATAAAATTTTATGCAGATGAACATAAAGTATAAAGTAATCTATAAACCATCTAACAAAATTTTTTACACCATCTGATAAATTCGAAATAAATTAAATTGCAACAAATATTGGATAAACAAAAACATCTTGGTAATGGTACATATAATCTATATGATAACATTTTTCAGAAGATTTTTATATCAATCATGAAATTTACATAACTTTTTCATGGATAATATTTTCGCGTTCATGTATGTACCCCAGGAAAAAGAAAAACTAGTATCCTGCAAAGATAACTGGCTATACAGTACATTTTTGCTCGTAAAAATTTCACATAAAACAACAAAGCTCAGCTTGCCTGGAAATAGGACTCGCATTTAAAATGGCTTTTTTTTTTTTTTTTTTTGTGGAATAGATGTTGGATGAAATACATTACAGTTAAAAATGTGATATTTATTTGATATATTGAACATATGAAAACATCATGTTATAGATAAAGAATAATGTATAGAATGAAAGATTGATGGTGCATTCCAAATTCACTTGGTCTGAATTACTGATCTATCATACTGCTTATGATGGTTTTGTTTGTATTGGAATTTAAATCTTGCAATTTTGTATTTCAGGAAAAGTCATCCAACCCAAGTGAATTTAAACATATCTTTATCTATCAGGTAGGTTTTCAGCTTTGTAGTACTAGTACATGTAAATTTGTATTGCATGGAACAACACTGTCTATTACTGGTAAGTTTATGGTTAGGACTGTTTTGTAGAGATCCATCACATGTAAATTTGTATGGTTAGAAGTGACCTGTATTTTATCACATGTAAATTTGTATGATTAGGAGTGACCTGTATTTTATCACATGTAAATTTGTATGGTTAGGAGTGACCCGTATTTTACCACATGTAAATTTGTATGATTAGGAGTGACCTGTATTTTATCACATGTAAATTTGTATGGTCATGAATGTATATATATATATCTTGCATATGTAAATATTTACAACTCTATTGGTCTTAAATAATTTCCTGTGTTGATCAAGTAGACTTTAAGCTTGTTGTTTTATAAATAAGAATGACTTTACAGGCCGTACTCATCATTTGAATTTTTTCTCTCAGTTTTGACATGTCACTATAAAATGATTCCTGATAAATATATGACAACAAGATGTGGTACCATGAGTAATGAATACAATATATCTGGACAATGTTTGGTTGATTTGATAGGAGCTGGACCAGCCTGGTGCTCCCAGGATTTTGAATCTGGAGGATTTGATAGAAGGTAATGTTCTATTTGTAGTAACGTCTGTACCTGTCGTTTACTTTGCAAAGTATAGTTTTGTTAAAAGAAGCATAATAATCCTGATAGAATATTTATATTGAACAAATAGTATTTAGAAAATTAGAATAAAAACAGGGGTTTATAACATTGTATGATTTCAGGTCGTGGATTTTAATAGCTTCAAAAATGTTTAAAATTCCAACTGTTTGAATGTATTCTCATAAACATTTGTTTACTTGGTATACCCATGGCTTAGTGTTTCGTTCTGACTGATTTTCTCAAGTTCATAGTTTTCTTCTCATTAAAATCTTACTGTTTATATTGAATTAAGGGAGTGGTCAGAAGAAAATATATTGGAATCTTAAGTTTGGTATCTGATTCAAAATGGATTGGAAGCTTCTCTTGGTTAAAGGGTCTGTTCCCAATATCATGATTTTGTTGCAGGATGTCGACAACTTATAAACTTGCAACACAGGGTTTTGGAAGAGGCAAGTTCATGAAAATAATGAGAAATATTAAGAAATATTTTATTTCTTTGTGCAGTGTGAAGCAGGATGAGTTTGATGCTTGTTAGTCTGCCAGTTAGTTCCATTGTTGTATACCACCAAAATTTAGCTGGCGGATGTCGTCGATGAAGGTGGGCACCAAGATTTCAAAGGTACTATAATGATTGGCACCATAAATCATTCATGAGCTCTTGTTTATTTTCAGAATCACCAAAAATATTCTCCAAGGAGTATGGTCATAACACTGGATTCTCCCTACATGAAGCACTATGGACTTGTCAGAATATGTTCTCTAACAGGTAATGTCCCTGTTATATGTTGTAACTAATACAGAGGGAGAACAGTAGACTACTTCAAATGTCTTATTTGTTATAATATGTTCGTGCATAGTTTACATCACTCCTTATTTATACATGGGTGCAAGGTTTTTAAATTTGTATATGATTTAAAATTCTACTTTCAGACATTTAAAGATATTTAGAGTGATTTTTACAAGTCTGTTTTGCCTATAATTTTCAAATGTAGAATCATTAAATTTCAGTCCTCAAAGAGTAAATTCTAAGAGAGTAATGTTGTTTACGAATAATGACAACCCACATGCTGCTTCACAACAATTACAGGTAAGATCTAGTTCTTAGTTAGACAGTAGTTAATTGACATTTTGATAAAACAAAATGACATTCTGAAGGCATCACTGCATTTACAAGTTGATTTTCAGCTTCACTTTTTCAATCAACCATCACCAGACAGTGGGCTGTTTGAATCACCCCGTATCTTCATTTTCTTGTTCAAGTTTACAACTGTTATTAACTCATATCATAATCAGACAGTTTCAGATTTAGGTCATAACCATACAGCTTCAAATTTAGGTCATATCCAGACAGCTTCAAATTTAAGTCATGTTATCGTATTATAAAATTGATGTTAGCATTTGGTTTTAATTACCTGTGATGATACCATGTAAAATACTAAATTAAATTTTGAACCTGTTTTTGATGAAAGTGATTATTTAATGACAACATTTTTCAATTTTTGTTTTGTTGTTTTGTTCCCATGTCAATTATAAAGTCCCATATCGATTGTCAGATGTCGACTTCTGTGGCATCTTGACCTTGTCAAGTCATTTCTTTTTAAATGATAACTAGCTATGTGGCTGAATTGCGCTAAACTCTGTCCTTAACTCAACTTCCTTTTTTTTCAGAGACAGGCAAGGACAAAAGCCAGTGACTTGGCCGAGACAGGCATCGATTTGGAATTGATGCATTTACAAAAACCGGGAGAGAGTTTTGATGTTTCCAAGTTCTATAAGGCTAGTATTGTAAGGCAAACATGATTCTGACATACCAGGTTGCCAGTTACAAGATTGTAGTCAGCAGTTTACAATAAAGTAAGGTCCTTTGCTTGCACTGTACTTACAAAACTGCACACAATGTACTGGTCACTGAGTGTTCTTGCCATCAGCAAACACTTGGACCATACCGATCTGAATAATTTTCAACTCTACTCTTGTATTCATGAGGTAAGAGGGGAGAAAAATTGTTTTTCAGATCACTGAAGTGGGATATAAATTTTACACAAGTTCTTAATTGAAATACAAGGTGGTGTCCTGCAACTGAGGTCAACATTACTATTTTTAGAAATCCTCCTAGAGGTCAACATTACTATTTTTAGAAATCCTCCTAAAGTGCTGTGTATTGATGAATTTATTTGGTTTTGTAGGATTTGTTGTTTACATCTGATGATGAATTGACAGACCTTCCCGACCCGGCGGAGCGCATGGAAGAACTTCTGAACAGGTCTTTATAAAAAATACAGTACAGATAACAAAACTTCTACAAAAGAGATGATCTTATCTGAACTTATTTTGTCTTTTCGCAAGTTTGTCTAGAAAAGAAATGCAGTAATTTTGAATTCAAAACTGTATTTTAAGCCAACCATCATCAGATGGTGGGCTATTCAAATTGCCCTATGTCCATTGTCCGTCTGTAAATAATTTTTGTTATCGCTGTTTCTTGAGAAGAATTGGATGGATCTTTCTTAAATTTCATATGTAGGTTCCCCTTTGTCCCTATTTGTGTCCAGTTGACTTTGGGTCTGATCAGAAAAACAAAAATGCAGACAGACAGTCATCTTGATATTTGACTTTGACTATTTCTACGGCATAGATTTTTCTCAAATTTTATGTGTATGTTTCCTTTCATCCCTAGTTGTGTCTTGTTTGATTTTGGTCCTGGTCAGAAAAAGAATTTGACTACAGGTGGCCGTCTTGGATGTTGCTTAGTAGAGTTTGTTATCCCTATCTTTCAAGAAGTACTGAATGAATCTCTCTCAAATTTCTTATGTATGTTTTCCATTGTCCCTAGTTGTGCTCATTTAATTTTGGGTCTGACCAGAAAGACAAAATAGCCGACAGGTGGCCATCATGGATTTTGCCAAGTAAAGTTTGTTATTTCTACTTCTTGAGAAGTACTCAATGGATCTCGCTCAGATTTTATATATAGGTTTTCCCATTGTATTTTGATTCTGATCAGAAAAAGGAAATAGCCAACAGGCGGCCATCTTCGATTTTGATTTTGAAAGTTTGTTAACGCTCTTTCTTCAGATATACTGCATAGATATTTCTCAAATTTCATTTACAGGTTCCTTGTTGTCCCTAGTTGTGCTTGCATGAGTTTGGGACTATCAGAAAAAATGGCTGACAGGCAGCTATCTTGGATTTTGCCTAGTAAAGATTGTTGTCCCTATTTCTTAAGAAGTACTAAGTGGATCTCTCAAATTTCTTATGTAGGTTCCCTTTTGTCTTTACTTGTGTTGGTTTGATTTTGGGATTAATCAGAATAAACCAAAATGGCTTCCAGATGACCATCTTGGATTTGGCAGGTAAAAATTACCATCGCCAATTTTGATAAGGAATGTTTAAATTTCTTATCATTAAGAGCAGAAACAGGGAAAAGAAACAAAAGAAAACGATCCAACTTTCAAAGAGCAAATAAAGATCAAACAATGGTGGGCGCCAATATCCCTCTGGGATCTCTTGTTAAAACTGTTGAATTAGAGCCTTCAGGATCATAGGAATACACATTGATGTAGACTTACTTTAAAATTGTTCATGTTTTGTAGAGTTCGAAGTAAAGACCACAAAAAAAGAGCTTTAAGAAGGATTCAGCTAACACTTGGTGAAGGTCTTAGTCTTGGAGTTGGAGTGTAAGTTGAATTAGGGTTTCAGTGGCTGACCTTAATTCAAGGATTATGTAATGTATTCAACCTTTTGTTTAAGGGTTGGCGTGTCGGTTTATAATGCACTTCTTGTTTTGTCTTGACCTTGATGAACTTTAGTTAAAGATTCACATGAATGAGCTTGATGAGCTTTAGTTTGGAATCCAAAGTAATGACCTTGATTAGCTTTACTTTGGGATCATCTAAGAAAGAAATACAGAATAAAAGTATTTAGATTTTACATTTAGCCTAATAAAATGTTGATTTCATACATAAACACTAAAATGTAGATCAAAGATATGTGATAGCAAAATCTTAATTCTTTTTGATTTTATGTGAGATTTGTGAAAGTTTTGAAGAATGGAAAAGTTTTGTTTCATCAAATGGGGATCTGAAGTCATCCATATACCCAAATCATGCCTCAGACATTTGTTTGTTGTGTCCAGACTAACTGAGTTGTGGAAACTTGATTGACAGGTATGGATTAGTTAGGTCCTGTCCCAAACCGTATGGCGTTAAACTCAACAGGGAAACAAATGAGGAGCTGCAGAGTCACTCAAAGACTTACCTCAAGGTCAGTGAGAGCTACAATATTACAATTTAATCGAAAATCAGATCTCTTGTTTTATTTTGTGGTCTTTGCCTCTTAACATGGAGATCTGACAGCAGCTGTCATTAAATGCCATTCCATCTTCAAATTTGACTGCCAATCAAATTTGTTTGTCTAGTTTTGGACGTAAGAATTCAGAAGTAAGCACAAAAAATTATATAACATCCAGGAGTTATCAGCATTGCTGAAATATAACAAATTTAAATCTGATGTGACCAGTAATACATTGTACTCAGGGAAACATTGGTCCTCGCCTACAAACACTTGCACTGAAATATATTAGGCACATGCGAATGTTGATTGGGGTTAGTCTCAGGCATCATATTGTTGAATTTGATTATATTCATAGTTATCCTAATGACTGCAACAAGGAACCATATTGAGTCAATTTTTTTTTCCTCTATTTTTGATATTACAAACATTAGAAGAAGGGACTATCTGATTGTGCAGAAGCTGACCTTTGCTAATTATGGAAGTCCATCCAAACATTGGTGATAAAAGGGCTTGATTTCTTGGATCTCCTTGTAACAAAAATTTTATCTCCATTTCAGTGCCATGATCTTAGATTTAAGAATAGTCCAAGTATTTATCAAAGGCAGATAAATTTCAATAACTTATTCTGACTTCATGAAATAGACACCAGATGTCAGTTACATGAACATTATATCAGCTGAATTTTGTACAGGACACGGGAGAGGTACTTATGCCGCAGGACCTGAAGAAAGCCCAGACCTATGGTGGGCGTCAGATACTGTTTGAGAATGATGAAGTTGCTGAAATCAAGAGATTTGGAGAGTCGGGTAAGCCTTGAAGACCAAGAGGCAAAATTCACATACCATGTTTTCTAAGTTATAAGCCACAGGGCCGGTTTTTATCAATTTTTCCTATTTGATCCAGAGGTAAGCAGCACTGGAATTTATGCCGCACTCTTTCTTATGGCTATTGTTGACGTTTGATAAACCAGTAACAGATAACAGAAATATTACTGAAGGCCCTTGCATGCTGACCAAATTCTTATAGTCTTATAGTGTGGTAAACTACAGCTATGTACTGTAAAATTGTACCATTCATCGCAAATTGAGTCATTTCCTGTCATTAATTTCTGTGCTTTATATTAAGGGTTTGTTTTGTAAACTTATTGTTACTTGTAGTAAATTTGAGTTGTGTTGTAAGATTAAGTTCTGCACTTTAAATTTTTCTTTATTTAGTTTTCCTCTGATGTTTGACTAGAATTAAGACATAATTCAATATAAAATGAATCCCAACAGAATATCTTTAACTTGACTTTTCTTATACAGTTTGTTGTCTATAGTTGTATTTAACCTTCTAAGCTGAAAAAGGGCACTTCAAATGACTTTTTAAAGAAATTTCACTAGTGGTCTACACTTGTCTGTTATTCAGGAGTATTATAAGAATGATATCTAAATTTGAATTATTTCCAGTTACACATATTCCAACACCTTTATCAATAAAAGAAACACAGCATCGTTTTGAGTTTTTGCTTTAAGATTACTTTCTAGAATGTAACCATTTAAAAAATCATGAGAAAAATTTTAATACTGGAAGTTTTTACTTCTCAGGGGAGTGCATCCTGAAATCTGCTCTAAAATGACGTTATATACAGTGAATTGGAATAATGTGTTGTAAGACTAAGTTATTAAGTGGATGATGTCTATATACCCTTTGAGAATTACATCATCAGGTACATTTAAACATGTCTCCTACTTTTCTCTTTAGGATTACAATTGATGGGCTTTAAGCCACGCAGCAAACTGAAGAAGTATTATCATGTGAAGCCTGCACAGTTCCTGTACCCAGATGAGAGTGTAAGTCGTTTGGATTAGGAACAAAACTATCAAATAATTAAGTATATCGTTAATGATGGCTGACAAGGAGAAAAATCATTTTGAAACAATTTGATTGTAAAACTTTTTTTTTCCAGATTCATGCCTCATTTTCATGTTTTACGGTTATCATTATTATTCCATTAACAGTCAGTGTTCTCTTGAGTATAAAGCTGTTGTGTATATTATATTGTTTTACATTTTCTACTTTGCTAAGTGACAAGGACCAGGTACACCTACACAGGCAATGTTTCGAGGGGAGGGGACTTGTGTATCAGCAAAAAAGTCACAAGCTCCCTCCCCTAGAAACATTGTTACATGTGTTGATTTGCCCTGGACATGCATTAATTTCTAACTTTAGGTAGAAATATAAAGAAACATTTATGAATTATCTGTACACAGACGGTGATTGGTAGTACCACATTATTTACTGCCTTGCTGAAGAAGTGCCTGGAGCGAGATGTGTTCCCTTTGTGTCGATACATCCCTGGTAAAAACATGGCACCACGATTTGTGGCACTTCTACCACAGGTAAATTGTCTTTTTAACTCGCGTTACTAAACCAAAGAAATTGGATCCGAATTGATATTATCCTACCTTTCTATGACATATAACTCCCTTCCTTAAGTTTGATGTATTTTCTACATCCATTCAATATATTGTCGTCAGTTTGCAGTAGAATGCATACAGTGAGTAAATGAAATTTTCTCAAAAAAAATTCAGGGGAGGTAATTTTAACTTGACTCAATGATGAAATGTGTATGGTAGTATGTTTATAACATGACAGTTTGACCTTCGTTGACCATGAACTGTAAGCATGATTTGGTGACATTTTGACCTTACAGGCCGCAAAAGTATACATGACCTGAAAAGAGGTTGTATCTTTGCCTGACCTGTTGACATTGGGAGAGTTTGACAGGGATTGGTTTTATACAACCTAGAGACACTTCAACCAAATGACCATATTTGACGTTCTGTCAGTAAAAATAACAATGCTAGTTGCAAATATGTACAGGATCAGGCTGAAGAAGTCAATAAGCTAGAAATAGCAAGGATGATTTATGATTGTATAATATGTACAGGATCAGGCTGAAGAAGTCAATAAGCTGGAAATAGCAAGGGTGATTTATAACTTTATAATATTTACATGATCAGGTTGAAGAAGTTGATGAGCACAAGGTACAGGTCACACCTCCAGGATTCCATGTCATCTTCCTTCCGTTTGCTGATGATTTCCGTAGAGTGAAACTCGAGGATGCTCCCCGAGGTTTGTGTCTGGTTTTTTCACCACCTTAATCCCCTACATTCTCTTTTGACTGGCCTGTCCAGCATTCAGGAAGGCTGACCTGATCATCGGTCAATATAGGGATGTCACAAAATCCTAACATCAAGCTGTACTCAGCATCAGAAATCTGTCGTCAGTCAGTATTAGGATAAAACATCAGAGTATCATAACATGATATACTCAACTAGAATTTGGATAGCAGTCAAAATTTAGGTATCAAAAGTTGATCTTGATAACTTTCAACATGAAAGAAGTCTTGTGTATAGACATCTTTAAAACACTGAATGTATTTATTTCATTTACATCTTTTCATTGAAACATCAACTTTTACACTTGGTTTGATTCTTGGATGCTCCAGTCAGACTTTCAAAATTTGTTGTGAAGAAAAAATATTGCTGAAGGATAACATGATTCATGGAAATATATTAGATAAAATGTGTCTTCATGTTAATTTTGTCTGTCACTGTTGATTTCTGTTCAGCCAACATGGATCAGATCGACAAGGCAAAGGAATTGGTAAAGAAACTCCAATTCAAGTTTACAAGTGAGAGTTTTGAAAACCCAGTCCTTCAGAAGTATTGGCGGAATATTGAGGCCCTTGCTCTCGATCGGGATGCACCTGAAGAAATGACTGACTACACAAGTATGAGTCTGGCAAATCGTTGTAGACATTTTGAGCTATATATAATCTGTGGTTTGCATAAACAGGTGGCCAGTTATTTTAAACATAGAGTTAGTTCCTTGTAATATTTTTTTACATATTTATGCTTCCGCCATTTTATGACAGAGGGGTCAGGGAAGGGGGAATATGTTGTCAATTACTTCAGTCTGTCCAGTTGTGCCGCATTCTGAAAAAGGGACATATCTTGGGAAATGTTCAACAGATTGGTATAATTATTACCCTGTTGTATCATAGTATCACGTTATGATGATCAGATTCTGATTTGCATAGGATCAAGAACAGTCATATCTTCTTGTCGTCGTTTCATTACTGGTTCTGACTCATCTTTGGGTCTGTTAGATCCAATATTGTAAGCATATAGAGTACTACCCCTTAATTGACAAGTGAGTGAGATTTAATAGGCCATATAAATCATAAAGTTTATCAAGGTTGTGCATATCAAAGGTTAGATGTACATGTATGACATTTACATTTTGTGTTGCTTTCGTTGATGCATCAGTAGAAAACTAAATTTCAGTACATGTATATGAGACATTATACTACAATAAACAGAGATTTGGTCTGTGTTGGACAAAGATGCAGTGATATATTCTAAATGTGCTTTGAATTATGCAGTTGTGCAAGGTAGATTTGCCTTTGGAACTACCTTACATATAGGTACAAAATCTTTCTCAAATAACATGGAAATGCTTGCAGTCCCCACTCCCTATCCCCAAATCTCTTTATCTAATGATTGAGAAGTAAAAAAAACCCTAATGTAATATTATATTCATCAAGTCCTTACCTTGAAATAAGTCCACCAATATCTTTTGCTACTGAGTAGATTTAAGATATATTAACAGATTCCTAATCATTGTGCTTTAATAAGCCCACCCCCTGACTTTAGCTAGAGGTACTATATTGGACACCAGGTGTCCTAACAAGCCAAACCCATGACTTTGTGTCAAGAGGTTATATGCTGTCCCTTGGTGTCCTGTAATTGCCTACCCCCTGACTTTGAGTCAGAGGTACTATTGTGTTTGTGTTAAAGTTTAATGCTCGACCAGGATCCCAACACTAACAGTACTTATTGGCACAAAGGCCTATTCAGGGTAACTGAAAGATTTGTTCAAAATTTAAAAAAGTTGGCATAAATAAAGAGCTACGACAGTCCCTTCTAAACTGAGACTTATCTACGATGTAACTTTTGAAAGATTACTAATTCTGCCAGGATGCTGATTCAATAGTATATTACAACATGTTTTAACATTTCAGTGCCCAATGAAAAAGGAATGGAAAAACGGGCAGGAAAGATTATACAGGAGTTCAAAGACCTCATATTTCCTGACGGGTATGAACCAGGTGTAAAAAGAGTAAGTTTCTCTCAGAAATCCAAAACCATTGTTTGAGAGCTTTCCTAGTATTTTGCTGTTATTGCAGGTGAATAAAAAACTGTAATAATTCACTCTTACAGAAAGCTCCAGCGAGTGCTGCTGATGCTGCTGCTAAGAAAGCTAAAATGGAGGGCGCTATGGCGATGTTGGATGTTAAGAAAGAGGCCCAGGAAGGCCGGGTAAGGAATATTACACATATGCTAAATTATACTGATCCAGTTTTAGGAGTAAAGCTTAATGACCTAGTTATTACCATATACTTGACTGACCTAGTTTTAATGGTCAAGTTTACTGACATAGTTATTAGCTCACCTTTCTGAAGTGCTTGTGAACTTGTGCTGTGGTATGACATTCACTTTCAATAGTAACTTATATTTAAAACTTTTTATTCTGAATAAAGAGACCTTACATCATTATATGTGTAGCAAGTTTTTTTTTTCAAATAATTGACCTTGACCAACTCACACTATTATTATTTATTTATTTATGGTTTTATGGTTGTATTTTCTTAAATTTCCAGTTGGGCAAGTTAACAGTGGCAGTATTGAAAGAATTGATTAAGCGTGAAGGTATTCCAGCATCAGGATCAAAGAAAGCAGATTTGATAGATTGCATTAACAGTTATTATGGTGTGTCATAAGTTTGTATCATAAACTTCTACCAGGGTTTCCCTTCACTGGTTCTGTAGATCAGACTGGATGGCAATACAAAGTGTTATAGGACATGAAGAGTAAAGATGTCTTGCCATGTCATTGTTAGAGAGGTTGATGTAAAAATGCTGTTTGTACAAATGTATATATTTTCTGATCTATACATTAAAGACTTTTTTAACGGAGATCTTCCTACTTTTGTTTCTGATAACTATGGTATAACCCTTTTTATAATACATAAAGTGTGACAATACTTTGACTACTACAAACGACTAGGGTTGTTTTCTCTGTAAGTGTTGATGTGTGTGACAATACTTTGACTACTACAAACGACTAGGGTTGTTTTCTCTGTAAGTGTTGATGTGTGTGACAATAATTTGACTAATACAAATGACTAGGGTTGTTTTCTCTGTAAATGTTGGTCTGTGGGACAATAATTTGACTACTACATATAACTAGCTCTGTAAGTTGAGCTTTGATCTGTAAACAGAAAGTGATCAGCCAGGCTGATACAGTAGAAGTGAGAATAGCTGTTTTGATATTTCTTTGATAATCCTGGCAGAGTAAACTAGTACGACATAGTATGAATAAAAGATGAGGGAAGAACAACTATAGAAACAGTGTGCGAACAAATCAATTATTGCGGTTCATAATTCTAGTTAAAATAATAAAAGAGGAAATCTGATCATTCAAATGGTGCCACGACCAGGAAGTGAACAGACAATGTGTAAAGCAAAACCATTATTGTGATTCAGAATTCGGAGCAAAATACTAAAAGAATTAAACTCAAATGCAACTTGTATACAGTTTGGTTGGAGAAGAAGGCATGTTTGTTAGAGAAATGGAAGTTTACCATGGAGAAATGGTTTTGTAACTTAACTTAGAGTAGTTCAGATGTTGATAAAGGATTTGTCAGATTATAAGTGATTGATGGTGAAACAAATATAAACACTAAAGAAATAATCATAATAGGTGACAAATTGAATTGTTTTTTCTCTTATGCTTTCCAATAGTTGGATACTGCAAGTATGGTTAGTTGTGATGTTTACAGAATAAGTGTGTAGACTTTAAATGCCACACTAAATAAACAACAGGTCTTAGCAGTACAGATGTGAATGAAACTGCAATTCATCAAACATGTTTATACAGCAATGTCACTATAAACTAACCATGAAGAAGTGTGATATTTAAAGTACCGTAAATGACATTCTCCTCAAGGCCATTATGGTATCAATTCTCGTCCTAGGAACAGTGATGGTACACAGTCAGAAATAATGTTCCTCTGACTGTAATACTCTGTCTGAATGAATAATCAGCTGTTATTAAAATCAATTTTTAATCTGCATAACATATCAACATGAATGGGGAATGTAGATATTAATACTGAATGTCTCATTACATCATTTATGATTGTTATAAGCGACAGCTACAGTATTACCTGGTATGTTTGCCTGCAAAGTTCTGTCATTCACATCAACCATAAATTCCATGAAAAAGCATGAATGCATAACCATTACTTACAATGATTTTATGATCCATTTAATGTATAATACTCATTGTTTCAATAGTGCAAAATGTAAATATTTACATTTGTGATATTTGTTCTATGTTAATATATTTTTTATAAAATAACACAAATAGATATACAATCTCAATTTATTTTTCACAAATAAATCAGCCATGATTTTTTTTTAATAATATGAAAAAATGTGAATATAAATAGGACAAAACAAACAAACAAAAACAGGCCCATTGGGCCTGTATCTCCTAACTGGATATTTTAGCTTTCACTTAAATCATATTAATTCACAATTATATTGTTACATTTTTTTTATTTTAATCTCTATTTCCCACATTTGACCCAGTCCCTCTGCAAACTTTTTCACCCTATGACGTTTCAAGAATAATTTGGTCAAAATCCTTGCAACATAAAAAACTGGATTTCAAAGATTTCATCTCTCTAATCTATTGATCGTCAGCCCTCAGGAGGATGAGATCCAATCAAATTCTCTTCACCCATGGAGAGTTGAGACTAAATGGGAACAGAATCTTGGTATTCCTATAGAAGGAGAAGGATTTTAAAGAATTTATTTTCTATGTTGGCCACACTCCTCCCACCCCACGTAGCCAAGACTCATTATTTATACAAAATTGATGTTTATACATCCAAGGATGTTCACACCAAACTGGGACAGAATGAAGACATTTTGACAGAAGAAGGAATTTAAAGAATTTGCTCTATTTCTCCTATTGGGCGTCACCCCTTCTGCCCCATGGGGCGGAGACCCACCTTTTTAAGAAAATAAATTGATTCTCCTTCACCCAAGATTCTACCAGACCAAATTAGGACAATTTCTGACATGCCTAGAAGAAGGATTGTAAACAAGTTGGTATCTTTTCTTTATCAGACCCTGTCCCAAGGGTTCAAGATCCACCATTAATGCAAAGATCCTCTTTCATCCAAGAATGTTTCAGACTAAATTAGAACAGAACCCAGGCATTTATACAGAAGAAGGATTTAAAGAATTGCTGTATTTCTCCTGTTTGGTCCCATCCCTTCCGTTCCAGGGGCTTAAAGACTCATGACTTATACAAAATTTGATTCCCCATCACTCAAGGATGTTTCAGAAGAAATTTTGGACAGAATCCAGGTATTCCTACAGAAGCATTTTAAAGAATCTCGTTTTGGACCCTGCTCTTCCTGGACAAGGGGAGGAAGACCGAACGTCCGTTTATAAAAAAAAAAAAAAAAAATTTCTTCACCCAAAGATGCTCCAGTCCAAATTCTGACCTTCCTAAAACTAAAAAGGATTGTAAAGAATTTGCTCTATTTCCCCCATTGAGACCCATTGGGCCAAGACCTACAGTTTCTTAAAAATATCATTCCTCATCACAGAATAATAATTCAGAAATATCAAAGCTGTCTGAAGATGAAGATTTCAAAATTTTAACTCAAATTTCCTATTTCGAGCCCATCCCCAAAGCTCCCAGGAGGCCTACAAATTTCTCATTCAGATTTAAGAGCCCCTACACCATTCTATGCCCTTCTGGCAAACCGAAATAGGTGGCCAGAATTGGCAAAAAATCATCTGTGGGAGGGGTAGAATTCACAAGCCAAACAGTCTAGGGGAGGGGTCATAATTTACAAAATCAACATACAAGAGAGGGGCAAATTTCACAAAACCAGATGGTCAAGGCTAAGGTTCAGAATTACCAAAATAGTGTAGGGAAGGGGTAAAAATTGACAAATTAAATACCAAACAATGTATATATGAGAAAGTTGCGATGTCTAATCTATTTGTAATATATTGAACAGAGATACGACAAAGTGACATGCTGAATGTTAATTAGAAACACGATTAATCATGCTAAATCTTCCCTTTTGGATCCCACCCCTCCCTCTGTCCCCAGGGAGCCACAGTCCCACTGCTTCTCCTTTCCCCAGGGATTCTTCTGACCAAATTTTTATAAATCTATTCAGTCTTTCATGGCTAGAAGTGATTTTCAGAGGGAAAAATGTAGAGGACGCTTGCCTCATCATGACATCTTAGGACCAAAAAGAGCTTAAAGGACAAAACATGCTTTATTCAGGTTTTTAATGTGTTTTCCACACTGTGTAATTGAAATTGACCAGTAAAAAGTCATTTTCTTTTGTTTCCCCCTCATGTTTTTCCTGCTAACATGTGTAATACCACAACAGATCACTGATTGGCTGAAAGACCCCATAGTAATACATGTTTCCATTGTGACACCTTAGTTTCATCTAATACACTTTATGGGTAACCACCATTAACAAAATATTGCCCATTTAGATTTTGTCAATCTAAGCTCATATATGCTGTCTTAAAGAATATTTGCAGAGTTATTTAAGTTATGTCGTAAAAAGGATAAAAAAATAATCCAATAAATATGATACTGAAATTAAACGAATGTATGAATTGTCACTTCACCAAAGACTAGTTGTCAACATTGATGTCTAGGTTAGGTGTCTGGATGGTTTTCAGTATTGACAAAGCACTGAACTAGTAGTCTATTAATTTTCTACAAAATGTTTATGATTATGAGATCATCTACTAACATTTTAAATGTATATGATTTACATAGTGTCAGGCCAGTTTTTCCAGTGGCACCCAGTTGATGTACTCCAGACAGGATTCAGGCACGGATGCTGTTCTTCGATTCACTACATGAACATAAATCGGAAATGTACATGTAATTCAACCATTGTCTATTAATGAACACTTTTCTAGTCACATACTGATCTAAATAGTTCATTTATTGTTGTTTTTCTGTATTGATGGCAGCACACCATGGCCATGACTGAATTCAATCATTCATGTTCAATGTCTGTTTTTTCATCTTGGTTTTTGTCAAAATGTCCTGCTTTTTTCAATTGTTCATTGAGATCACATAACTGTTGCATGAAGCCATCATTGGGACAAATTTCACGTTTTGACCTGACCAATCGTGTTGCATCCTGAACTGGCATGTGGTGTTCGATCATGAGGTAGGCGAGAACAAGTGTTGCTGACCTACTGGCACCCATCTTACAGTTCACCATCACCTTCCCTGGAACAACAAATTATTTTCAATAACACACACACGTAATATGACTCAGAAATCCTTCAGAACATATGTTTGTCTAAAGTTCTTCGAAAAATACAACTGTTGATTGATCAATGTTCAGGTTGACTATGATGGAAGTGTGATGGAAAACACTGGGGTATCCAAAAAATACCATTTTTTGTTTGGCAGATGGCCCCAAACATTTTCATGTTCAAATAATTAAATGAACACCTGTAGTGAAAGTGACGGACGAGCACACTATCCATTATGCCATCTTTTTTCAATGATAAGAAAAATATTGCTTTGGATTATTTTTCCTTTTATACAGATAGAGACTTAAGACTGTCTTGTATGATGTATTAAACATATCTACGTATCAAAAATCAAACTTTTGTTTTTCTCAAACTTCTGGCATTATGAATGGTTTTTCCCAGATGGATGTGAAGGTCAGGTGGCTGAATTATTAGACTTTTCTTCTGGTAATGATGGTTTACAATGGTAGCTTTCAGCTAATCACTTTTAAAAAACAGGGGAAGGGGTTAATATGGTGCATCATTTTCCAGACCTTATCCTCACCTTCATCAGCATATATTTAAGCAGTAATATTTTTTGATTTCTCAGGTAACAATTCACTTAAATACTTCCTTACCACCAGCATCAATAGCCTGCTGGATAAATTCTACTGATTTATCAAAGTATGGTGTTAACTGGAAATTCATTTGGTCCATGGCCTTGATTCCGTAGTAGATGATATCCACTCGTTTGTACATCTCGGCATTGATGTTTACATGGTAATCAGAATTCCCCTCTGCTGCGTTTAAAATGTGGGTAATTCCAATTCCCTTAAGGCCCATTCTGTTCTTTGCAATTGATCTTTTAAGGAAAACGAAACAGTTAAAATTCAGAATTTATATATGTCAAAAGCACACAACAGTATAGAATAGAATTCAAAATGTGAAACAGGTAAATATATCGGAGTATCTAACAGATTACTGTGAAATCAATTATACTTGTCTGGGCCCCAATTTTGTGTTTTGTTCCAAAAATAAATGTTTTCTTTAGCTCTTGATTTCGTGGATAAATCTTCTATCTATCTATTATTCTTTAGACATAAGAATTCATGGATTCAGAGATTCAACAAATCAAAGTAAATCCCCCCAAGAAAACGAATGAGTGTTCACTAATAATAGATATAATTATGTAGCTTGATCTGTACAAAATTTAGGTGGGTTTTAAAAAACTTAATTTGGCAAAGTTACAAAAAATTTAATCTTAATCCTTACTCGCCTATATATATATTGGGGAATACCTTGTTGTCAGATCAGACTAACTCCTCTTCTATATAAATGTTAGGGAAAATCTCGTAAAATCACACTTACTCCTCGCCTATAAAGATATTGGGGAAGACCTCATTGTAAGCGTCAGATGGCATCATACAAAGACCACCACAAGGACTTGTGATAATATCCGTCAACTCCTCCGGTGTGCAAGGATAGTCTGGTGTTGTCTCTGTTGCCATGACTACTTCAATGATCTGTCCTCAAGTTGAACAAAGCTGCAACCCGAAACAAGAGATCAAACAGGGAACATGGTACCCACAATTGAATAATTTTGTATTTTTTGGTTCTATGTATGACAAGCCTTTTCTCTACTTTCCCCTTTTTTCCCAGTCATTTGATAAGAAGGGAATTCTACACATGAAATCTGAGAAAAATCTACCATGAACTTTTTGAAAAATGACAACAAAAACTTTAACTATCAAAATCCAAAATGGTCTCTGGTCAGCCATTTTGTTTTCTTGAGCTGATGCAAAATTGAATGAGCACAGCATTTGATTGAAAGAAATCTATACATCGAGTTTGAGGAATATTTTACTTGTACTTCTTAGGAAATAGCAATAACAAACTTAAATTGTCAAAATCAAAGATGGCTGCCTATTGGCAATTTTGTTTTACTGATCGTTCTCAAAATTTAATGGACACAACTACAGCCATAGGAAATATACAAATTAAACTTCAGAACTTCTAAGGAAATAGCAATAACACACTAACTCTCAACACTAGGGACAAAGAGGAACCTTTTGTACAAATGTTGAAGTTAGAGAGCAGTGATCAGAATTCTTGTTTACGGGCAGACGACAGATGGAGAACAAGGGATGATTTGAACAGCCTTTCATCTGATGATGGTAACTAGAAAGGCAGAAAGACATGATGATAATATGATGTGAAATCATAAGTTTTTTTAAAATGAAGAATTAAAAAGCAATAACCCTGAGATGTACGATAATTATAGCTTTGTCAAATGGAAAAAAATTATTTTGAACATTAAAAGTCAATGTAAACAGGTTTATAGCTAACTCAAGTTGATGAGAGTCATTCAGGCATAAGTGTTCATACTGTAAACATGGTATTTTTGTGGTTATTTATTTAAAAGCTTTTCACACCGAAATAATTTTGACTGTACCATTGTGAATGTACTAATTCCCTTTGCACTAACTGGGAAAATGTATGATAATGCACTAAAACTGGATGGTTTAAACTATTATATAACACAGAGTCACTGAGGTATGTGAGGTACCTGTACATGTAAGGAGTTAAGGCCACAAGAAAGTTGAAAAGGGTCATAACTCTACATAATAATGAAAAGGTAAGGGTCAACTGCACAACCAGATGGGTTTCCCCTGCTTACTCTGGTTTCCTCTCGCAGTAACACCCCTTGCATTTTTTTTTTTTTTTTCGTTTCTTTTTTTTTCATTATATTTAGGTTTAATATAAGTTGGATAAACTTGTCAATGTTGTAAGATAAATAAAGTCTAATACTGAAATAATGTTAAATATTGAAAAAAATGTACAGTGGTGTGTCAGGAACCTATTCATGTACCAGTAAGTAGATTTAGAGAGAATCTCAAACAGAGGTTCTACTCCACAAAAAACCAATCAGTTTTAGTGATAGAAACATTGGACTTACCTATCTATAAATAAAAGTAGAAAGGATGAGGCACAACACACATGGATCCGCTGCATAGTGTATAGTTTAAATTACATCCTACGTGCTGACATGTTTCAGCCCAAAGGAGTTGTTACCTACCTATAGTAAGACTATCAAACTATACTCTCTATGAAGTCAGTATAAAATGACAACACATATATTCTATACATTATGTAATCTTTAATACATCTAAAGCAAAACGATAAGAACAAATGGAACATATGAAAGTCATGCTGTTCAAAACCATAATCACGGAAAAAATTCTGTTTACAAATCATGCTTTTTTCTGCAAAGTGAAAAATTGTCAAGTGATGTTTATGATAATTTCAAATTATTTTAAACAATAAACTCTTTTTTTTCAAAAAACTAGAAATCAATAAAAAAAAAAAACTGTCAAAAAACCCTTTTTTAATTGTAATAATTTTACAATCTGATTTCCTCTAAAACTTCTGATTAACTTTATACATTGGTTTGAAAAAAAATGAGACAAAATTCCACTTAAAAAACTTGATCAATGTTATATAAACAGATGTATTTTAGAGACTGGATTGTTCAGTCTGTCTTACTTATAAGGAAATAAAATATCATACACAATGAAACATGAGGCACACCATTTATACAAAACTGACATTCCTTCACCCAACCATGCTTCAGACCAATTCTGGACAATATCATGTGATTCCTAAATAACAAGATAGATTTTTAAAGAAATTGATTTCTTTTCTCTATTGGGCCCTGCCCCTCAGACTCTGAGAGGCCAGACCCATCATTTACACAAAATTGGTCACATTTTTACTGTCCCTAAGGATGCTTCAGACCAAATTTGATTAAAAGCCACTCAGTCATTTATGAATAGTTGCAATATATAATAAAAGTTGACAGACGCCGGACACCAGACAAACACTGGATACCACAATATCCCTATAGCTCACTTGGCCCTTCCAGCAAGATGAGCTAAAAATCAAATACATACAAGGAAACTGGATCAAAATCCTCTTAAAGCAAATGTCCAATGTACTCAAATGTCTGCTGCTGTTCATGAATGATATTGCTAACTCTTTCATTTCAGAGAAATAGTGATAAGTTAAATAACAGATCAGAAATAATAGTAAATTTAAGGGAAATTCTGAATTTGAAATGTGTTCTGGTTAATTCAAAAAGGTAGAATTGAATTTTTTTTCAACTGAAATTTGAGTTTTGAAATAGATTGAATTTTTAACAGTAAATTATAGGTGGAATTTATAAATGAAGATATCAAGGTATAACTACATAATGGGATGAAAAATCTGTACTTAGCTGGAATTGGAAACTTCAGACAAAACATGATGCCTTAAATGAAAACGTAATGACCTTGTCATGTTACAGTACTTCATTGCTGGCAAAACAGAAAAGTACATGTCTTTCACACATCAGCACATTCTCAGCACTTCAGAGGTTACAATCACTTTCGCTCTCTGCATCCCTGGAACATGTCATGGCAAAATTGAAGGCACAAGCAAAGTTATTTGATTGGTTCCTGGAGAAAAAAAGCTGACCAATCATAGGCTGATATGCTCCTTTAGGAGATTACAATATAAGAGACATGTACATCATAGGAAAAAACTAGTCTTTTCATCTTGTCCACAAGATGTTACACATGAAACCTTAAATTTTGCCATGACATGTCCCAGGGATGCAGAGAGCGAAAGTGATCATACCCTCTGGAGAATCAAGGATAATATCAATAGTGTTGGGTATTGCTGTGAAAGTCATACTGTAAACTTTCATAATTAGGACCATTACTCAGCCATTCAGTTATAAGTTGATCGTTTTTCAGGTAGAGACCTTAACGTCTGCTGCACATTGCATGTATATTTGTATTCAAAACATCAGATATTGCGTAGTCAGCTAGAAAATTAGGAGGTGAAAAAGTTTTCAAAAATTCTGAATGAAAATTGTAGTTTTTGTGTTTTCTGCTAAATAAGTATCCTGTTCTAAGAATCAAGTTGGAAAAAAATTGTCAAAAATCTGATCAAGAGGGTCACAGTTACATAATATGTAGCCAATATTTATTTCTATCCAATAGCTTTACTTACAAACTTCCATTATACAACTGTAAGATATCTAGAGAATGATGATTACCACCATAAGTAAATGATGACTAATACTTGACAAACTGCTGACCCTAGAGGGCCTGGTCAAGGCACCCAAAACAGGTCACATGGTACGTTTTCAATCTTAATCAGCATTTTCTTAAACAAAATTTTGATCCAATATATGGTTTAAAAGATCCAGGGCAGTTGGAGATCAGAATGTGTTTATATGGGAGGCCATTGGAGCCTTAATAGGCCCCCTTCTCCCTCTCAATCCCTCTGTGTCGTTCCCATCTGTACAGGATATTTCTAACATTTGATCAAAATCAGACATGGTCTTTCACAGATTGTTGATTGATAATGAAATGTGACCTCACTTAGAGTGTCGTAACTAAGCAACCTGGGTCATGTAGGGTCAGTAATTGACTGAGTAGAGATTATGAATGCAGTTTTTTAAATAATGATTAAGTTACTCATAAGTAAGTTATTTCACTGTTGGCCAATGGAAGTTTTTTCAGTAATTTTTAAAATCTATTTCATGTAAAAAAAGACCAATTATAAATTGTGTCACTGTGACCTACTTTATCAGTTTTTTTTTCAACATTATTCTTTGACTTAGTAGTTTTTAGCAGAAAACATAAAAACTAAAACTTTCACACTAAAATAACTTTTTTATCAACTTTTGATTTCCAAATTTCCTTGATCATGAAAATTGATCACTATGTGATGGAAAAATGGGTCAAACTGGCACCCCTACTTTTAGTGTTTTGATCACTTGCTGGCTAATTAACACATCAATGAATTGCCTATACAATGTAATTGCTATATAAACAACGATTTCAGTGAAAAAAAAAGTAATTTGTGCTTTTTTCTGTAATCTACTACCAGAGATTTTGTAAGACATGTTACTGATTGCTTACTGGTTACCAGAGCTACATGGGAGGTACCTTCAGTTCAAAAACAATTACACTTATAACAATGATGGAAACACAAATCAAAGCCAGCTTGCCAGAAAACACGAGTCTAAAGTGATAAGTTTTTTTTTTTAAAAAATCATATTTTGACACCGTGCTTGATCAGACAGATTTCCAGAAAACAAGACTTATTTGGTAGTTTTATCCAAAAAAAGCTGTCAAAATTTAAATTTAAGAAAGAATTTTTCTTTTTTGTTGTTTACTTGTAATGAAAATGGCATTTGTATGTTGATATTTTGAATGACACATGTTACACTTAAATATCTGTAAAAAAAAAATCAATTTACACACCAGTAAACAATGAAAAAGAAAAAATTCTTTCTTAAATTTAAATTTTGACAGCTTTTTTTTTATTTATACTACTTCAATAAGAATAATAATCATCATTCATTGGACCTTATACGCACCAACGGAACAGCCCTAAAACTGATGAAACGGCAAAACAGCTGATTACAATTTGACAGGAAAGGCTGTCATATTTGATGATTATCAAAAAATAAACAGCAATTTTGTTGGTAAGACCAAGTAGAAAATACACACAAGAAATGTAAATATTAAGAAATAATAAATAACAGACTGTCAACCTGACAAATTGTCAGATTACACAAATTCTAATTTGGTAGTTTTTATCAGAAATGATAACAAGACACTAAGTTTATAACGGGTTTGCTAGGAGAAGTTTAAAAAAAGGAAACAATAAACAAAAACAAAAAAACAGGCATCACTAGACAGTTATAACAACAAGCATATCCTGCCTTTAATGATTCAAAATCAATGAAAATTACATAAACAGGCAACATTTTCAATCCCTTCATTTGATGAAGACAGACTCAAATTGTTTGTGTTGCTCACCTGCTTATTAAAGCGAACTGTCCATGTCGCTCACCTGCTTTTTTATGTTTTTGGTAAATAAATCTGTCATCAGTTACCTTCATACATCATTGTTTTATATATAGGTAACTCTTCACAACAGTTTACAGATTTTAACATGTCTGATTTCCATGTCACTGTTAACTGTGGGTCACTTAAGCAAAGATAAGGTTGTTCCTGAAACATGACTAAGCCATGAACACCCCTATTACCTGGACTAGATGGACGACAGATGTTGCATCACAACATCAGCTGACATGGCACTTTGTGACATATGTCAGATAACAAATTAACTGGAAAATCTCAAAAAATGATTAAATAAATAATCTGAGAACTAAGGACGTTTCACCATTTGATTTTTTGATTCAAATAATCATTATATATTTTCTCATCAGAGTACAGACCAAAAAACATTATATATATAATGAAAGAAATCAATATATAAACAGGAACTTGAACAACAACATCAAACATGCAAGGACAAAATTTCAAACACATGCACCAGCTTTGTTTACTTCTCTATCACATTATTTAACTTGTCTGAAGGAGTTTTACTATAACATGTATCCATATGATATATATTTGTGTTACAGTCGGAAACAGATCGAAGCCAGCTTGCCAGAAAACACGAGTCTAAACTGATAAGTTTTCTTTCATAAAAAATAATGATTTGACAATGTGTATCACATTATTTAACTTGTCTGAAGGAGTTTTACTATAACATGTTTCCAAATGATATGAATTTGTGTTACAGTTGATAGTTAGAATTTTACCTTAAGAACACAAAAACATTTCATCTCAACATAGGTCAGCATTTAATGATTTATAGTTCTCACCAACAGGGTAATCATGAATTAGACATTAATGGAAAAATTATTTTTATACTTATGCACAGATGAAAGTCAGCAAAGCTGATCAACTAAATATATTTTTCTAAAAATTTGTTTGCTGACAACCACTTTAATTAAATTCTACACATTTGAAAAAGGTTACTTTCATAAAGCCTTGCCAATGTTCATTAAATAAACTATGGTTGTAAAATGTCAAGATATTTTCAACACTGTTCTCAAAACTTGAATATTAAAAATGAGTTGGCATATTTATTAAACAGTCTTGAGTTAAAAACATGAACAGGACAGTGGGTAAATATTCATAAATGAGTGACTAGATGTTAAGCTTTGCATGGGTTGCTACCATGCTTTTACCATATTAAAAGGAATTCTGATTACTGATTGCAACACCAAGATATATCAGTGAGAGGAAGTTAAAACTCCTTCAGACAGCACATCAAGAAAACACTGCTACTACAGTGACACAAGGATTCACCTTGTTAATACTTCTAAAGATGGCAGTGGTAACCCCATATACACTACAGATCCATGCAGTGTTTATTCGGTTATATAACATATCATGCTACAGTCAATGATTACTGTAAAATCACATATTTTTGAGGGGTTAAATATTCTTGGTTTTTTTTTTAATTTTTTTTTTTTTGTGGACAATTAATTTCATAGATAAAATTATGTCGATGTACCTACTTATTTCAACAGTGTGTGGACATATGAATTCATGGATTGAAAGTAAGAACGAAACCACCGAAAAAAAAATCCCCCTTAAATATTAATGACTTTACTTTTACTAATTTGAAAGTTTGTGGATTGAGAGTAACAATGAAATCAACAACAAAAAAATCTCCTTAAAATGAATGGTTTTACAGTATTGAAATAAGCCACAATTTTGTTGATGATGCAAGCATAAAACAAACCCTCAGTAATCAAATGAGCAAGTTTTTCAGCTGATGTGTAGGAGTTTGAAACATCTTCCATCGCAAAATTCATTGTTCTTGTTGTTTTGTCATCATATCATGAAAACCTTATACCTTGTACCATTTTACCACATAAAATGTCTTCCAGGAGTTCTAAAAATGTTTACAGCCTGTGTGTGTTTGTGTGTGTGGGGAAGTGTTGTGAAGATATTGTGGTATGATTGTTTTTGGGTTGCCTACCGATACAAGTATTGGTATAACTGGTCACAGGACTATTAATGACTTTTTGCCATGAAGTGTTTCAAATTCCCAATTTACACAACTCCTTGCTTATTTTGATTTAGCACCAAGAAATTTGCAGCTTTCATCATGTTTTTCTCTCGAACAAGAAGGTCCTCCATCTTCGCTTCTTCTTTCTTATCATTGCATACTATGACAAAATGACTGTCCAGTTTTCGGGCACGTCCACGCATCTGTACCAGTGCAGTCATGGTGGAAGGAGGGTTCATGGAAACCACAAGTTCACATTCTGGTAGATCAATCCCTTCCTCTGCCACAGCTGTAGCTATGACAATCTGGAACTTGTGGTCTTTGATTTCCTCTAGAGTCTTGCGTTGCTGAGCAACAGACATTCCCCGCTCTGCTGCAGCGCCCCCATGCCCAACAATCTTTTCCACAGCCAAATTTCTTTGTACGATTTCAGGATGATCCTTCAAAATTTTGTGCAAAGTGGTGGCAGTAGCCCTCTGTTTAACCAAAATGAGGGCCAGTGGTCGACTTTGTCTGCTTTCACCATCATTCCACTTGACGTAGTTCTGATAAACAAGTTGCTCTATCAGACATTTCACACTGGACGACATCTCTTTGTTTTCAGATTCATCCTCAAACTTCAGATTTGATTTCAGGAATTGCTGCTGCATCTCAATTGAATGCAGGATGCCCTCACATGGCAGACCAATTTGTCTGGCAAATTCAAAATTTTGGTTAAGATCTGTAGCCATGAGTTCCTGTATCTCGATCAAAGCCCCAGCATTTCCAACTTCAGCTGCTACGCTGATGGCCATGCAGATACATTTTATGTGTCCTATCAAGTTATGAACATCTATTTTTTTATCAACACCTGAGGTGTTGGGTTTTGCTATGTTTATCAAGGCCATTAGCTCATCCAAAACATCACCAGTGAGATCTTGTGCATGTCTCTGGAGATCTCTCTCCTCCAATGGCTTACTTATCCCGGACAATCCCATGTTGCTATGTTCCATAATGTTGGTTTCTGCAGCAAGCCTCAGGTAACACTGTAATAAATAGACTTTGAGATCCCGCTGGAATTTTTCCTCAGAAGTAGTAGTTTCCATGACTGCAATGTGAATCTTAGCATTGGACATGTAAGCCTTCAGCTCATCCTTTCTGTTCTCAACAATAGCCATTAACGACTCCCCCAGGTTAATCTGTAGCTGTCGGAGCATGTCAACTGTCATAGAAAAGTCTTTTTTCCCAGCTGGTGAGGCTGTGAGTCCTAGAATTTTACAGCGATATTGTTTGGGTATCTTGTAATGGTGCGTAGCCATTAAACTGTTATAGGAATGACTTTTCATACAATGATGGGCCTCATCAAAAATCACCAGACACTGATCCTTCCAGTGTAGCACTTCACTAGCAAGCATGTTCTCACAATATGCTGCAACAAACCAAGAAAAATATTAAAACCCTTACATAGGATCAAGAAACAAATATAAAGCCAAGAGGCCAAAGGGGCCTGCAGACCTCACATGGATATTTAAGGAAGTAAACATACGGCTAAGAGGCCCAAGGGGCCTGTAAATCTCACAAGGATATTACTACATTTCTTAATAATCATACCTATATCTATAGCAGTTTCAGTAAAAAATGCTTACAAATGTTACATCATTGTCCTATTACAATAAGCCCATCCCCTACTGAAAAACTGACAGAGGTTATACAATGAGTGGTTGTGATATATGTTTCCTTCACTGAAGTTAGTTATTTTTCAAAAGATACAAAAATCACCAGCTTAAGCAAGCATTTTTTGTAACTTTCAGAAAACAACTATCCTGAGTGAAAGAAACACCATGTACAACAAGCATAAAATTGTGTAACAAATTTTCACAACCATAGAAAAGATATTTCCAAGTTGAATTGACCTGTCCTATACACACGTGTGTTTTGTTTACATCTTTAGTTGGGATGTAATGATTTGACCTTAAATGAAATGTGGTATGGCTGTAAGATAAACAACTTGATCATTCACATGCATATTACAAAACTGAGAAAAGTCCCTGGAGCATGGCCAGATACTAATGACATCATGTAACATTTTTTGTACTGGTATATGCCCAATAAGCATATCCATGCTTAAATATTGAGGATTTCAACCAAGCCAGGTTCATACGACTTGGGAACTAAAACCCAGGGACAAGCATGAAGAAGACAGATTGAGATTCCTCAGAGTAAGGATGTGGCCATTTTTCTTACCTGCAACTGCATGGAGTCAAACCTGTTTTAAAGACTACCTTTACACAAAGGTCACCTGTCTACAAAAGCTAGTTATTTGGTTCCCATGTATTGTAATTTATAGTAATTGACTTAATGATAATGGGTTTGGGATCTCAACTGCACTCCTCAATCTCACAGCTGGAACCTCATGAGCCCAAACGTTTTTAACCTGTAGTAGCTATTTAGCCATAAAATAGGGATTTAAATCAACTCTCATTTACAAAGGATCCCTGAGACCTTGAAACGCTTGTTAACCTCAACCCCTGCCGACATGCCAAGTAGACACTTAACAGATAAGTACAGACTTTAGGAAATAAATTTGTACTGCTGTCCTACAAGACATAACAATTTGAACAGCCAGTTACCTCATCATGTAGGCTAAAAAACCATCAGAACAAATCAGGAAACACAGCACTTTCATCATAAAGTGTGCAGAATCCATATATGAATACTACTACAATTTTCTACATCAGGAGAAAAACAGTTATATCTGGTGAAATAGTGATAACATGCACTCCTTTCACCAAGGGCACCGCAGTTTCCTCCCTTTATTGAAAACGAAAAGGTTAGAATTCACACCAGCAAGAGTTATCAATTAAAGTTGACATAACATGTTTCACAGTTATTATTGTGAAATAGATAAGTCTAAATTTATTGTCTATTGTAAGTCAGATGAAGATATTGATCAACAGGACAGACACTAACCTGCTGTTGCTATGATGATGTCATGCTGCAACATGGATATAAAGATCGTAATTAACAGGACAGATACTGACCTGCTGTGGCTATGATGATGTCATGCCACTACATGGATATAAAGATCGTAATTAACAGGACAGACACTAAACTGCTGTGGCTATGACGATGTCATGCCGCTACATGGATATAAAGATCGTAATTAACAGGACAGATACTGACCTGCTGTGGCTATGATGATGCCATGCCGCTACATGGATATAAAGATCGTAATTAACAGGACAGATACTGACCTGCTGAGGCTATGATGATGTCATGCCACTACATGGATATAAAGATCGTAATTAACAGGACAGACACTAAACTGCTGTGGCTATGACGATGTCATGCTGCAACATGGATATAAATATCGTAATTAACAGGACAGATACTGACCTGCTGTGGCTATGATGATGCCATGCCACTACATGGATATAAAGATCGTAATTAACAGGACAGATACTGACCTGCTGAGGCTATGATGATGTCATGCCGCTACATGGATATAAAGATCGTAATTAACAGGACAGACACTAAACTGCTGTGGCTATGACAATGTCATGCCGCTACATGGATATAAAGATCGTAATTAACAGGACAGATACTGACCTGCTGTGGCTATGATGATGTCATGCCGCTACGTGGATATAAAGATCGTAATTAACAGGACAGATACTGACCTGCTGTGGCTATGATGATGTCATGCCGCTAAATGGATATAAAGATCGTAATTAACAGGACAGATACCAAACTGGTGTGACTATGATGATGTCATGCCACTACGTGGATATAAAGATCGTAATTAACAGTACAGATACTGACCTGCTGTGGCTATGAGGATGTCATGCCGCCATGTGGATATAAAGATCGTAATTAACAGGACAGATACTGACCTGCTGTGGCTATGACGATGTCATGCCACTACATGGATATAAAGATCGTAATTAACAGGACAGACACTAACCTGCTGTGACTATGATGATGTCATGCCACTACGTGGATATAAAGATCGTAATTAACAGGACAGATACTGACCTGCTGTGGCTATGATGATGTCATGCCACTACATGGATATAAAGATCGTAATTAACAGGACAGACACTAACCTGCTGTGACTATGATGATGTCATGCCGCTATGTGGATATAAAGATCGTAATTAACAGGACAGATACTGACCTGCTGTGGCTATGACGATATCATGCCACTACATGGATATAAAGATCGTAATTAACAGGACAGATACTGACCTGCTGTGGCTATGACGATGTCATGCCGCTACGTGGATATAAAGATCGTAATTAACAGGACAGACACTGACCTGCTGTGGCTATGATGATGTCATGCCACTACGTGGATATAAAGATCGTAATTAACAGGACAGATACTGACCTGCTGTGGCTATGAGGATGTCATGCCGCCATGTGGATATAAAGATCGTAATTAACAGGACAGATACTGACCTGCTGTGGCTATGACGATGTCATGCCACTACATGGATATAAAGATCGTAATTAACACAGATAGTGACCTGCTGTGGCTATGACGATGTCATGCCACTACATGGATATAAAGATAATTAACAGGACAGATACTGACCTGCTGTGGCTATGACGATGTCATGCCACTACATGGATATAAAGATCGTAATTAACAGGACAGATACTGACCTGCTGTGGCTATGACGATGTCATGCCACTACATGGATATAAAGATCGTAATTAACAGGACAGATACTGACCTGCTGTGGCTATGACGATGTCATGCCGCTACGTGGATATAAAGATCGTAATTAACAGGACAGATACTGACCTGCTGTGGCTATGATGATGTCATGCCACTACATGGATATAAAGATCGTAATTAACAGGACAGACACTAACCTGCTGTGACTATGATGATGTCATGCCGCTATGTGGATATAAAGATCGTAATTAACAGGACAGACACTAACCTGCTGTGACTATGACGATATCATGCCACTACATGGATATAAAGATCGTAATTAACAGGACAGATACTGACCTGCTGTGGCTATGACGATGTCATGCCACTACATGGATATAAAGATCGTAATTAACAGGACAGACACTAACCTGCTGTGGCTATGATGATGTCATGCCGCTACATGGATATAAAGATCGTAATTAACAGGACAGACACTAACCTGCTGTGGCTATGATGATGTCATGCCGCCACATGGATATAAAGATCGTAATTAACAGGACAGACACTAACCTGCTGTGGCTATAATGATGTCATGCTGCCACAGAGGTGTTCCTCCTGTTGATTGTTTTCCGCCACACACCTCTGCAATTTTCAATTCTCTGTCAATCATCTTGGATGGGTCATTTGGGTCAAACCTGTTAAGAATACCATAAAATCAAACTTGATTTACAAAACCGTCCTAAGTCACTTTTCCATATGAATTCAATTTCAAATTCATTTAAAACTTCACTACACATTACAATTAATTACAACTGCAAGACTACAGCAGTGCATTACAATACATGTACATTAAACTGTACATAGCGAAGGGGCAAAGATCTACATGGAATTAAATTTAAAACAAAGTACCAAACAGCTGGCAATTTTCATAGGAAAATAATTGGGTGATTTTCCTTTGAAAAGAACAAACCATATTTTCGAAAATTGAGAATTTGTAATTTGGATGCAAAAAGACATCTAATACGCCACAATTCATCCTTCCATAATTTTAAACAGCCAAAAAAGGAAACTGCAAATTATTTTTGAAAATAATCTTTGCACCCAGACCTATTCATACATGAAGTCTTTCTGATTAACTAATTTGTTTGACATACCTGTGAACTACTTGGTAATTAACACATTCACTCTAGACACATATGGTAATAGGAACAGAAAGATGCATGGCCAGACAAAGGATTTGAACCTAGAACCCTCCATACTGTAGACAGACCCCCATTTGAGCTACCTGGTTGCCGACAATCAACCCAGTACGGTGTCTCTACATTACTCCCAACATTTTCTTAGTCTTTGCCACTGCAGACACAACTTTTTACAACCCAGGTTTGGGTATCCATTTCTCAAGTATTCACCACCTTGAATCAAGGGTTGGTTACAAGTACCAAATGCAGCAGTTCTATATATAGATACACAAGTGGCACAATGGGCCTGAATGCATCACCTGTTCTGAAGCTTACACAAAAAACTGTTGGTTCATACAGTCAGTTTCTGCAAGCCTATTCCTAAAATATGCTACTCAACAATTACAATGACCCAGGACCTAGTGCTTGTTGAAAATAAGAAAATTTAATTCATTAACACACTTTACCACTATGGGTCAAGGTCAATCATTTGAACAAACGTGGTAGCACTTAATTCAAGCATGCTACAGTACCAATATCAGTTCCATGGGTGTTTTCATTATTATGAAGTTGTCTAGAAAATTTGTCACATTTCACCTCTGAGACCTTGAAAGTGGACCGAGGTCAATCACTTCAACAAACGAACTACATGGTAATTACAGAAGCAGTATTTGTATCCTGGCACTTATCGTTATTGAGAAGTTGTTTGAAAGAGAAGGTTAACACAGGATGCCTGCTTCTCAAGAGCAATAGCTCACAAGTCCTTGACTCGGCCAATAGTAGTGCCATACAAAGCAATCACCCCCATATTTCTGCTAGAAAGGGTTTGATGATGACTATACATTACCCTAATCTTTCCAACACAATTAAATTACATTTATTTACATCCTAGACATTTCAGTTCTGAAGAAGTTGTTTAAAATAATCATTGATCATAGACCAGTACTCTTTACCTTTTGTATTTGCGATTCCCCAACTGATCCCTGATGTATTTTGCCTGTTGAAGGACTAGTAGAACTTTGGTGACTAGAAACAGGACTTGGTAGCTGGGGTTCAATTCCAGCATGGCGCTTATAGCCATACAGGCTATTAGTGTCTTCCCTGTCCCTGTATTACACAGCAAAAACCAAGCTTTTATAACTCAAATACTCTTCAACAAAATATGCAGGATACTCATTCTTTTATGAAAGGATGACCAAAGGAGATTAAATGGCAAGGTTGCGAAAATCATCATGATATTTAAAACAGATTGTAGATAATGATTCTTTTTATATGTAAAGGTCACTGAACTGAATAAATATAAGAAGAATTTTTAAACATTTAAAACTTTTTTTCCAACTTCATAGATACCACATTTTTTTTTTCAGAAACACTAAAAAGTTGTCTCAAATACGTTTTTGAAGATATGACATCCAAAATGTCCTATATGTTCTGTAATTATTAAATTTTTTTTGCATGTTTTTAAATTTTGCAGCCTTACCAAAAGCTCACTGCAAAACCAAATGTTATCCTCATGGAGGTCTTGAAACTGAATACAGTTTACCTATTTTATTTTCTTGGTGTCTCGTAACTATTATTTGCTGGTTTAATCACACCTTGAAATAGCTAAAAAAATATTCAATTGATTACATTTGATTTTGATGATATTCAAAAACTACTATAATTCAATGTACTGTAAAATTACTGATTTTTGTGGGAGATTCATTTTCAACAATTTCGTGAGCACTCTTCATCGACAAATTCATATATTCACAAGCTAATATAATTAAGAAATTCATATATTCACAAGCTAATATAATTAAGAAATTCATATATTCACAAGCTAATAGAATAAATGAATTCAACAAGAGATCCCAGAGGGATCTTTGCGCCCACCATTTGAGGATCTGTTTTTTAGTTCTTGAAGATTTGTTTATTTTTGTTTGTTTGTTACAGGTGTTGTAAATGTTCATGAACTGGTCTTCATTGAATGTACTCAATGATGGCACAAGATATTTTTGTTAAGCACCTATCAGCAAATATCATTTGAAAAAGATCCCAAAGTATTATTAGATAGCAGTCAGTTACAGGTGGATAATGGACAATATGCTTGTGCTGTATTACTGTCAACATCCAAGATGGCTGCCTGTGGGCCACCTTGATTTCAAATCAGTCCAAAAAAGGTACAATGCACAACTAGGGACCAAGAGAAACCAATATCTATGAAATATCAGAAGGATCCATCCAGTACTTCCTCAGATATAGCAGTAACAAGATTTTACTCTCAAAATCCAAGATGGCGGCCTATCAGCCATCTTGAATTCGAATCAGTCCAAAAAAGGTACAATGCACAACTAGGGACCAAGGGCAAACTGCATATGTAATTTGAGAAAGATTCATCCAGTACTTTCCAAGAAATAGCAGTAACAAACTTTTACTTCCAAAATCCAAGATGGCTGCCTGTCGGCCATCTTGAATTCGAATCAATCCAAAAAAGGTACAATGCACAACTAGGGACCAAGGGGAAACTGCATATGAAATTTGAGAAAGATCCATCCAGTACTTTTCCAGAAATAGCGGTAACAAGAACTATTGTTTACGGACGGACGGACGACGGACATCTGATGATGGTGGGCTAAATATTCACAAGCTAATATAATTAACGAATTCATATATTCACAAGCTAATAGAATTAATGAATTCAAATATTCACAAGCTAATAGAATTAATGAATTCATATATTCACAAGCTAATATAATTAAGAAATTCATATATTCACAAGCTAATATAATTAAGAAATTCATATATTCACAAGCTAAAGGAATTAGTGTCGGTAGAATGATTGACCTATGTTCACATATGAAATCAAGCATCCTCAGAGAGGTTTTTTTTAAATTGCAAAAATTGAGCACCATAAAGATATATGATTTTACAGTAGGTCAATGCAGTCTTCAACTCTGGTAAAACAATAAAGGAAGTCTTTGTTGCTCATGATTTCATCATAATGGAAAACAACTATTTCTGCTACAAAGACTACCGTGTCTCACCTGTTGGGAGGAAGCAGATCCGGTCTCTAGCTAAAACTTTCTGGAATAGCTCCCACTGGTAACCTCTCGGAACAGTTTTTGTGAAGCTCTTTTGATCTTTAGCATTCTGCATCTCGACTAATTTATTGAGAGGTGGGTGCTGTCGAGACATTGCTGGTTCTTTGGCTAGTTTCTGTCGGTGATGTTTGCCCTTTAGATGGTCCTGTAGGGCCTTCTCTGTATCCATAGGCATTTTACATGTTGAGCAATAATGCTTGTAATTTTTTGAAACCAAATTTTCTGCTTGAGACAATTCTGGAATCGTTGGTCTTTGAGGAACATCTTTAAGTTTCTGGCTGATCTGAGACATCAATTCAGTATGACTCTTTGAACCTTTATCCAACTGTACACTTTCCATGCTGCTGTCAATATCTTTATCTGGATCCGATTCATATTCCTGTAATCCACGACTGTTCAGATCCTGACTGGGTTTCCTATGAGTTCTTCTGTTTCTTAATGCTCTGGCCGAGTCTGTTCCCTCACTTCTGCGTGTCTGGTTTCCTGGAGTACTTTCTCTTGAACTTATAGACTCCAGTGAGTCCATATCAGACAAGTCGACAGTTGTTCGTGGCACAGGTATGTGTTCAGAAGTCGTGACTTCAACCTTCTGTCTTTCTCTGCATTCATTTTTCCTGGTGAAGTCATTTACATTAACAGACTTTTTCTCAGAACTGTTTTGATCCTTTTTAATCTTCAGTTCTGACATACTAGCAAAATTTGGGAAGAGGTCTGGAACGTCATCATCTATTGGTTCAAGAGAAGGCATTCTGTTATCATTACCACTCTGCAGTGAAGATCGGTCACTGCGGTAGGATGAATGGCAACTCTGGCTGGACAAATGGCTACTCTGAATCTGATTGGATGAGAGGATGCCATGTGACCCTAAGCTGCAATCTTTGTCACAGCCTGCATGTTTCGGTGAATGAAGATCAACACTAGGTGATCGTGAGTGTGGAGGTGACCTTGAGGACCCCAGAGACCCTCTATTACTGCTGCTACTTATTTGAGATAAGAAAGATGGTTTGTGAACTTCCTTTTCCTTCAAACTTCCTAAATTTAAATTACATGCGCTCTGGTTTAAATTGAGTGTGTCAAATCTGTCTGGTTGATTAGAGTCATAAACAGATTTTGTGAGTGTTTCCTCATGTCCACGAACACCATCAGTTACACTAAACTGACTCAGAGAAGCAGGGTCTAAACTTTCAAACTGGCCTAAGGAAATGGGTTCAAATTTCCCACCACTGGATTCACTCATGTTCACTGAAGTCACATCTTTCGTAAATGACTGTATCTTATCAGCAGCCGAACCAGTATCAAAACTCCCTTTGGGAACTCTTACAATCCTTTCTTCACTTGTTTCAGTGATCATGACCAAGTTCTCCTGAAATCCAAGTGAGTTTAATCCATCGGTGGCTGCCTTGTGCTTCACACTCTGTTCATGAATCTCCAGCTGCTCCTTTGAGTTCAGGTAACAGCCACAAACAATGCAAGGATACCAATTTGTATTGTCCAAAACTTTCTGTGAAGGTGCAGGACCAGGATTGTCAACAGAAGAGTGTGTCTTTATAATCTCCACTCGTTTTCTATGCTTATCACTGTTATAATGTTGCTGGGCACTCTCTTGGCCTGTAAAAGGTACCTTACAGATTTGACAATACAAATCATCATTTGGTGTGCTGGAAGTCTTGTTTTGACTGCGCAATTTTGCCTTGTTATGGTTTTTACCACTGATGTGCTGCATGGCATGTGCACGGGATGTGAGGTCAATGGAACACAAATTACAGTATCCTGAGAGGCCACTGAACCAGTAATCCTGCAGGCCATCTTCAGACCTAGGAATGTTTCCACCATCTAATATTTGTTTGCTACAGCTAGTTGAATGTGACACCTGATAATTCTGATTTTGACTGATGTTTTCATTTTTTATTTCTTCAGATGCTGATGAATCAGAACACCCAGAAGTATCAGATCTGAGTCCTTGACCTGAATTCGGCCATTGACCCTGCAGTCTTGGAGACAAGGGCTGTGTTTCTGGTGTTCTTTCAGCCATACCTGAAGACGATGATAGAATTCCATCACTTCCACTTTGCATTCTCTTTTCCCATACAGCTTTTGCCTTGGCATGGGGCTTGCCAGCAATATGTTGAGAAGCGTGTTGTGTTGATGTTAATTCTAGCTGACATATGTTACAATATCCCCTGTTACCCGTCATTTCATACTCCTTTGTGTCACTGAGATTTAGAGCTTTAGCATCTGCTAGCCCCTGAACTGCTTTAGCATGTTTCGATCCAGACAGATGATCCCGTGCATGTCGCTCTGATGTAAAGTCAATGTCACAGACATAGCATTTGCCACGGTCACCATTCAAATAATACTCTGACGAGTCAGACATATTTGGACCTCTCTTCGTTTCTGTATCTCTATGTTTCACAAGTGCTTTCTTGTGACGAGTTCCTGTCAGATGTGCTTTAGCAATCTCTTGTGAATTTAATGCTACATCACATATAAAGCAATGACCAATCTTTCCATCGAACTCACAGACTCGATCAACAATAGCCAAATTTGTTGTTGCTTCCCTTTGCCCTTGTCTTTTGACATCCCTGCCTGGTGGTATACAGGTAAGATTCTCAGTCGGGTAATAAGAGGTCTCCATTACTGTACTCAAAGTTGGAAATCTTTCCGTTGTGTCCATAGAAATATGTTCAGCCGATGCTATTTTTTCCTTATGTTTTTCACCTGCAAAATGAACCTCTGCTTTTTGCTGATCAAAAAAACTTTCACCACATGCATTGCAGGTATCCACTACAACGCAGGATACATTCTGATTTATCATAGCTATCGGCTGCAAAGCCGATTTCTTCTTTGCATGCTTTTCACCATTTATGTGCTGATCTGCCATCATTTTCGAAGTTAATTCAACATTACAAATATGACAATAGCCCCTTTCTCCATTAAAGTCATAATCCCTCTTTCCCTGGTTGGCAATCTGCTCCAGTGGAGCACCAATAAACCCTGTAGCATTGTTGTTTAAATAGCTTGCAAAAGTTTTTGCCTTTTGTGTCTTTTCCAAGTGCCTTGGGCTATTAATGTGTTTGCAATATACCTCCATAGAGTTCATAAAAACATCGCAAACATCACATTTAAATTGATGAGGGTCTGACTCACACCTTTCTTTATTTTGTACAGCTTTCTGGTGAGCTTTGCTTTCAAAGTGTTGTTTTGCTGGAATTTTCCCACTGAATTCCTTCTTGCATACACTACAGACAAACTTTTGGTCGGCCATGTTTCCACGTTTTATGGAAGATTATATCTTCACTTTGCCAATCTGAAACAGTGAAACAATAAGTATTATCAAACACTGCAATGTTATAAGTGACCTGTTAACTGGCAAATTCCATCTTTAATGACAGTTTAGAAAAGTAAACACATTCCTTGCTCAATCCAATCTTATACTGCCAAAACTTCCCAGACTTCACAATACCATATGGTACTTTTGATCTATTTGAGCGCTGGACGTCTTGAAAATGGAGCAAACCTTATCCAAATGTTGTTGGTGATTTAATATGAGTAATGTCAAACAACCTGCCACTGCTGGGGTTCGAACTAGCAACTCTCAGTCTCTAGCCACACACTGTACCACTCATCTAAAAAGAAATTCCAACTAGGTGAGGTTAGTAAAGAGACCTGTACTCTCAAACTCTGCACCACTCCTTCCTCCATAGAATCTTTAACCCCAAAATAATCACAACTTTCTCACTATCTCAATCGCCTATAGCTTCTTCCTTTGAAGTGGTCAACATCCGCAAGAGGAAGGAGTAATGAAAAAACACCTTCCACTGCTGAGATTGGAATTAGTGACCCTTAGGTCTCTTGTCGCACACTCTACAAATCACCTATAGGGAAATTCCCCCTAGCCAAGGATATAGTACTATAAGGCGGCCTGTACTCTGAACTTCTAAAGTGTAATAAACCCCCATTAAACAGTTATTATTTTGATATGTTTTATATATATAAGTTAGTAGAGCTGTGATCAGCCAAAGGTTCCCATTGTTTACTTGTGGCACGACCAATTCATGACTTCGTATGTTTTGTAACATTACCAATATGAGAGATGTGGAGTGAGAACATTGCGAAGTTTCAGATACGTGTCATGTCAACTAAAAATGCTGAACAAAATCTTAAATTTACATCAATTTCGTATGAAAACACTTCACACATTTTTCATTTTAACCTCACCAGAGGTTTCAAAGTATATTTCATGTAAGAAATGGAAGCTTATATAAAATCATCTACTTATTTCCATATGCTTTACACTGCAATGCTCTATGTATAATCAGTATCCACTGCAACACCGTTATATTGATTTTCAAAATATTGATTTGATACCACACCCAGTCATAAATCTAGTATTTCAAGTTATTAGGTCTGTATGATTTTTGAAATGCCTTTTCCGCACACATAAAATATCAGAACATGAGCTGCGACATGGGCTCTATTTGAGAGGAAAGAAATACAGGAAAATATTAGCTGATATAGGCCCATTTGATTAGGCAGTTACAATAAAATGTAGGCCTATATACACAATACCTTTACTTCATCCAGTGTAAATGTCACACACAGCTATGCGTTGTATATTATACATTTTGTTTACATTTCTTTGGACGGGAGACTTCAAGGCCCAGATAGCTTGCAACCCCAAGTCTTCGTCCTGATAAAATGCGAAATTTGGAAATTTCACTTTCGTTTTTTAGATTCCGAGAACTCTACTTTCATTTTCAATAATAGAAAAAATGTCTAAACACATAACCAAACAATTTTAAGAAATAATATACACCTTTCTATCGATACATTAAGACACGATATAATATTTCATTCGACATTGAAAAAAAAAACAAAACAAAATTATAATATTGCATCTTACTTACACGTGTGTGATTCTTCGTCTGCTTCATCAAGAATCTTCGTTTTGCCAGTGCAAAGTTCGCGGGGTGAAAATACCGGTCGACATCATCGATAAAATAATCCATTAACATACAATTTGTCTCATCTACAGTAAATATGTTACATTACCTCAATCGTGTGTTCTCATTGACGACAGCAGCAACAGAAACCCTCGCTTATTACGTCTGTAAATCCTTAAATACCTTCCTGGTGTGCATTGTAATTTCTACCCAGTATTATAACTACCAGGACGTCGTTGGGGTTCGAGGCTCATGATCGGCATGGATTTTTTTTTTTTTTTTTTTTAAATTCATTTTTATTTTACATTTCAAATACAATATACATTGATAAAACAAATTTGTATAAACAATGTTTAAGTGAGTTACAATTTTCAATACCAATTAGAATAAGATACAAACGACGGGCCAAAAATCCTCACCATCATTCACAAAATGAACATTGATAAACCTCAAATATTGTATAAATACCAAATCTTACTGATTTAAACTGTTAATTAAATCTTAAGTGGAGTCTCTTGGGGTTTAAATGTGTCAATTCATCATCATTTTGATCTCCAGGCTCAGTTCCATTCGTCTCGCTCCTAAATTGTTCGTAATAAGAATGACAACTCTTATATAAATTATGATAAGTTATTTTGAAATTCCTATTTTAATGCTATCATTTTGTCCAATTATTAAATAGCAAAGGAGTTTTAAGGTAATGGAACACACTGCTACTTTAACCGTCGTTTTAAAAGAAATATTCCTATTCGAAATTCGAGCTAACCTTACAGAACTATTTCTGATCTTGTGCACCACACTAAAAATACGAGACAATTCACTCATTCCGAATGTGAAAAAATGTTAAAAATTTCAAGCTAATGAAGTCCAGTCCCATGTTTATGTTATCTTTTGTAAGTGAATTTACAGTTGGTGCAGAAATTAAATGCTCTTTTTCAGTTTTTTCTAACTATACAGGCATAGCGAAAACGTTGTAACCCCCATATCTTTTTACAATGTTCCAGAAACGCGGAATCTTACAAAAGTGTATATTTTAACAGTCATGAGATTCAGGAACAAGTCTTCGAATTTAAAAAAAAAATGTGACGGTGAGTTTTACCAACCTCATGGAATAGGCACTCGTGTAAAAATTTATTAATATCATATAACAAACATTATGTAATTTGTGTTATTAAACCGAGAACCGTAATGTTTTCTCTCAGATATTGTCCATCTCACATTTTAAAATAATTAATAGATTATAATGGTTAACTACACTTCTTTTAAGTTACTGAGCTAGAACACAAAAAACGGATGTACCAAACCACGAAGTAGTTTATGTTAAGAGTATACTTCGTTTTTTTTTGTGTTGTCGCTCAGTAACAAAAATACAGATGAAATAATAATTCTTAAGATGTATTCACCGTGAGATTGCAATAATTTTCGTCATATATGATATTTTTTTCTTTGCTAATTTCTGAAACCGCCGCATTGTTGATGATCCACGCTAGAAACTCCATATTGGAAGTGTTTTGTTGTTGACCTACCAGCACTCTAGAAACTCAAATTGTAAGTCTAGTGTTCACTGATAACCTACTTACATGAATGTTGTATAATTTAATCAATATTTTCATCCGCTATTCAACAATTTAACACAAACATATAATATGTATGGAATGTGAAAACAATCTTAGAACTTATAATATTTCCTTGACCTCCTAACACTCCAAAAACTCCAGATTAGAAGTTTCGTGTTTACTGAGGACCTACATTTACCCCATATTGAATGTCTCGTGTTCTGCCCTTGACCTACTTCCACTTTCAAATACTTCAGATTGGAAGTCTAGTGTTTGCGTAGGACCGATTTACAGTTCAGAAATATCAGATTGGATGCACGGACAGATGTCTTCATGATGCATGGACAGAACCAAATTTAACACTAATAGACTAATTACATCGTACAGTCATGACCTCGGGTGCATGGATCTATAATATCAATGTGTGTTGAATGCTAAAACCAAGACAATACCAGTGTCAAAACTAGCTAATAACCAACTAGCCTTTATAGTAAAATCATTATTGGAACAAACAATTCATTTCCAAACATTTCGTAGTCCATGTAAAACAATTAATCTATGTGCTCTTATAGGCAAATGTGTGCAACGTTTAATTACTACCTCTGTCATTAATTGGTCTTGCTGTTACTTAGCAAATATTTCACTTAGACATTTTTATTTTCTCCTTTGAAAGAGACACTTACCATGGAAGCCGTTCGCCTGACCTTCTCTTGGTAATTACACTACTGATAATTGCCAACTAACAACGGTTCAGTAATTATCTTTATCGTAATAAGGGCCCGAGATGACCGAGTGGTAAAGGCGTTTGGCCGTCTTTATCTAGCGCTCAACCTTTTGGTAGCGTTCAGGGGCCAGCGATGGCTGAGTGGTAAAGGCGTTTGGCTGTCTTTATCTTTAGCCCTCTACCTTTTGGTAGCGTTTAGGGGCCAGCGATGGCTCAGTGGGTAAGGCTTTTGGCTGTCTTTATCTTTAGCCTTCTACCTTTTGGTCGCGTTTAGGGGCCAGCGATGGCTCAGTGGGTAAGGCTTTTGGCTGTCTTTATCTTTAGCTACCCATCTCTTGGTTGCCTTAAGGGACCCGCGATGGCTGAGTGGATAAGACGTTTGACCTTCTTTATCTTTAGCCCTCTACCATTTGGTCGCGTTTAGGGGCCGCGATGGCTGAGTGGTTAAGACGTTTGACCGTCTTTATTTTTAGCTAGCCACCTTTTGGTAGCGTTTAGGGGCCCTCGATGGCTGAGTGGTTAAGGCTTTTGGTTGTCTTTATCTTTAGCTACCCATCTCTTGGTCGCCTCAAGGGACCCGCGATGGCTGAGTGGTTAAGATGTTTAACCGTCTTTATCTTTGTCGCGCTGGTGGTTTTTCTCCTGGAACTCAGGCCATCCTCCAACACCTGGACTGGCATATCCTTAAATGACCCTGGTTGTCATTAGGACGCAAAGCAACCATAAAACAATATTTATAAGATAATAAAAAACTTAATATCGATTATATAAGCATAGATAAAAATAAACCCAGAGTGTTTGTTCATAGCACATTAAGTAATCGCCATTCCAGAAGAAAGGAGACACTGTATACAAAGAAATCCCCTTCTTATTGTATTCTGTATAGGACAATATTGGAAAAGTATTCCTACGTCTAATTAATAAATCTTGCTTAACAGATACGGAAAACTATCGAACAAAAAGGATTTGAATAGCAAGATATAGTATGCCTATGCTTTGATATCTCCCAGGACGATTTGCGATACCCTTTACACGCGTATGGAAGTTGACCGCATCGCACTCCAAGGAAGATTGCCAATAATTGTTTTATTCGTAAAAAGTAATCAGATCTGAGGAAGAGGGCTTGCCATCAATTTCATATTGCGGAAATACTTAGTTGTGTTTCTATTACATTATGTTCTCTGTTTTCTGTGTTATGTTTTTGATTATCAATAGTGTATTTGTTCCTTGTATTAAATTACAAATATTGCTGTAATCTCATGAACGAAGTCACGAAGACCGTAGATTTATCTTTTAAATATCAACGAAGTGATCATGTGACTGCGGAGGTTTCTTTTTCTGTGGCAAATGAGTCCGTAAATCGTACACATACGTATATCTTTATATCTTGTCATTCGTTCATACTGTGGTCGCCTTCCAACCCACGCGAGAGACTCTGTCTGTCTGTAAGTCAGTCTGTCATACTGTGTGTCCTTCTGTCTGTCCGTCTGTCTTGAATTAGTTTAGGTGATGAATGAAACTCGCCACGAATTTTGTATTTTTGCTTGCCAAAGGATCGCAAAAATTACAAAATCTGCTGACTTCTCATATCAAATGTCAACTCACGTGATATCCCGATGATTCATATAATTTATAAACGATATATTTAAGTGTTAAATTTCAACGCCTCAAGTCTATATAATGCTATATTTACATCACGTTTTGTCGGTAACTGCGACGTATGAATGTAATGGCTACAGCTATTCTATAGGGAGTTTGTTCAACCCAGGACGCAATAAAAAGAACATGTCGGTTTTGTTCTGAAGGAAGGCATTATCTAAGTTTTGGATTTCGGAATTTACGATAGCCCAATCAGACACATTACATGTACATATGTATAAAAAGTTCCAGGATCTTATCGCAGTCCTGTCACAAAACAACATAACATGTCCTCAGGTTCGAACTATATTATGTATGTTGTATTTGTCTCCTTTGATGGTGCTGTGGACATCACAAGACGGTTCGATTCAAGCTGTTCGTAGCAACTAACCTGTATACGTCATTAAATATAAAACTTCATAAGCCTGTCCGTACGGATACTCACAATGCTCGAGTAACTCGGCTTGTATAAGAGTCGGATTTGACAAAACAACATTTTTATCCGAGTTAATATCCTTCTGTATTTCTCACAGTACACCGATCATTTCACTTTATCTAAACTTGAAACTTATGAATTCTAGATGACTTTAAAATAAACCACTCCTCTTAAAACATGTTTATGCAAAGGTCAAGCTGGACACATACAGTTTACTTGTGATAAGTGCATCAGCTAGAAAACAAAAACGAAACAAACAAAAACCAAACACTTTATATGAGAACTTTCCATAAAAGGACAAATATATTGAGGGTCTTTTCCTATAAATATAACTGAAAGCAGAATGAAAGACGCATTGCTTTCTCTCAATGTTCCGACTGGACTTCACGATTTGCATGGTAGGTAAGTGACCGCATTTTTTTTAGTACAGACGAGACATCCTATATGTGGTCCTTGTATGCACTCATTATTTCATTGTAATATAGCTTTGTTATCTCTCTTGCTACACATTATTCAATCATCTAAAATATAACTACTGGCTTATCATGTCACTTTTCGGTCAATGATTAAGCATATGGACCCGCGTCATTTGTATTGGATTCCTAAACAACACCAGAATCCGTTTAAAACAAACTTTTATTGATGGCTTGGCTTGTTGCATCCTCAACTTTTCATGGATTACGATTGTTTACGATCGGAAAGAAGAATATCGTATTATACAAACAAGGCGTGTGAATATGACCCTACTGTGTGAGGTAACATGAGTAACTGATATATAAATATTTTGAAAAAAACATCATTTAAATAATAAGATAAAACAAA